GGATGGGCGGCCTCACCAGCACTCCAACAAATGCTCATCAGAGGACAGGAAGACACGTTTATATTTTTTGCTCATCATATGTATTGACAGAGATTTTGTTTTAAAAGATGCTCAGTGAGAGCGACAGGAGAGGCGTGTCCGCCATACTCCGCGGAAGGGAACTGCCACAGCCCCACTGGGTGGCAGTTCAGCATCCCTTGCCAGTGAACGCCTGAATCCCACTGGCGTGTCCCCTGGCAGCCTCTGGTCCCTCAGGCGGCATCTTCTGTGCTCCGTTCATTCATCCAGCACGCACCCCTGGAGCGCCTGGCGCTGAGCTGGGTGCTGGGGACACGGAGAGGGCTGACGGGCTTCACAGGCCTGTGGGGAGGGCCTACAAGGACATTGTAGGAAGTGCAGCGTTCCAGGGGGCCGGCGATGCAGAGGAAAGTGGGGTGCGATCCACCCCATACCTGAGGCAGGGGCATCTAACACCTCAGGCACAGCGGAGCCAAGTCTCATAAATAAGGAAGCAGTAGCCAGGCCAGAGGGGGAGCATCTGCTCGGGCTTTAATCCACAAATTTCTGTCGAGCCCGACTATGTGACCAGGCCCCTGCCCGCTCGGAGAAACAAACCATAAACCTGTAAACCAATAAGCACATTAAATCATTTCCAACTGGGACACGTGCTATAAGGAAATTTTTAAAAAGATAAATGATGTGGGGTGGACAGGTCTACTTTGGCAGGGGGTGTGGCGCTCAAGGAAGGCTCCTTTGAGGAAGTGGCATCGAGCTGAGCGAGAGATGGAGACACACTGAGGGCTGGGAGGAGGCTAGCGGGGTCGGCAAGCCTGGCCCTACGGCCTGTGGGTAGGAGTTTCAGCCTTAACCTCAGGCCACAGGGAGCCATGGGAGGGTTTGAAGCAGAGTGACATTATCTCGATGGGCACTTGAGCAGGGTAAGTGATGCCTCACAAGCACCTCCCATGTGTCACCACTGGCCTTTGGAATACACATCAGTCCACGAGGTCGGGCTGTCGGACTGCAGGCCCCAAGCTCCATCACGCCCCCACCTCTCCCTTCACTGGGTGGGGGAAGCCAGGCTTGGGAGCTCAAATGAGCAGGAAACTGCCAGACACTAGGCCCAGGTCAGTGGTGTTCCCAGTGATCCTTTTCCGGTGCCTTTTCTCTTCTAGGATTACATCAGGCTCCTTGGAAAGTCCTTCCACTGCCGAAGCCAATTCCGAAGGGCACTGCCACTCAGCAGGCTCCGACCAGGACCCTGGGGCAGACAGAGAAGGCAGCCCGGTCTGGGGCAGCAGCCCCTTCCAGCTCACGGCTTCCTCGGATGAAGACGTTATTGACTTGAAGTAAACAGAGTTCGAAGAGAGTGTGCCACCTCTGATTTTCTTATGGAGGTTTATACTCTCTAACCAGTACTCACATCATTTCTCAACAGAGTGTGGCTGTTAGCCTGTCGTGATCTATTGGACCAAACCTTCCGCACACTCGGCCAGCTTGGGTCAGTCTCTAGTGTCCAGTGCCATCGTTCTCGACCTTTGTTTCCTTCTGTCCAAGAACCATCAGTCCCCTTGTAATACAGGTGGTAGATTTCATTGAAGTTTTAGATCAAAACTTTGAATAAATAAAAAATGTTCATTCTTATGGCAGCCTTCTCTTCTATTTTATATACATAGATGAGAAAATTATTTTTATTACAGTTTTATGTCACATGATGTGTTTCTTTTATAAAGAAAATCCTTTGCTTTTAAATTTTCTTATAAAATAAGTTTTCTTTCTGTACCTTTGACCCCGTTACTGTTTTAGGAACCAGCTCTGTTCCTGCCCTTAGATTCTTGAGAAAAGTTGGTTAGGTTTTATTTATTTATTTATTTTCTTTGTTTACTGATTTTAGAGAGAGGAAAGGAAAGGGAGAGATAGAAACATCGATGAGAGAGAACATCGACTGGCCGCCTCCTGCATGCCCCCCACTGGGGATTGGGCCCACAACCTGGGCATCTGTCCTGACCAGGAATTGAACTGGCAACCTCTTGGTGCATGGGTCAACGCTCAACCACTGAGCCACACTGGCCGAGCCAGGTAGTTAGATTTTAGAAGCTCCTGGTTCTTCCTCCTTGTGTCCTCATGAAAAATAATAAGGTATAGGAAGGAGCTTGTTAAGAGTCTTAAGATGATTTTGTTTGGTTTTATTATTACTCTGACATCTATAACCAGGGAACAGCTAGCACAGTGGTCATTCTCAAGTTCCTTTCTCTTGTTCAGGTCGGCTTTGCTCTTTCACATAACTCAAATGATTATCCTTCTTCCGGTGATTTATCTGCCTTCCACTGTTCCCTCTTCAAAGTGAGAAGAAAACGTGGGTTTGGCCATGTGCAAATGAAACAGCCAACTGTCAGCCTCTAGCCAGGACAGATCAAAGGGAGAAACTGGTTTCCCAGACATTGTAAAAATTTAACTTACCTCTAGCTTTAGTCTGAGGATTTCATTTTATTACATCTCTTCTTACCCATATTACCCATCAAAAGAAACTTTAAATCACTTCTCCTCTTAAAGCAGCTCTGAGTTCTGCAGGTCCCCTCTGAGTGTGACATGACCTTGACCTGACAGAAGTTTGGCTCCTGCCTCCTCGTGGGCCTTGAACACTGTGGGGGAGCTTCCCTCCCTGCCTGTTGCACACGTGGTTCAACATGATGGTGGATCCAAGCTGAAGGCTGCCTGGTTCCCTTCAGCAGAAGAGTCAGAAAGCAAATTAGTAATAAAGACAGTGCTTGGGGGGAGGGGGGTGTTGACAACCAAATGTGCTTCTTGTGGCCTCTGCTCCCATTCTTCCTTTGTGTTTTGCTATGCCCTTCACAGACAGGGGAAAACAAAACCCATTACATCTTGTGTCTTGACCTCACCCAAAGTTTGATGAATCTGGTTTTATTATTTTTTTGCTTTTCAAATAAGGAAACTGAGGCTCAGAAAGGGGCAATGAGTAGAACCTGTGAGTTTCCTGGCCCCAGAGCTGGGCTTTCTCTCCTGGCCACCAAGCAGAGCCAGGCAGAGTGGTTGTGTCCATTGGATCCAACTGATGTTTTCCACGTTAAACTAATTTGTGAGCTTTATGAGCTTGTACATGTGTTTCCTGAAGTGAATTGCTTCTCAGCCTGGAAGAGAAAAATCAAGGGCTTTTTAGACCATTTTTACAAAAGATTGACAGTATCAGAGTCACCCCATGATTTGACAAAAGTCACAGATCTGAGGAAGGAATGTAGAAAGGACAAGAGGTAGACCCTACTAATCAGACAGATGGTCCTTAGCTTATAAAGGAAGGGGGGTGTAGGAGGCTGCTCTGGCAGCAGCATCTGCTTACAGTGGTCAAGAAGTGAACACTGCACACTCACGGGGAGGGAGGCCACCAGTCCCGGGCAGGAGCAGATTTGTAGGGGCCCATGGCTCAGAGGGCTGGCTGGCACTAGCTGGACTCACTGGAGCATCCTGTCTACATAAGCCTCTCCACATAACCCACTGGCTGAGTTACAAAATAAACTGTCTAACTGAACAGTTTACCCATGGAGTTTGAGTGATTCATCCACCCTGCAAACACCAAGTGCTGTCCGGAGAAGGAGGTCTTTGCATTGGTGGAGGGAGAGAAGTAAACTGGTGATCACAAAGCAGTGCTCAGTGCTGTAATAAAAATTTATAACTCGAGCACAAGATGCTTTGTAAACAGAGAGGAAGTTGCCTGTCCTTAAAGGTAGTACAGTCAGGTGACAGCACTAGGTCAAACACCTATCACGATCATACAGCATTTGAGTGCTTCCCATGTGCTTGGTGTTCATGTACATTGCCCCTACTGAAAACTCTTCTTGGAAGACAGATACTGTCATCTCCACTTAGAGATGAGGAAACAGGGGCCCAGAGAAATATGAGAAGGTAAGCCTCCTATGCATAGCCGCGGTTCCTTCCAGAATTACACAGCACTCCACTGCAGCTGCCTGCACCCAGAGAGTGTTGGATACAAATGGCACGATTCTCCAGAGCCCTAACCTCATCATCCTCAACTCCAGCTGTTAACATCCGCAGGGACTCAAAGCTGGGAGGTATTTGAATGAAGATTCAAGAGTCGGGATTACCTGTGAAGTGAGAGGAACTTAACAGGGAGCGTGGAGCTCACACTTACGCCCTGATTAGTCACACAGGCAGCATGGGGGACCCCACCCAACACGGGTCCCCCGCGCCTGGAGGTCCTAGTCGTAGTAAACTGCAGCCTTCCCCAATCTGAGGGCTCGAAGTGGTGACCCGCGCGAATGCGGGCTGCGATGCCCAGGGACACCCCCCAACCCCCTCTACCCTCCCCACCCCCACCCCTCACCTCCTGCGGGCAGCCCAGCTGGAACGCCGGGCCAGGCTCTGCGTCTGGGAGGAGAGTGACACAGGATAGTCATTAGGACAGTCATTTGGATAACTCCAGCCCTGCGGCTCCCGACAGACAGAGCAGGGCCAGGCGGAGGGGCCAGGATTCTCCAACTCGTGGTCCAGAGCAGCGGTTGACGAGGAGCAGGAACTGCAGAGGGGACTACAGGAGGATTGGCAACTGCACAAAGTCCAGGCTGGAAATCCTCGGCGTGACCCACGTGCTCCGCCTTTGTCCCGCTCCTAGCCTCATTGGTTGAAGCTAGACTGAGAGGCGATTCCGGGGCAAGTGCAATCCCCGCCCTCCACCCTCATTGGCCGGCTCGGCTGGAGGCCTATTTGACCCCGCCTAGCTCGCGCCACACCCTCATTGGATAATTGGGTAACATTGCTCCTCCTATTCATTGGATAACTCTGTCCTAGGGGCGGTTCCAAGGGGCTTCGCCAACCAGCTCCTTGCTTCCATTGGTCTACTTCGACTTGAAGGGCGGATCTCAACGCACACAGTAACCGTGCCTTGCGTTCCCATTGGCTGCTCTCATCCCACGCCCGTTGCCACCCCAGAGCCTCCCGGAGATGCTCAGCGGCCGGCTCTGCTGGCAGAGGCTGCTGCGGACTGCAGTCGCGGGACCCGTGGCAGTTCTGAGCGGGCCCAGCAAGCGTTGGCCGCGGACATGACGCCTGAGGACCAGGAGGAGACCCAGCTGCTCCCGCGGCCGTCCAGCGGGAGGTGAGCGGACGAGGGAACTCGGGCCTGGCGTGCGGTCTCGCCCCTCTCGCTGCGCCCAGGCCGGCGTCGCTCACGGACCGCTTTATCCCCGCAGTGTTCCCCGCGGCCGCCGCGTCTTCCTCGCCGCTTTCGCCGCTGCCCTAGGCCCGCTCAGCTTCGGCTTCGCGCTCGGCTACAGTTCCCCGGCCATCCCGAGCCTACGGCGCGCCGCGCCCCCGGCCCCACGTCTCGACGACGCCGCCGCCTCCTGGTTCGGGGTGAGACCTCCGGCTGGGACCCTCCACAACCATCCCCTCTGACGCGCGATGGGATCCTCCCCCTGCCTTGCTTAGGGCGGGCACTCAGACCCTCCACCAAGTACGTCCCAGTTCCCCCGCCAGGGGTTCACCCTCTCCCGGACCACCAGCCAGGGACCCAGCCCCCTTTCCTCTGTGGTAGCTGAGGTTGGAGTGGAGGGCGAGGTTGGACCTACCCCTGGAGCCTCTTCCTAAGCCGGCGTTTGCCCCTAGGCCATCGTGACCCTGGGGGCCGCGGCGGGGGGCGTACTGGGCGGCTGGCTAGTGGACCGCGCCGGGCGCAAGCTGAGCCTTCTGTTCTGCACCGTGCCCTTCGTGACCGGCTTTGCCGTCATCACCGCCGCCCAGCACGTGTGGATGCTGCTGGGGGGCCGCCTACTCACCGGCCTAGCCTGCGGCATTGCCTCGCTAGTGGCCCCGGTGAGTGTCCCCTAGCCTCGCGCTCAGGGAAGGAGGAACAGTAGCAGACCTTGGGGCGTGGTTCTCCCTGCAGCCTCCTGGGTGGCCCTTATCTACTTTATCTCCCTTACCCCTTGCAGTGGGCCCCAACCGCTGTTATTAGCCCCGTTTGCAGATGAAGTGAGTTTCGCAAAAGTGCACTCCTTTGTCCAGGCTCAATTAGTCAGTGGTGAAGCCATTACCCAGGATTGTGCCATTTAGCCCAGCCTCCGTTTTACTCTACAAATAGGATGCATCTGTGGCTGGTTAACAGAAGCCTGGCAGTATGGCTTGGATCCCCCTTGTCATTCAGACCACTGACTACAGTTTAGCAACAAAATTCTGCCTGGTTTGTCCTGGGGGCAGAGGTTGCTACCACCTGCCGCTCCTTCACTGCTCACACACCAGTCCTCGCTGCTTCCCATCTGCCAGCTCCTGACCCAGCACTGCCCAAGCTGCCTTTGGAGCTGCACACACCCGGGTGACATCCCAGCTCTGCCACTTTCCCAGGGCAGAGCGCCTCTCTGGGCCTCAGTTCCCTCCCCTGTAAAGTGAGAATGACAGATTACCTCATGCATTGGGCGAGGAACCAGACACCGCACATTAGCCCTGTCACGGCTTGGGAAGGACTTGGACCCTGGCAGCTGGGATTGCTGCATGACCAGTGAACTGCTGCTGGCCATGGGCTCAGATGATCCACCGGTCACACCCCGACCTGGTTGAGATTGAAAGCAGTGGCTCTGGGTCCTCCCTGCTCATCCCTTTGCACCTGCCACTCATTTCACCTGCATTTGCTGGGCAGCTGGGTTGGATTTTATGTTTTGGGTTTTAACTGGGCAAAAACACACCTAAGTCATGGGCATGAGGTATGGAGTAACTCAGAAGTAATGGCAAGGCCTTTCTGGCTCCTGAGCACAGTCACTGGGAGCCACTGAAGCGAAGAGTTCCCGCTTAACTCCACGGGCACCATGCCAGCAGCCCAGGTGTCACCTGGAGCTAGTTAAAAAGGCAGAGTCTTAGGCCCCACCTCAGACCTACTGCACCACAATCTGTTTTATCAAGGGTAATGATGCAGTTCAGTGAAAGTTTGAAAAGCTCTGTGCACCCGCCCACCCACCACCCAACACACAGCAGCCACATATATACCCTTAACCCCTTGAAACACCTGCTGCAGATCACTTCGTGGGGAGGGAATGAGGAAGGCCCTGACCTGGGGCTTGCAATTAGGGGCCCACCAGGCCCACATTGTTATCAAGCTCTCATCTTAATTGCTGACAGGTCTATATCTCCGAAATTGCCTACCCAGAAGTGCGGGGGCTGCTCGGCTCCTGTGTGCAGCTGATGGTCGTCATAGGCATCCTCCTAGCCTACCTGGCAGGTAAGTTTTCACATGATCTCTTGTGATCCCTGTTAGTGGCCACGTGATATGGAAACTGAAGTTTGGAGAGGTCACACAGCCAGTGCCCAAGGGGCTGTGTTCCCAGACCTCCTCCCTGAGACCCTGGGGTGTGTGGGTCTTGTGACTAAGTTCCTGGAAGAGCTAAAGAAGGCAGTGTGCTCATCTTCCCGGGGCAGAAGCCCGTTCCGAGGTCTGGGGAGAGCTGACTGCTTAGGTCAGTCCCTCACTGTGCAGTGACAAATCAAGGATTCCAGGGGCAAGTAGGACACCCCCAAAATCTTCAGCCCAGGAGCTCAGAAGGCCCATCCACGTCTCCCTCAGGAACATCAGGACTGGATTTGCAGCGTGAAGGAGGCAGGTTCCCGGAGACCTGAGGTCAGAGCTGGGCCCAGCACCAGCATGTTGTCACCAGAACTGGGGTAGAAAGAGGGCAGGCTTCATCCCTGACAGTCCCGGACTAAGGGAGGTCCTTTGCTGCTTATTGGCCGTGTGGTCTTGGCCTACTCCCAGCCCCTGGGAGCTTCACTTTCCCTGTCTTTAAGTGGAGGTAACCTTACCTTGGCCAAGGCTGTCGAAGGTTTCAAGTGACATAAGAAAAGTGCCTGGTCAGCAAGCCCCACATGACAGTTGTCAAGGATGGCCTGAGAAGCATGGTGGGGATGGGAGCTTGGGGGTTTTGGTTCTGATGGGTGTGGTGGGGCCTGGCCATGTGCCCTGTGGGTCTTTAGAATGATCATATGCAGGTTTTTGGTCTTTCTTTTTACCCACTTACATCTCGACTAATTCAGAATTCTGCCAGCAGTCTGGCTGCTGTGGGGGCCCCACAGTGTGCCAAAGCCCTGCCATGTACGCACAGTGACATTTGGGACAGACACATAGGTGTCGACGTGCCCATAGAATTATCTCCAGTTCATCATAATCTGTACTTCCATTGATCAGTTCCTGTGACTTGATCCTGTAGTGTTCAGTGTAAAGTCCCCCCACTCTGTCCCCCTTCCTCTCTGGGGGAACCAGCCTTGCCTGCCTCTTGGTGGCCTTCCAGAGGGTCTGCATGAGGACTATGCGTAGTTGTTCTCCCGCCCCAAAAGTGTACACAAGCGGTGCTTTGTCATACCCGTCATTACATAGCAAGCGCCTCATTTCTTCTATAAAGGCTGTGTATTCACTGAGCCGATGTAGCATAGTGGTGTACCCATCATCGTTTCTGCATTTCAGCAACAATGATAACAAGAGTTGCTGGGGTGGGTGAGGGGCCCGGCACTCTCTGAGAAGGCCCAGGCTGGCTCACCCTGGCCCTGGCCTCTGACCTCCCTGTGCAGGCTGGGTCCTGGAGTGGCGCTGGCTGGCCGTGCTGGGCTGTGTGCCCCCCTCCTTCATGATGCTGCTCATGTGCTGCATGCCCGAGACCCCACGCTTCCTGCTGACTCAGCACAAGCACCAGGAGGCCTCGGCCGCCATGCAGTTCCTGTGGGGCCCTGAGCAGGGCTGGGAAGAGCCCCCTGTCGGGGCTGAGCACCAGGTGAGGGGCTGGGAGGTGAAGCTCGGGGAAGGGGTCAGTGAGGTGCCACCTATCTGCAATCAGAGAGGCCAGCTCAGGTCATTCCCAAGGACGTACTCACACAGTCAGTGAGGGGCACTGTTGTCCCGCATGCCAGCCAGGAAAGGCCTGCTGAGCCCCACTCCGTGGCTTGGCCCTAGCCTTGGAGATCACTGGGAAAGCCTGAACCTTGATCTTACTGAAGAGAAAGCCAGGCCGGGTCCAAGGGACCTGCAGGGCAGACTTGAGGACTTGGATTTTTATGTGAGGGCTTTGTGGCAGGGGATGAGATTGCGTCTCTGCCACTTACCTGCCGTATGACTATCCCATTGTCAAGCTTTAGTTTCTTCGTGTAAAAAGGAGTCTTAGCACATGTCTGGTGGTGGCGGTGAGGACTTGGGGCGAGGTGTGGCGCTTGGCCCAGGCCCGAGGCTGGTGGGATTCCAGACCCCCTGGCCCTTTGTCCAGGTGCTCTTTGTGGCTTCCCCAACATGTCAGAAAGGGATGTACAGAGGTGAGGACCTAGTCACCGTACAAATGGGGAGGCTGTAGTGATGCAGAGACCTGTGCCCGGATGAGGCCCGGACAAGAAGCTGGGGCTCTCTTCCTCCACCAGGCCTAGGATGGTGGTTAGAGCCTGGGCGCCCCTCGGGAGGGGGAAGAGCAGCACTGATGCCCGTTTCTGCTGGGCAGGGCTTCCAGCTGGCCGAGCTGAGGCGTCCTGGCATCTACAAGCCCTTCGCCATCGGCGTTTCACTGATGGTCTTCCAGCAGCTGTCGGGGATCAACGCGGTCATGTTCTATGCAGAGACCATCTTCGAGGAGGCCAAGTTCAAGGTAAAGGGGCCCCTGCCCCGGCTGGCCTCATCCAGATGCCATGTGGTGTGGCCTAGTCCCAGGGTCTTTGCCTGACCCACCTCTGCCCATCCCCCCAGAACAGCAGCTTGGCCTCCGTCATCGTGGGCGTCATCCAGGTGCTGTTCACGGCCATGGCGGCCCTCATCATGGACAGAGCTGGGCGGAGGCTGCTCCTGGCCTTGTCAGGTGAGGCCTGAGGGCTCGGGCTCAGGCCTGTGCACGTGGGGTGGTCCAGGCCGGCTCCCCACCACAGGCTGGAGGGTCTTTGCCGAGGCCCCTGGGTTTTGGGAGGAGAAGCAGAAGCGCCCCTGAGAATGAGACCGAGATTTAACGGGAGTGTTCGATGCAGACTGGACCCGCGCTCATGGCAGCACCAAATCACACCTTGACCTTTGCTGTGAACCTACAGGGAAGGTGCCATTGGGACCCCGGTTATGAGGAAACTGAGGGCCCTAGAGGCGAAGTGACTTGACCTCTCTGAGTCTGTTTCCCCTCTGAAATGGGGGTAATGGTGGGCCATCGTGAGGATCAGCAGAGGGTTGGGGAGAGCCCCCTCGCGAGCTGGGGCCCATGAGCACTTGGTACTGCGGGGTAGACGGGTTCCAACAGGGCTGCTCCACTCACCACTGCTCCTCAGGCCCGGGGCTCTGCTTCCGGGAGCTTCTTGGAGTTCTTTGAGGTTTGAGGTCCAAGCCAGGGCTGGCAGGGCCGGGCTGGGGTCGGTGCTGCCCAGTCAGGGCTCCCGGGTACCGCTCACGCCCCTCTTCAAGGTGTCCAGGCCATGTTGCTGTGGCCACACAGGTTGGAGGCTCCTGCCCCGGGAGCCACGCGCCCGGGCTATGGGCCGCTTCCCCGAGCACCCTGCCCGCCGCTGCCTCCACCTGCAGGTGTGGTCATGGTGGTCAGCGCCAGTGCCTTTGGCGCCTACTTCAAGCTGACCCAGGGTGGCCCCAGCAACTCCTCGCACGTGGACCTCCTGGCACCCATCTCCACGGAGCCTGCTGATGCCAGTGCAGGGCTGGCCTGGTTGGCGGTGGGCAGCATGTGCCTCTTCATTGCTGGTGAGAAGGGGGCCTGTGGGGAGGTTGGTGGGGACCAATGGGGGTGCCCTATCACTGCTGCGTTCCTATGGATCCCAGTGAGTCCAGCCTGGTCTCAAGTGTCCAAATAGGTCCCCGACTCTGTATTTATAGCTCTGATCACGTGTCAAGCACCCAGCTAAGCCCTCCTATGCTCCTCTCACTTACTCCCCACATCAGCACGCTGAGTAGCCCCATCGATATCCCAGTCTGTAGAGAGGGGACCTGAGTGTAAGAAGGGAAGGGCCTGGCCTAAGACCGCCCAGCAGGAAGGCGCAGAGCTGGGGGCCCCGACCAGAATCCAGGCCCTCAGCCCATGCCAGGCTCGGAGAGGCTTCAGCCCTGCGGTCTGCTGCAAGCCGAGGGGCCCGGCCCCTGTGGCTTCTGATGCCTGTCTTGCTCCCGCAGGCTTCGCTGTGGGCTGGGGGCCCATCCCCTGGCTCCTCATGTCTGAGATCTTCCCTCTGCACGTCAAGGGCGTGGCCACCGGCATCTGTGTCCTCACCAACTGGCTCATGGCCTTTCTGGTGACAAAAGAGTTCAGCAGCCTCATGGTGAGTACAGGCCCTGATGGCCACCCCCTCACAGAGTCAGCAGAGAAGCACTTTTAGATTATTCTCTGCAAAAAAGACGGGGTCAGTGGCCTCGTGTGCAGGCTGAGGTCCCACCATCCTGGGAGACAGATGGACTGGGGCAGGCCGTGACCACTCGGGCCTTCAGGCTGTGTTGGTGGAGGACAGCAGGGAGGGCCTCCTCCATTGGACATGGTGGGGATAGGTCGGGAAGTATGGCTGTAGAGTCCACAGGCCTGGGCTCCAGCCCTGCCTTGGCCATTTCCCTGCTGTGTGACTTCGGTGTGCTGCTTACCTTCTCTGAACCAGCTTCCTTGGCTGAACATCGAGGAGAGCGAAGTACCTTCCTCGTAGGGTTGATGGGAACATCAGTTCAGCATTTTGCTGCCTTCTCATGACGGATCGACACACACATGGTCCTGCCCAAGGGCCTCCCAGCTGCGGGGGTGGGGGTGCTGGAGCAGATAGACAAGCATTGTGCTCAGTCATGTGTTCTGCCCAGTCCTGGTACACACCACGTCCAGGCTGCTCATGGTGCCAGAGACAGCAAGAAACGAGATGGACAGGGCCCCCTTTATGACAAGGGCTGGGACAGCAGGGGACAGTGGTGGGAGAATGAACCACCAGGAGACAGGGCTGGGGCCGGGGGGCAGGTCCTGAGAGGCATGGATGCCCAGGGCTGGCCGGGAGTCTGTCCAGGGCACAGGCCCATTCAGGCAGCTGCCCTGGGGAGGGAGAGCTGGGAAGGAGGGGCCTGTGGTTCCGGGCTGGGAGGGTGGACAGGCTCTGACCAGAGGGAACTGCTCACTCTTCCCTCCACACCTGTGGGCTGAGCGTCCCTGTGAGCTCACACTGCCGCCCGTCAGCCTGCTGTTACAAGGTTCACCACTCCCTCCAGTACCAAGAAAGGAGGCCCCTCTGGGCGCGGGGACCTCAGAGGGCAGGTCTGGGGGCTCTGGAGTCAGGCCCTAGGGATGAAAGAGCCCAACTGTCCCTTGATAGTGCGTCTCTGACCTGGGGGCAGTCAATCACAGCGAGCCTCAGTTTCCCCAGCACACAACATCCACACCTTGGGCAGTACTCAGCCCCAGCTTCTAGATGACCACACCAGACCCTCCTCCACTGCCCTGAGTCTGGGGCCTCCACTCGTGATCCTGTGAGGGCCCCTGACCTTCTGCCGTGGTCACTGTGGCTCGCTCTCTCTCTCTGCAGGAGGTGCTCAGGCCCTACGGTGCTTTCTGGCTCGCATCCGCCTTCTGCATCGTCAGTGTCCTTTTCACTTTGTTCTGTGTCCCTGAAACCAAAGGAAAGACTTTGGAGCAAATCACAGCCCATTTTGAGGGGCGATGACAGCCCCTTCCCGAGAGCAGCTGCCCCTCCTAGCTGGGCCAGTTTGGGCTTCAAAGCCTGCCTGTGACTTGGAGCTGGGCCCCAGCCAGAGGCCAGAGCACCTGCCCATCCCGAGCCAGGATCCAGGACCGAAGCCCCTCGAAGCCTTGTCCTCCGGGTCCCTCCTTCCTGCCGAGCCCTCTACAGCCCCATGAGCCACGGGCATGAGGCTCCCAGCCCCGGGCCACTTCCCACCACTGCTCTGAGACTGGGTAGAAGGGTACATCTCCGAGGGTCTTCGCTACCCTTTGGCCAGTCCTCCACGTGCTGTCGCTGTCCTGACACTAAAGTGACAATGGAGGAGGGACTCCTGGCTCCTCCCTTTCTGGAGGAGGTGCTTTTGGAGGCTGGTGGTAGCCCATGGTCTCCTCACAGGGCTGCATCATCAAGAAGGAACTTTGTTTGCCAAATAAAGATTTGACTCAGAGCCCTGGCCGGGCAGTTCACTTGGTCGGAGTGTCATCCCGTACACCAAAAGGTTGCAGGTTTGGTTCCAGGTCAGGGCACATGCCTTGGTTGAAGGTTTGATCCCTGGTCGGGCACGTATGGGAAGCAGCCAATCTATTTTCTCTGTCACGTTGATGTCGCTCTCTCTCTTTCTCTCCCCTCCCTCCTCCTTCCTCTCTCTCTAAAAATCAATAAAACATATCCTCCAGTGAGGACTAAAAAATAAGATTTGACTCAGAAAATCAGGTCACGGCCTCTCTGAGCTGCAGTTTGAGAGCATTTTCCTGTCCCTTCCGTCAGTGGGCCTTGCTGAGAACATCTAGGGGTTTGTTTCCTGTCCTGTAACCTGCTTTATTCACTTCGCAGCCCACGTGCACCCACCTTGAGGTCTTTTTTTTTTCTTTATTGATTTTAGGGAGAAAGGAAGGGAGAGGGGGGGGGAGAGAGAGAGATCCATGAGGGAGAACATTGATTGGCTGCCTCCTGCACCTCCTGCATGCCCCCCACTGGGGATCTGGCCCACAACCTGGGCATGTGCCCTGACCAGGAATCCAACCGGTGCCTCTTGGTGCATGGGTCGATGCTCAACCAGTGAGCCACACCACCGGGCTTGAAATCTATTAATCTATAGTGAGGCCAGAGAGCAGGGCGGTGGGGAGAGGGGCAGTGGTACAAGGGAGAGTGGAGGGGAGGGTGGGCGGTGGTGCAGGGGAGCTCTGAGGGGAGGGTGGGCGGTGGTGCAGGGGAGCTCCGAGGGGAGGGCGGGCAGTGGTACAAGGGAGAGTGGAGGGGAGGGCGGGCGGTGGTGCAGGGGAGCACCGAGGGGAGGGCGGGCAGTGGTGCAGGGGAGCGTGGAGGGGAGGGCGGGCGGTGGTGCGGGGGAGCGGCCCCCAGGGTTAGTTTCTGGAAGATTCTGCAGCAGCTGCACTGATTTTAGTAAAATGCACCAAGGAATACACAGGACAGCTCTCAGCTTTAGCAAAGTCCAAATTCCTGGGGGTCTTCCAGAAGCAAGGTCACGTCCAAGTGCAGGCTCTCTCCCATATCGCTAACTGCACGTCTAGTGTCGTCAGTGCTTTATTAAGGCATATTTACATGTTATCAAATTCAGTTGTTTGTGTAAAATGTGATGACTGAGGTCAAAGGTACATAGCTTGTCCCCACCACCACAATGAAGACAGGATATTTTCATCACCTCAGAATGTCCTCTTGTCTGCAGTCAGTCGCCTCCCTACAGCTGTGGCCCCGGCACCCACAGATGTGTTCCATCCCTATAGTTGGGCTTTGTCTAGACCTTCATAGCACCGGAATCATTTGGTTTGCAGTCCTTTGAGTAGCCTGGACTCAGCCAAGTGGGTTTCGGCTCATCCGTGTTGTGTGTGTCGGCAGTTCATTCCTGTGTCACATGGTGTCCGTTGGACGTCTGGGCCCCTTACAGCTCCTGACTGATGAATAACGTTGTCATAAACATTTGCATTCAAGTTTTGTGTGGAGTGGAACTTCCGGGCCACATATTAAGTTTATGCTTAACTGTTTTAAGAAGCCACCAAACTATTTTCCAGTGTTTGTACCATTTGGCATTCTCAGCAGCAAGACAGCCCCTCGCCCTGGCCGGTTTGGCTCAGCGGTTAGCGCGTCGGCCTGCGGTCCAGAGAGACCCGGGTTCGGTTCCCGCTAAGGGCACGTACCTCGGTTGCAGTTTGTCCCCAGCCCTGGTTGGGTCGTGCGAGTGGATGTGTCCCTTTCACATTGATGTTTCTCTCTCTCTCTCTCCCCCTCCGACTCTATCTGAGCAAAAAATGGAAAAATGTCCTCAGGGGAGGATTAAAAAAAAAAAAGACACAGCCCCTCGCCCTCCGCCTCCTCAACAATTCATATTCGCTGCTACAAACAAAGCTGTTTACATCGTTAACTTTTCGCAAGTGGTCTACTCTCGGATTTCCTCTGGACTCACTTGATCCGGTTTAATTGGTCCTTCTCTTTGATGCTGCTGGTTTATCTCAGATCTACGGTGAGCTTCCCGTCATCCACACTCAGGGATGGAGAACTAGCCGTTTAACTAGCCGCGGTGCTCCCCTCCCACCCACTCTCCATTCAGTTGGATTTGTTCCCTTTTGTACATCTTCGCTGTCATTTCCATGGGATTTGGAAGAAGAGAAGAGGTAAATGTGTAAATTCAGTGAGCCAGCTTGAAATGTAAGCTTCCTCCATTCTTTTTTTATTATTATTTTTTAATCCTCACCCGAGGATATTTTTCTCAAATATCTTCAGATAGAGTAAGAGTGAGTAGGAGGAGAGAGAGAGAAACATCGATGTGAGAGGGACACATCGATTGGTTGCCTCCCACACAACCCCAACCAGGGCCAGGGATGAACCACAACCGAGGTACGTGCTCTTGGCCGGAATCAAACCCATGACTCTGGTCCACAGGCTGATGCTCTATCACTGAGCCAAACTACCCAGGGCTTTCTCCATTCTTTTAATATGTTTGTTTGCCATTGGAGTCATGGTATATGGCAAAGAGTAGGTGCTCAAATAGTTACTAAATTTAAGAATTTAAGTTTTTTTTTTTTTAATCCTCACCTGAGGACATTTTTCCATTGTTCCACACTCAGATGGTTTCCAGTTTTCTGCTTATTGATAATTCTGTTATTTTAGATATAGATTTAGAGAAAGAGATGAGACAACAGAGGGAGATAAAAGAGGAGAGAGGAGAGATGAGAAAGTTGATAGAAGAAGTGAGAGGGATAACGAGAAATGATAGTGATAGACGAGATAGAAAATAGAGATGGAGGTGGGCAGAGATGGAAGTAGTGGTGATGATGGAAGATGGAGATGGTTATGGAATGAATGGTGTCCCCCTAAAATCTGTATGTTGAAGCCCTAACCCCAGTGCTTTAGAATGTGACTATATTTAGAGATAAGGCCTTTAAGAAGGTAATTAAGGTAAAATTCAGGTCAAGGATGGGTCCTAATCCAGTATGACCTGTGCCCTTATAAGACACACACACACACACACACGCACACAGGGAAGACCATGTGAAAAGGCAAAGGTGGCCATTTTCAAGACAAGAGCCCTCAGAGGAAACCAACCCAGCCAACACCTTGGATTTAGCCTCCAGAACTCAGAGGAAATAAATTTCTGACATAGTTGGGGAGAAAGAGAACTAGGGATAAACCTCACATAGGCAACCAGAAATTTCTTAGGATAAAACCTTAGAAGCATAATTGCTGGTCAAAGGAGTTGTGCGTTACAAAAGCTACTGTTCCGTCCTGTTAGGCCGCACCCCAGAAGGCTGTACACTGGCTGTGTATGAGAGGGCCCTGTCCCCTACCATCTCAGAACCTGTTCTCAGTGAGTTGGCATAAAGAGTGGGAGCCGGACCTTCAGACAGGTTCGGGCACACATTAGGTGTCTAATGACAGACAGCCTTGGCGCCTGTGCGAATCATGTCCACATTTAACTCGATATGACAGGCCGCCCACTCTTGGCCACTTCACAAAAGACTGGTCTTTATACTGGATAACTTCTCGACATGGATAACTTCTCGACAAGCAGAGACTGCTTCTAGCTCCTGCTTGGCCATCCCCAGCCTCTGCAAACGGGGCTGGCAAAGGACCAGAGGGAAGGCAGGGGGGTGGGTCACTCCCCACTCGGGAGATGATTAAACTTGTGGGCAAGGAAGCCCTCATGTGACTTTAACCCTACAGTGGCCATTTCCTCTGTAAGCCAGGAGCCAGGAGCCATGGCAGCATGGTGAGTAAGAGCCAGTGGACTTGGTTCAAATTCTGATTGTACTACTCACTGTCAATGTGACCTGGACAAGTCACTTAACCTCACCAAGTCTCAGTTTATTCATCTGTAAATGAGCATAATGATGCTATCTCCCTTACAAGATTGTTGTGAGGATGAAAGAAAATAATTGTGTAAAGCACGTAGAACTGATTATGTCACAGAGAAAGTGTTGGATAGATGTTAGCTGGCGGTGGTGAGGCTGTGGTGGAGCTGGGGAGCTGCATGCAAGGCTGGTGTGAGCTCCAAGGTGTGCCTCTGGAAGGGACATCTGGAATCTTGACACATTTTTCTCTTTATATCTATTTCCTACTCAGCTCCCTCAGTATCTCCTACCAAACCATCTTCTGACTGCTGCCAGCACCCACTTATAGGTATCAAGGACTGTTGGCACACATGCCCTTCAGAGGTCCCCTGAGACTCCCTTGGGGCCTTTCCATCAGGGCACAAGATGCTGTAGGGACCAAGAACCATCCACAGCTGGCAGTCCAGTATCTGCCGCAGGGGCCAGCCCAGCACTATCAGACACAGGACCGTGGAGAAGAGAAGGATAAAATTCCCACAAGACAGGTGCAGCAGAAGCTGTGCTTTACCCAGCCCAGAGAAGACAAGTCTTTGCAGTGGATAATCGTACCAGTCTGCCCATCAATACTCACTCCATCTCTACCCTCCCCACCTGCAACACTTCCAGAAGAATCCTGGCCTCTGCAAACCTGAGAACAGGACTGCCCTAACGCCGTCCAGTGGCCACAGGCGGAACTGTATCAGTTAGAGCTTGAAGCACTCTGGACCTTCTAGCGGCCATGGGTAGGAAACCCTCTGCTACCGCCGAGTGGCCAGTGTAGGATTAGCACCTGTTGGCCTGTGGCTGCGGGCGGAACCGCACTCAGCTGGAAGGAGCCAAAAGTCAAGGAAAACTGGCAGCCCCTGGAAGCTGGAAGAGGCAAGGAAACAGATTCTCCCCTAGAGCCTCAGGAAGGCACGTAACAATACCAACACCTTCATTTTATCCCGGGGAGATCCATCTCAGACTCCTGGCCTCCAAAGCTGGAAGCCCAAATTGCAGAAGCCCAAAGTAGAAAAGGCCATCTCAAAGAGATCTGTAGGTGTGACTTGCCTAATGGAGTTAATCCAGTAAGAGTCAAAGAGGACCCACAAAGTTAAGAGGATTATATTGACAAAAACGCTACCAGATGTGACTGAAGGGGACAGAGACAGTACAACAGGAGAAACGACCTTAGCAGCCGACACTCATTTCTGCTTCCCAGGTAACGCATTCCCGTTAGAATGCCTTTAAAATTAAATTGGTTATCCACAAATTGCTTGGGTAGTGAAGAACTGTCATCAGCGCTCTGAGGAAGCCCACTGAAATATCCCCTGGAGCAGCCAGGCAGCCTCCGCGAGACAACGTTCAGGGTCTCCTCACAGCAGTGCCAGTCGTACACCATCAAAGTGCGTTTCTGCCCCGGAATCACTGAAGTTCCCTCCTGAGAATTCCAGCCCACCAACCCGTGGCACCCCTGTTCACACCGCGAGGCCCTCATTTCCTTTACTCTTCCCAAACGCTCAAGAGGACCCTGAAGGTGGGTGGGGCTGGGCCTGGGCTGAAGGTCCCGAAGTCCAAGACCCGAGCGATCTGCTGCTCTGGGAACGTGAACCACTGAAAAATCAGGGGCCCGGCACCAGTGTAGCTCTGTGCGTGCGCTAAAACTACAACTCCCAGGGTCCTTCGCGCCAAGTCGCTTCCTGCCTCGGAGGCCCCCGGCGTTGGATTCCGGTGGACCTGAAGAGCATGTGCAACACAGCATGATGGGAAATAGATTCTGGGAGCAAGGACTGGCGGAATCGTCCCTGAGAGGTCAACGAGGATGTGCGGCTCACAAAGCTGGCGCCGAGAGAAGGCTTTGGCCAGGAAGAGAGCGCGGAGACTTCTGGGGAATGGAGTCTGGAGGGACTGGGATGCGTGCGCGCATGACCGAAAGTGACGGTGTTCAGGCGCGTCCCCTTTGGCGCGAGAGCCGGACCTGGTGTTTGGCAGGAGCTGGAAGCGGCTTCTCAGCTCGCGCCGGCACCCAGTACCCGGCAGCCCGCTCGGGCCGCCCGCGGCGATTTTTTCACGCGGGGTTCTGTTTGAGACCGAGTCGTTGCTTGCGCCTCGGGCTCCCTACCGACGCCTGGCTGTGGCTGGCGAGACAGTGAAAGACCCGGCTGGACAGGCCCCACCGCAGCGCCCAGGGCCCAGCACTGCAGGCTCAGACCCGGCACCCGAGCGGGGCCGGAGAGGAGGCCACGGTCAGAGTGGGTCTGCAGTGAAGCGACGCTGACGCCCGGAGAACACTGGGAGGCGATGTCGCGAGGTGAGACCCAAATGCTGGGGGAAGGTGAGGAGTGGAGGGAAGGGTTTGCGGGAGATCCGGCTTCTTGTCCCGGCTTGCGCCCTATTACTGCGGTGCGACCCGGCCCAGAACCCTGCGGTTATCCTTCCACTTAGGGACGATCTTTAATTAAGAAATCTGGGGTCAAAAAAGTTTGAGGAGCTCAAGCCTGGATAATCTCTGAGTATCCAACCCCTCACCCCGATCTGCCTGATGGACCGATAGCATCTTAGAGAGAATGGGGCCTGGGAAGGAAAATGGGACGAACTCGGGGTCTCCTCCACTGCTTCTGATCTTCCAGCTCTTGACGCAGCTGGGGATGCTTGGAACAGGAGCACTGGCTCCACCTGAGATGAGGGCGGGTTCGACCCAGTTGGATTGTGAAGTTGTGGAGGGTACATGTGGAATCAGAAATCCTGTTTAAACTGTTGGGTGCCTTGCCAGGTTTCTTAACCTGTGTTTTTATGGAGGAAAGGGTAAAATAATTGAGTACCTCGTTTACCTCTAAGAGCTGTAAGCATCAAATAGCGTTTTTGAAAACACTTTTTAATTTTTTTTGGTACATGCCCCTAGCGGGAACCGAACCTGGGACTCTGGTCCACAGGCCAACGTTCCAACCGCTGAGCCAAACCAGCCAGAGCTGAAAGCCCCTTTAACGCCTTGCAGGACACAAATGCGCATTTAATCTTAACCACCGAGGCCTGTGCCATCCTCCCCTAGATCAAGGAGCCCCAGTGTTGGTCAGTAACTCTCCAAGCCCAATTTGACATACAGCATTTCGTGCTGTCTTCCCCCAGAGACCTGAGAACGCAAGCAGGAGGTTATCATCCTCTCCCAAGAGAGTTAGGTACAACTCAATAACATAAGGTCTGTACTAAGACCTGTATCCAGACCTTTTTCTTTTTCTGAGGACTGTACTACCTCTACTACTTTTTGAATTGAGATATAATTCACGTAACTACAGTATTAGCTTTTAAAATATACAGTCAACTGGCTTTTAGTATACTTGCAAAGTTGTACAACCATCACCACTATTTAGTTCTAGAACGTTTTCATTACCCCAAAACCTGTGCCCATTAACCACTACCTCTTCCACCTACCCCCCTGGCAACCACTAATCTTTTTGCCCTGTGGATTTGCCCATTGTGGACATTTCATAAAAACAGAATCATACAATATATGTGTCTGACATTTCATTTAGGGTAATGTTGTGACATGAATGAATGTACCTCGTTCCTTCTTATGGCTAAATAATATTCCATTACATGGACATACTACATTTTTATTGATTTTTCTAGGGAGAGGGAAAGGTTGAGATAGAAACATCAATGTGGGAGAGAAACTTGGATCAGCTGCCTCCTGCACGCCCCCTAGTGGGGATCGAGCCCACAACCCAGGTATGTGCCCTGACCCAGAATTAACTGGAACCTCTCAGTCCATGGGAGGATGCTGAATCCACTGAGCCACACCGCGGGGCTGGACATACTACGGTTTATCTGTTACTGGGCTGATGGACATTGGGTAGTTTCCAGTATGGGCTATTATGAATAATGCTGTGAACATGCGTGCACAAGTTTTTGTGTGGACATATTTTCATTACTCTTGGGTTTATGCCTGGGCGAGGGGAATTGCTGTATCAGTTTAACTTTCCAAGGAGCTGCCAAACTGTTTTCCACAATGGCTGCACCATTTTACATTCCCAGTAGCAATGTATGAGCGTTCCAGTTTCTCTACATCAACACTTGTCTTTCATCTTTTTCCATTTTAGCCATCTAGAGTGTGTGAAGTGGTAACCTCATTATGGTTTGATATGCATTTGTCCAATGAGTAATGATATTAAGCATCTTTTCATGTACTTTTTGGCTATTTGTATTATCTTGCTTGGAGAAGTATCCAAATCCTCTGCCCATTTTGAAATTGGGTTGTCTTTTTGTTGTAAGAATTCTTGATATATTCTGGACACTGGATCCTTAGAAGATGTAGGATTTTGCAGTGGTTATCTTTTCACTTTCTCTATAGTACCCTTTGAAGCACAAAGTTTTTAATTTTGATGAAATCCAATTTATTTTTTCTTTTGTTGCCATATCTAAGAAACTATTGCCTAATTAGAGGTTATAAACATTTGTTTTCTTCTAGGAGTTTTAGCTTTTACATTAGGTCTTTGATCCATTTTGATCATTTTATTAGCAGTACAAGGTAAGAGTCTAACTTCATTCTTTTAATTTTTTTTATTTAGAGAGGAAGGGAGGAGAGGAGAAAAAGAACTATTCGTTGTTTACTTATTTATGCATTCATAGGGTTCTTGTATGTGCCCTGACCAGGGATCGAACCCACAATCTTGGCATTTCAGGATGATGCTCTAATTAACTGAGCTACCCAGTCAGGGCCTCTAACTTCATTCTTTTTTTTAATTTTTTTATCCTCACCCAAGGACTTTTTTATTTTTTATCCTCACCCAAGGACATTCCTCCATTTTTTGTTCAGATAGAGTGGGAGGGAGAGAAAGAGAGAGAGAGAGAAACATTAACGTGAAAGAGACACATCAAGTGGCTGCCATCCGCATGACCAACCAGGGCCGGGGACAAACTGCAACTGAGGTATGCGCCCTTAGCGGGAACCGAACCCTGGTCTCTCTGGACTGCAGGCCGACACACTCCAACCGCTGAGCCAAACCGGCCAGGGCTTTTTTCCATTTTTTGTTCAGATAGAGCGGGAGGGAGAGAGGGAGGGAGAAACATCGACATGAAAGGGACACATCGAGTGGTTGCCACCCACACAACCCAGCCAGGGCCGGGGACAAACTGCATACGTGCCCCTAGTGGGAACCGAACCCGGGTCTCTCTGGACCTCAGGCCGGTGCTCTAATCACTGAGCCCAACTGGCCAGGGCTCTAACTTCATTATGTGGGTGTCCAGTTGTCCGAGCTCCATTTCTTGAAAAGTTTGTTCTTTCCCTATGTAATGTCTTGGTGCTCTTATTGAAAATCAGTTGTTTATAAATGTTTATTTCTCAGTTCTTTTCTGTTGATCTTTATGTCTATCCTTATACCAGTACCACACTATTTTTTTTTTTTTAGTACCACACTATTTTAATTACTGTTTTGTAGAAACTTGATAATTGTGAATGAGTTCAACTTAGTTCTTTTTCCAGATTGGTGGACTATCCTGGGTCTCTTGCATTTCCATATGAATTTTAGAATCACTGTATCAATTTCTGTAAAAAAGCCAGCTGGGATTTTGATAGGGATCGTTCTGACTCAACAATGTTTGGTAGGTTTTAGTGTATATGAGGTGTACTTTTGTTTTTATTCCTGTGTATTTCATTCTTTTAATGCTCTTGTAATAGAATTGCTTTAAATCTCACTTTTGGACTGTTCATTGCTAGTACCTAAAAATATTAAAATCTTTTGCCCATTTTTAAGTAGGTTGTCTATTGTATATTCATCTTGCATCCTGCAATCTTGATGAACTTGTTTACCTGTTCCAGTTTGTAGATTCCTTAAGATCTCTGGATACAAAATCTTGTCATCATGAATACAGTTTAAATTCCTTTCCAATCTGGATGCCTGATTTATTTATTCCCCTGCCTAACTGCCCTGGCCAGAACTTCCAGTAAAATACTGAACAGCAGTGGCAAGAGCAGACATCTTTGTCTTGTTTCTGACCTTACAGAGAAAGCATCAGGCTTCCACCGTTAAGTACGATGTTTGCTCTGGTCTTTTCGTAGGTGCCTTTCCTCAAGTACAAGAAGTTCCCTTCTGTTAATAGTTTGAGTGTTTTATCATGAAATGTGTCATATTTTGTAAAATGGTCTTTTTGGTGTTCACTGATGATCATGTGGGGTTTTTTCCTCTGTATTAGTATGGTGCATTACATAGATTTTTGTATGTTGAACCAACCTGTGTTCCTGGGATGAATCCTCTTGGTCATTACCTTCTTTTGATTAGGCAAATGTCTTAAATTTGCAGAGCCACTTTCTCCAAAGAACTAATACGTAATATTTGTAAACTATATACTTAACTTGCACTTTCATCTTCAAAGCAACAACTTTACAAGGGAATATCATTCCCATTTTACGGATGAGAAAAATGAGACTTAGAGAGGTTTTGTTATTTGCACACTCCTGGCAAGTGGTGGATCTCGGATACTTGAGTCTGTTACACTCTAATGCTTCCCTATGTCTGACTGAATTGGTATTTCTGAGGTAGGAAGAAGAGAATGGGGAAACGTACATCCCACTATGAGTCTGCAAATTCACCCTGTGTCCTGAGACTTTTTTTTTTAATCCTCACTCAAGGATATTTTTCCACTTATCTTCATATGGGGGGTGGGGGGCTTTGATTGGTTGCCTGCTGATTGACCCCGACCAGGGCCTGGACCAAACCGCAACCAAGGTACGTGTCCTTGACTGGAATCAAACCTGCAACTCTTTGGTCTGTGAGCTGACCCTCTAACCACTGAGCCAAACCAGCCAGGGCATGACCTGAAACTTTCCGTGTCCTTTGAGCCCCCTCTTCAGGGTGAGAATGTGAGACTTTCTACCTTGATGAGCTATACACTTTTATGCCTCATTGGTTTCTTTCTCTTCCCCCAGAACCACCTTCTCCACACCCTACTCTTTCCCAAGAGCAAAGCGCAAGAGAGGAAGGAATGGTGGCTGGTCTCCTCACAGTGGGGCCACATGTAAGTTGGAAATGTACTCTGAGGCCAGTCTTTTTATTATAACATTAAGGGTTTTTTTGTTGTTAATTACAAAAGGAACTCATGTTCATTGTAGAAAACATGAAAAATATAGAAGACACACACCCAGTGGGTGATACTGAGGAGGAGGAAGGACTAAGCACTTGATTTGTGGGGAGCTGCAGGAAAGGGAAGATTGACACTCAGGTTTCTGGGTGGCTAACTAGGAGACTGTTCCCTGAACTGAAGATGACAGGCTTCCTTGCCCCTATGTCTTTGCTCATGGTGCTTCCCCTGCCTTGGGTAATCTCCTCTTGCTCCTTTTGAGGAATCTCCTACAGGCCAGCTCAGTGACTGCCTTCTCTCTGTGGTCTTCCTGTCCTCCTCCTGCCCTCCACACAGGATTCCTCTTCTACCTTATAAACTGATCTGTCCATCTCTTTGACACATTACAGGGGGTTGCATGTGTACCTGGATGTCCTGCTGTACCATGTGATGTGAATTTATGGGGATATTTATTAAATGTTCTGAAAACATTACCTTTCACATCTGTTTGCTAATTTGCACCTGATTGTTCATTATGTAAACTCACATTCTAATTCTGTTCTATATTGGCTCTTAATTCCCACGCAGCTTTATTTTCTGTCCAATTACTGTTTATGTAATTTCACATATTTTCTATTTATCAGTAGGTGAAATCTACCAGAATTGTGAATGTGAAGGCAAGGGAGACTGTATTTTATTTATATTTGTGTGTCAGTGTCCCAGTAGTGCTAAGCACATAGTGAGTGCTTTTCTGGAACTACCCAGAGCCCTGAATCCTTTCCAAGACCCTTTCTAGGCCTGCTAGCCATCTTACCCAGAGTCATCCTCCCAGCCTCCCCCTTCTCAACCACATACCCTAAGGTTACTGGGCAAGAAGAAATGTGTTTGTTGTTTCAGGGATCCACACCCTTTGGCAATGTGACTGTAGCTTTTACTCACAAAGAGTGGAGGCACTTGGTCCCTGCTCCAAGGGACAGGTTCGAGGAGGAGATACCGGAAAAGTCCAGGAACCTGGTCCTACTGGGTAAGGAAACCATTGAAAATACATAATCTTCTCAATTCTGAGAACCTGCAGCCCTTTCCAATGTTGAGTGATCTTGAATTGCAGACACCGTGGAGGGGCAGTGTTTATTCCTCCTGGTTCCCTAGGAAAAGGTCTCTGTACTCTTAGCTAGGAAATAGGCATTTTCATTTTGCTCCCTGAGGCTGCACCTCACCGTTTTCTTTTTTTCCCAGTAGAGTTTGGGGTAAACCTTCCAGTTCCCTCCATAGTCATTAATTTTCCATGTGCCTAAGTAGCTTGCTTTACGAGCTTAACTGCTTGGCTTGACCCCATATTTGAGGGCATTTGTGTATCTCCTTCCAGAAATGCCTCACTAAGACATTGGCCCCATGTCTGTCTTACTACTGTACCCCTTAGTATGTGGCACCAATGAATGAAATTAATGACTTAACTGGCCTGTTTCTACTCCCCTGAATTCTGAGTGGCTATTAGGACAAATCTCTAAAGCCCGTTTTTCTTCCCTTTGAATAGGACTTCCAGTTTCCCAACCTGGCATGAACTCCCAGTTAGAACAAGGAGAAAGCCCATGGATGCTGGAGGGAGAAGGCCTAAGGACTACCTGTCCAGGTAAATGAACAAGCACTAAGCCAGTGAGTCTTGGGAGCAAAAACCCCTTTGAAGCCCACATGAATGCATTTGACAGGTAATAGTGACTGGGGGATACAAAGGTGAGACTTGGAATACGGATGGGGGTGAGGGCTATTTTAGATCAGATGAATAGGAAAGACCACTTTGAGGAGGTGACATTGGAGCTGAGATCTGAAGGAAGAGAATGAACCAGCCATGTGAGTATTTGGGGGAGAAACATTCTGAGCCACAACTTGTATTGAGGGTCCAAGTTGGGAATGAGCTTGGCTTGTGTTGGGATCAAAAGGCCTTAGTACTCAGTGAACAAGAGGGAGAGTGGTAGGCAGGGGCCAGATCTATAGGGCTCTGGAGGCCCATGGTAAGGGATTTGGATTTTATTCAGATCAGATAGGGGCCACTGATGGTTTTGAGCAGGAAAGGGGCAATATTTGATTTGTTTTAAAAGATAACTCAGCAGGTATGTGGATAATAGACTTTCAGGTTCAAGAATAAAAGCAGGGAGATCAGCTGAGAATCTGATGCAGACAAATTCCAGTGAGATAACTATGGGTGGTAAGGAGGATTCAGGACATATTTGGGTGTTAAAGCCAAAAGGACTCATTAGTGAATTGGATGTAAGAGCAAGAGGCATTAAGGATGACCCTGCCTGAGTATTTGGTGAATGGGAAAACTGACAAAGACACTGGCACTCGGGAGAGGTGGGCTGAGGAAGGACAGTCCATGAACATCACATGATCTTCTAAATTGCTCCTTTTCATCTTTTACTCAGAAGTCATATGTAATCAAATACATAGAGACTCTCTCAACCAGAAACGGGGACTTCTGTGCTCACGATTGATTGGGCATTAGTACACACCTGCACCTTCGAGGGAAATCTGCTTAATGTGAAGCTAAGGAAAATGTCCAAGATGGTAACAAGCTTTCATAAAAGTTATTATTCCTCAGGTATTAATCTGGGTCTGTTATGTGCCTTAACTCATTTAATCCTCACAATAATTCTGCCATGAGAGCTACAAATAAGTCCAAAGCACAGAAAGAGTAAGTAATATGTCCAAAGTCACACAGCTCTTAAGAGGTGGAGCCATGATGTGAAAGACCGTCTAGGTCAAGATTTTGTATAGAAATTCAAATTAAGGGTACCTAGAACTAACCTGCTATTCCCTACTCATTTCTGAGAAATAAGACCTTAAGTTAAATTGTGAAAGGAAACTCCATAGCCTTCCCTAACGCTCCACTCCCTTACCTACAAACCCCCGTGTAGGAGGCAGGTATCTGGGACCTTATGTTTCACTTACTTTTGATACTTCCAAATACTATACATTAACTTGCATTTTAAAACTTTCTATTCAAATGAACAAGGCCCCAGAGAGGGTTAACAATAGTTAACTCTGGGGCTTCTAGTCCAAGGTGGCAGTGTAGGAAGACCCTGAACTCTCCTCCTCCCACAAACATGCTAAATTTACACCAACAGGCAGAGCAGTCCCCCTGAAGAGCTGAGAGCTGACTGAACAGCTTCTGCAAAAGAAACAAGCAAGTGACCACATAGAAATGTGTAGGTGAGACCAAGACATGGTACTGTGGGCATCCTGTTCCCAATGCACGGACCTGCAGCAGGAAAGGATCACTGAAGGGCCTGCTTACAGACTTGCACACCAGGATCTTGGCCGAAACCAGCTCCATGGCTGTCCCCAAATTCCCCACAGCCTCCAACTGCTCCAGTTACAGCTCCAGGCTCCCATGCAACATAGCCCACCCCTGGGATTCCCTGCAGCCTGCTTCAGCTTCCAGCTGGCCCTCCAAGGTGTCACTCATACCTGTCCCAACAGCAGCTCCAGGCTCTGAAGTAGCTTGACCCCTGGACTCCTCATGGCCTGATCCCACTCCAACTGGTCTGCCAAGGTGGTCCCCAGTACAGCTTGCCCCTGGGGCTCCCTATGGCCCACACCTGCTACAGCTAAAGCTCCAACTGGCCCACCAAGGCACCCCAAAGTGCCTGTCCTCAGGCCTCCCTGCAGCCTGAGCCCACTCAACTATAGCTCCAGCCAACCTGCCGAGCCAACCCCAGTGAGGCTCAGCCTGGGACTCCCTGGGGCCTAAAATGGCACCAACTAAAGCCCCAGCAGTTCTGCCAATGTGGCCCAAGCGAGGCTTGTCCCAGCCTCCCTGCCTTCCTCATCTCCAGTTGACCTGCCAAACACACTGGGCAGTGTATACAAGGGGAAGGAAGCTCCTACACAAGGCCACTCCTAGCACAGAGAAGTTGCTCTTTGCCTAATTCATAGAAACAAACAGCCAAAATGAGGAAAAAGAGAAATACGTTCCAAATAGGACAAAACCCCAGGAAAAGAACTGAATGCAATGGAGACAAGCAGTCTACCAAATAGAGTTCAAAACACTAGCCCTGGCTGGTTTAGCTCAGCTGTTAGAGCGTCAGCCCACGGACCAGAGTCCTGAGTTCGGTTTCTGCTAAGGGCACATACCTCGGTTGCAGTTCGTCCTCAACCCTGGTTGGGGTCATGTGGGTGGCAACCAGTCAATGTGTAGCTCTCACATCAATGTTTCTCTCTCCCTCCCACTCTATCTAAAGATAAATGCAAAATGTCCTTGGGTGAGGATTAAAAAAAAAACTGGTTATAAGGATGTTCAATGAATCCAGGAGAATAGATTAACTCAGCGAGAATTTAAATAAAGATAGAAAATATAAAAAAGAACCAGTCACCCTGGCCGGTATGGCTCGATTGGTTAAGCATCATCCCATATATCACGAGGTCACAGGATTGATCCCCAGTAGGGGGTGTGCAGGAGGCAGCTGATCCATGTCTCTCTTCCTCATCCTCTAAAAAAACTCAATATAAACACTTTTTTTTTTTTTTAAGAAAGAACCAATCAGAACTGAAGAGTAACTGAATCCCCCAACCAGAACAGTAAAAATAAAACAGAATTATAAAAAATGAGTTTTGGGGACCTCTGGGACATCATCAAGTGTACCAACATTCAAATCACAGTGGTCCCAGAAGAGACAGAAAACCTATTTAAAGAAATAAATGACCGCCCTGGCCGGTTTGGCTCAGCGGTTAGAGCGTCAGCCTGCGGTCCAGAGAGACCCGGGTTCGGTTCCCGCTAAGGGCACGTACCTTGGTTGCAGTTTGTCCCCAGCCCGGGTTGGGTTGTGTGGGTGGCAACCACTCGATGTGTCGCTTTCACGTCGATGTTTTGCTCTCGCTCTCTCTCTCTCTCTATCTGAACAAAATATCGAAAAATGTCCTCGGGTGAGGATAAAAAAAAATAAAGAAAGAAAGAAATAAATGACCAAGCCCTGGCTGGTTTAGCTCAGTGGTTAGTGAGTCATCCAGCATATCAAAGGGTTGCAGGTTCGATCCTGGTCAGGGTGCATGCAGAGGTAACCAGTCGGTGTCTGCCTGTTTCTCTCTCCCTCTACCCCCTCTCTCTCTATCTAAAAATCAACAAAAAAATATCCTTGGGTGAGAATTAAAAACAACCCAAAAGTCATGAAGACTGATTTTCAAGATTTCTGTTCTGAAGAAACTCAACAAGGTACAAGAAAACTCGGAGACAGTTCAGTGAGGTCAGGAACAAAATTAATGAACAAAAGGAATACTTTACCAAAGAGACTGAAACTATAAAAAAGAACCAAACAAATTCTGCAGCTGAAGAACTATCAATAAATGAGGTGAAGAATACATTAAGCCCTGGCAGGGTGGCTGTTGATTAGAGCATTGTCCCATACACCAAACAGGTTGCAGGTTCAATCCCTTGGGGTGCATATAAAGAGGCAACCAATCGATATTTCTCTATCACATCAATCTTTCCCTCTCTCCCTTTGTGTCTATAAAAAAAATAAAAATAAATCAATGAACATATCCTCAAGTGATTTTAAAAAAAAAAATTAAAAAGCATTGGAAATACAGATCAAGTGGATGACAGAATTAGCGAACCTGAAAGTAAAAATCTAGAAATGATTGAGATTGAGGGAGAGAGAGCTAAGTTTAAAAAAGAACTCTAAGATCTGACTCCATTAAAAAGAGCAACATAAGGGCCCTGGCCGGTTTGGCTCCACAGAGTGTCAACCTGAGGACCAAAGGGTTGTGGGTTCAACTCCGGTCAAGGGCTCGTACCTTAGTCAGTTTGTCCCCGGCACTGACTGGGCGGGAGGCAACCAGTCAATGTATCCCTCTTACGTCGATGTTTCTCTCTCCCCCCACTGCCATTCTATCTGAAGATAAAAGAAAAATATCTTCGGGTGAGGATTAAAAAAATAATTGATGGGAACTTCACAAACCTAGAGAGAGAACTGGACAATCTAATACAAGAAGCTAACAGATTATGAAATTATCTCAATGCAAAAAGACCTCCAGACACATTAAAACTGTCTAGAATTAATGAATGATAAAGAATTCCCAAGGCAGCCAGGGAAAAAGACAGTAACCTACAAAGGAAAACTTACGAGATTATCCCTATATTTCTCAGTAACCCTATAGGCCAGTAGAGTGGAACAATATTTCCAAAATATCTAAATAAAACACCAGCCAAGACTAGCAAAATTATCCATGATAGATGAGTGGGTGAAGATGTAGTACATATATACAATGGAATATTAATTGGGTGTAAAAAAAAATCTACAAGAATCATTAACTTAAAAAATATCCATACTACTAAAAATAATTCAGATTCAGTTAAATTTATAAAAGATCGAGATCTATCCCACCACACAGAGGTAAAGCTTTAGTCTTTATACCAACACTAGAATTAACCAATTTTTGAAATCTTATTTAAAAAGTGAAAGAATTCATGTTGCTGCATTGCTCATCAGCTTTTTAAAGTGAATTATCTATACCAGGTAAGCATATTGCCCAAAACAACTGAGAATTGTGAGACTAAGAACACAACTTGAGACTACTACCCAGTATTTGGCAAAAACAATGCGTATCAGAAAGAAAAGTATTGCATCAGTGGAGGATTAGGGTAAATTCATCCCTTTGCAGTTTAGAAAAGGGGGCGAAAGTGTGCTGGTGTCTCTGAAAAGCCATCTTGGTCATTATTCATGGCTTAGAACAGAAACGTAAACCAGTAATGTTCTGGGTGAGAAAGAAAGAAGCATCAAACCTGTCTGCTAGGAGCTCAGCCAGACTCCAGCCTTTTGTTATTCAGCAGTCTCTTCTTCCACCAAAGGAATTTCTAAAATTGCCTTTCTAAATATTTTTCAGACTGGAAAATTATATCTGAATCACCACCAGAGCAAGACATTTCTGAAGAATCTTTCCAAGACACAAGGGCAGAGCTGTCCCTTGGGGAGTCAGATCACAGGAACTGTGAATGGGGGAAGAGTTTCAATGTGAGACCAGTCCTTTCTCCACAGCAGAGAGTTCCTATAGAAGTGAGACCCCGTAAATGTGAACCACGGACAAAGAGCTTCAGGAGGAATTCAGACATAATTAAAACTCACAGAGCGAAGCCGTACACGTGTAATGAATGTGGCAAAGCCTTCAGTTACTGTTCTTCCCTTTCACAGCATCAGAAGAGCCACACAGGGGAGAAGCCGTATGAGTGCAATGAGTGTGGGAAGGCCTTTACCCAGAGCTCATCTCTCGTTCAGCACCAAAGGGTTCACACTGGAGAGAAGCCTTACAAATGCAGCGAGTGTGGAAGAGCCTTCAGCCAGAATGCAAACCTCACAAAACACCAGCGAACCCACACCGGAGAAAAGCCCTACAAGTGTGCCGAGTGTGAGAAGGCCTTCAGTGACTGTTCGGCCCTCGTTCAGCATCAGAGAGTTCACACTGGAGAGAAGCCCTATGAATGCAGCGACTGCGGGAAGGCCTTCCGTCACAGCGCCAACCTCACGAACCACCAGAGGACGCACACGGGGGAGAAGCCCTACAAGTGCAGGGAGTGCGGGAAGGCCTTCAGTTACTGTGCAGCGTTCATTCAGCATCAGAGGATCCACACAGGAGAGAAGCCGTACAAATGTAACGCATGCGGGAAGGCCTTCAGCCAGAGCGCCAACCTCACGAACCACCAGAGGACTCACACGGGGGAGAAGCCCTACAAGTGCAGGGAGTGTGGGAAGGCCTTCAGCCAAAGCACAAATCTGATAATCCACCAAAAGACCCACACTGGGGAGAAGCCATACAAATGTAATGAATGTGGGAAATTCTTCAGTGAGAGTTCAGCCCTTATTCGACATCATATAATTCACACTGGAGAAAAACCCTATGAATGCAATGAGTGCGGCAAAGCATTTAACCAGAGTTCGTCCCTTAGTCAGCACCAGAGAATTCACACTGGTGTGAAACCCTACCAATGTAGGGAGTGCGGGAAGGCCTTCAGGTGTAGTTCTGCTTTCATTAGACACCAGAGACTCCACGCTGGAGAGTAACTGGGAACATGACCTATGTGGACGGGGACCTGACAGGTAGTTTGAAAGCCCCTAGAAACATGTTTTTGCTCCTTTAATAAAATCACTTACGTGGAAGCAGCTTTTCTTTAACATCTTCTGTAATCTTAAACAACCCAAGTCAAATTACTAGTTACCTATATTCAGTGGACCAAAGTACGTTGTGTGCCAAGCACTCTAGAAACCTTGGTTTACAAAGATGTGCTAAAATCAATGAAAGACTTGGTTCCTACTTAAAGGCTAAGTATCTTGGCAATGGCATCTCTCCTTGAATAATGGCCATTGCAAAAGAACCAATACTAGCCAGGAAAGAGCATTTCTCTATAATGTAGTCAACAAGGTATCTGATTAAGGAGAGTGAATTCAATTGAGAAAGGGATTCTAGGACCAACCATTTAATGCTACAGTTTCATTGGGGATGGGTAAAGGAGTCACTCCTTAGTGTGAACTATATGAAAATCTACACAGCTGCAACTTAAGGAACACTGCTTGTTATACCCAATGCCTACTTTATGAACTAAATGCTTGTTTCTGCTGTAAAGAAAGTCCCAGGAAAGGACAGTGAAGCTGAGAGTGTCAGGAGGAAATTACTGAAATCTCTCCATAAGGCACATCCTTTTCTATGGAGACACTAACATGGAGGGACAACCCAATTACAGCCATGCTTTTCCTGGCTCGGGTAGGTGGGTCATCACTTCTTTCCCCTCACTGGAGAACAGTTGTTTCCTTTTCTACTTTGCACTGCCCTGGTGGGTACTGCCCCTTGATATTTACAACTAACTTCACACACAACCTGTGTGATCTCATCACAGCACTTACAAAACTCCTGTGTTTTCCTAAGTTTTTGGACAGACCTCCCATTACCAGTTGCCTGCTGTAAGGGAAGCCTATGACAACTGCCCTCACCTAAGGCCTCTAGCTTTGAATCTTTAGGCGACTTGGCACCTATCCTGGAATCCTCATTTTCCCCTCACTTTTCCACTAAAGGGTAGTTTGTTTCCCAAACCTGATTACACCTGGGGCAGTTAAAAACCACCTACCTAAAAGGGCATGTTGATGAAATTATGGGAGAGGCAAAGAAATTACTAATGGCAGAAAATTAAGTTCTTGGATTAATCATTCCCAGCTCCCTTTAGGGTAGTGACAAGAAACCCCTTCCAAGTGGTGCTTCAAGCTACTCAGGTGTGGCTTGTCCCAGTGCGCCGGTGTCCATTCATTGTATGTTTAATAAAGGGAAAAGGAATGATAAGCTCTAAAGGTGGTTCCAAGGAAACAAGGGAAAATGAGGAAAAGATGGGAAAACATATATTAGAAGATAGTCTGTTAACTGGTTTAAAGCAAACAAGTTCAGAGAATGGTAGGGTAGACCGTAGCTAAACTTTAGTATACTTGACCCTCACTTTCACACATAAACTCAAGATCCATCAAGGACTTATGATAAAGATTGTTTCCTTGTTCCATCAGTGAACCCCAGCTGTGCACTGCAATGGATATCAAAGTCGAATTCTGGGCTCTGGGCCCCAAATGACCAAATAATTTGGTCTGGGATGAAGAACTTCACCCCCCATGTAGTTATGCTAAACATGTTTTCCTTCTTTATGAAGAGATCCATGAACGTCTCTACAAAAACCGCTGAGACTCCCCTTCTGGATGTCTTCCCTGAGCTGGTCCAATCAAGGTCAGAAATCTGTTTGTCACCCATAAGGAGCTCATTGCCCAGACTGCTACTTCCACGGGTTCACCACCTTGGCCCCACTAACCACCTGACCACAAAGGAGCTTAGCTTCCCCCAGGGAAGAGGCCACATCAGAAAGTCCATTGGTTGTCAAATGATCTTTAATTGAAACATTTTCCTTTGTAGCTCTTAACTCTGTGGGAAAGAAAAAAGAAATCCTATCAGTGATAGGACAAAAAGTCTTCTCGACCCCACTACTGCCCATTTCTAGAACTCTCTAGCTTTCACAGATTTTAGCAAACAAAACTGATGTAGAAGTCACTTACAGCCGGGCATTCCACAGCACCGCTGTTGATGTCATCTATGATGTCATGAGGGTGGCGGCCATCAACATTGCAGCCCACAGACTGGGCAGTCCCCAGGATCTCCTTAATGGTTCCTATAATTAGAAAAGGTGGCATTAGATGGAGATGTCGGCCCCTCACAATCCTCAAACACCAGTGGGAAAATACTTTTGAGTTCCAAAGCAGGCAACTCTCATAAAATACCAGAAATAACACCCTGACTCTCCTAATTCTTTTTTTTTTTTTGCTAATCCTCACCCAAGGATATTTTTTTCCATTGATTCTTGGAATGAAAGAGAGAAAGAAAAGCATCAATGTGAGAGAGACACAGTGATTAGTTGTCTCCTATATATGCCCTGGCTGGGACAGGGAATCTAACCAGCAACATGAGCCACACAGGCCTAATTCAGAATTCAGAGTTCCATTTAGTTATGTAAGCCCTGAATGCAAAGTCTCCATGATACCCAGATTAAACACATCTGGCCCCAAATCTTCACCATGATCAAGCCATTTTGGGGTCTTCTAGAATCACATCTCCTTTAAGTGGGAAAATGCTACCACTTGGTGAATGTGCCCCTTATCACAAGGTAGTTCCATGTTGCCCTGCTCTTACCAGAGAGTTCTCTAGCTAAAGACCGGTGCCGCATCTGTCGGGCAATGTTGACAATCTCATCAAAAGTGATGTTTCCACTGTGCTTAACTGCAGGGGGAAAAAATACAGCAAACGTTTTGTTACAGCACAAACCCAGAGCAGACCACATAATGCACTCCCCCCTCAGCCATTTCCAGGTTGTCCCCATGCTTTCGGCACAGAGTCATCCACATGAAGAATAACCCTGTTTCCTAAGCTGGGGTTTAGTTTCAGCTCACCACTGGATTGCACCAGCCAACAGAGAACTGGTCAGGTGCAGTGGCGGGTGGCTAATGGCAAAACCAACTCTTTACTAATTGTATGTATAAAAGACTGTTTTAGAGATGAGAAAAGACAAGCTTAAATTATTGGGGTTAGTTAAGCTATTCAGAATGCCACCCAGCTCTCAGAAGTGCTCTCCTAATTACTAATCATCATTCTCAGTTGCTTCACCCTGCATGGCACTTCTGGGTACTGCCCAGACCTTTAAGAGCTAACCATCAAACCCCCGTGCCATCCCTAGGTTTTATTAAAGAGAAAACATGCAGCTATGTATTAAGTATTATGTAGACAATACCACTAACAACTCAGATTACCAAGGAAAAAACCACTCACTGTTTTTTTGCTTCTTTCTGTCTCGTGGTGGTTCTTTGAGAGCTTTGATGATCAGGGCAGAGGCAGAAGGCACTACCTCAATCTGCAGAAGAGATTCTCAATGTGAATAAGCCCTACCCCACCCTCCAACGAAGACAATACTGCCAAGAACTTGGTTCTTGGAGACCATGGGCCAGGCTAACTGTACTTGCTGTACATTCTCAAATAATTTTCACAATCCAGAACACGGCCTAGCCCAGGAGACATGTGATTTGCCCAATGTCACACAAGTGACAAGAGTCAATATTTGAGCACATGTCTTTGACTTTGCTCTATACTCTCAGAAAAACTTTCCCCATAGATAAACTCTCTCACCTAGCAGCACATGGCAAAAACCTTGCACCCAGGAATCCCAGAGGATGGCTTCCCCGGCCCTCCCTCAAAACAAGTACCTGGGCCTGTCTGTTCTGAATGGTCAGTTTCACTGTAATCCTCAGACCCTTCCAATCACCGGTTGCTTTGGCGATGTCATCACCAACCTTTTTAGGAGACTGTAGAACAGAAATAAAGGTATGTAATCATATTGTGCCCAAAGTTTAAGCAGCCTGAAAACCTGCCCAGTCTTCCTTACTTGGCAATATACCCCAAGTCTCCCTCTCCCTTACAGAGCACACAGGAAACTGAAGCACACAACTGTACCTACCCAATCAAGGGGAGGCTCTCACTGTGGTATAAACTGGGAAAATGAAACTATGGGTGAGGTTTGTTCAGGGTTGTAAGCTGCAGGCTAAAGGCCATAATGATGCAGAGTAACTGAACACACCTACTCTCTCCTAAGGACCTACTGGGAACGCAGGAAGGAATCTCCAACACTAATTACATTCAAATCGCCAGGAGAGCTTTAACAATATCAGTTCCTGCCCTGGCAGGTTTGCCTCAGAGGTTAGAGCATTAGCCCTCAGACCAAAGGGACCCAGGTTCAAGTCCTGGTCAAGGGCATGTATATGGGCTGCAGGTTCTATCCCCAGCCCTGGTCGGGGGTCATGCAGAAGGAAACCAAACAATGTTTCTTCCTCCCTCCCTCCCTCCCTCTATCTAAAAGGTCAATGGAAAATATACTCTAGTGAGGATTAACAAAAAAAATAAAAGGTATTAGTTCCTGTGTCAGGCCACCCCAAGTAAATCTACTTGGGATCTGGGCATTTGCTACTTTAGAATTTCCTGGTGACTACTAGGAAACAAATATGTGCATTGAGTGTTAGCAGAGCTAAGGGCCAAGAAGAGTATTTTAAGACACTGGTTAAGCAAGACCAAGGTGGGAGAACATTTGGGACAGAAGACCACTGTTCAAGGAACAAAGGCCTAATGATATTTAGGGAAATTCAAGTTCAATAAAATGGAAAAGCAGGCAAATAAGACTGGTCATATTAACCAGGTTTAGAGCAGAGTAGGAAATGCCACTGGACTTCAAAACCCTCACGCAGCCCCTTCCAGGCTACCCCTCGGGTGGGCTAACAGGAGAGGTTAAGACACAGAGGAGAAGTTACCGCTTCAAGGTACTGGGTTGGGTTTTCTTTTTTTTTTTAATCCAAATCCGAGGACATTTTTCCATTTTTTGTACAGACAGAGTGGGAGGGAGAGAGAGGAAGAGAGAGAGAGGGAAACAACGATGTGAAAGGGACACATCGAGTGGCTGCCACCCACACGACCGGGACCAACCATGGCCGGGGACAAACTGCAACCGAGGTACATGCCCTTAGCGGGAACCGAACCCGGGTCTCTCCGGACCGCAGGCGGACGCTCTAACCGCTGAGCCAAACCGGCCAGGGCTGGGTTGGGTTTTCATACACAACTTCCCTACCGCACCTAGTGGCAATTCAGCGAACGTGAGGTCTGGCCGCGGATGGAAATCCGCCAGCGCCAAATGACAGGCAGAGCAGAACTGCTCTCCTCCTCGGGTAAGAAACGCCCCACCACCGAAATGACTTACCAGGCCCAGGGGGCCGATCTTGGGGGCCAGGGCAGACGTGGCACCGACTTCCCCACCGGTGCACCTCAGGTATACTGGGAGGAATGAGAACGGTAAGTGCCTCTGCCGAGTCCCAGCCACTGCCCTCTCCCCGCATCGTTCCGGGGCAACCACACCACCTTTTGCCTCTTCTCCAAACAGCACAAGAGCCTCAGAGAGGAGCGAGGCAGGCCACCCTCCTCGCGCGTGGGCTGCTCCAAGCGCCACGAGAACCAGCGGCCTCCGGTTCGGCCAGGCTACCGAGGCCCACACCGCGCCGGCGGGGAGGCAGCCGGACCGCCAGCCAACCCAGTCCGAGGGGGAAAGCGCCCGAGACAAGCCTTACCCTAAGGCGTGCGGGCTGCAAAGCCGCCACAGGTCTTCCGGTCCTCCCTCCCCATTTACACGTGGGGAAGCTGAGGCCCAGAAAGGGTAAGAGACTTGGCCAGGACTTCGCTGTGCCCTGAACGCGGCAACGGGAAGGCCTCTAGTAGGCAGCAGCTTTAACGCGCGACGTGGGAAAGGCAGTAACAGCGGAGGGGCCGCAGGCCCGACGGGCTGCTCCATCCCGCAGCCCCGGCCACAATAAAACACGCACCGACTTTGATCTCGTTGGGGTCGAACTTCGGCGGCATGATGGAGGTGGCTGGTGTCGGATGAACCCGGATTCGGGACCACCGAAGAAAGTTGCACCCAAGCCTCCTCCGAGCCGAAAGACCGGAACACCTTCAGCAACGCCGGATATAGGCAGGAAAGCGCGGCTATCGCGAGAACCGCCCTCTCCGCCCAGCCTCCCAGCGACGCCCTTGCCGCCATGTTACTTATGGGCAGGCACCGGAGGCTGATGAGAGGAGGCACTGTCACCGTGGTGAGCGGTGAAGGGGGGCTCAGGAGGGGGTTCAGGGCAGTTCGCCCAGGGGAGGCACACTAGAGAGGGCGGCTCCCAAGATCCCGTCCCCCCTTTCCTCATCCTCCCTTATTGTGTGGGTCACCCCACGGTCTCTGTCATCCAATCCCAGGGTTCCGCCCCTCCCCTCAGAGGTCTGCACACATTCCGAGACTCCAGGTCCACAGCGACCCCGGCCCTCTTTTAACTCCCTCGTGATGTGTGCATTTTAGTTATCAAACCAATTTTCGTTGGCGTCCAAATCTGTTCTAACTTCTAAATCTAAGAGACTGCGGTTCTGAGTCTCAGACTTCGTCATCCTGGTCTGCATGACTTTATGAGATTCTGACTTGATGTCCCCAGCTCCAGCGTTTGCAGACCAGCCTCCGGATCCACCGGGCTCCTGCCAGGTGGTCTGCGACCCGGCTTCCATGACCGAGCCCTACGAGTGATCGCCTGCCTTCTGGTTCCCCCGCGGGTTCGTCGGGGACCTGCCCACCCACAAAGCCAGGTGGGCCACTCCCCACTCCAGCCAGGGGAGGATGGGTGTGGTTCTCCCCATCTGGACTGGACGTCGGGGGAAGGGACGGATGAGGGGTGGGCATGGGGAACAGGTTGGGAAGAGCTGATCTGGGAGGGATGAGGGAGGAATGGTCACGGGGAGAGGTGGAGAGGGCTGGACCTGGGGGGAGGGGGTTAGTCATTAGGAAGCAGAAGAGTAAGAGCTGGTCATCAGGGAAGGATGGGGAAGAGCTGATTTTAGGCTATTCCTCACCCCTGCAGGCAGATGGGTTGACAAGAGGGGCCTGAGCCAACTCTGCAGTATTGGCCGGCTCCACAGACAGCCCAGGCCCCTGTGGGGGGAGACCTGTGGTCTCTCCCGCTCCCCCTGAGGACTGGGTGTGTGTCTGGGGCCTTAAACTAGGAGGCCCTCAGTAAATGTTTGTTTGATGTGTGGTGCTATGTGGCCAATGTTTGTTGAGCACTCCTTATGTGCCAGGTACTGTGCTATGGGCTTTTGTATATGAAATCACTGGATCCTCATAGAACCAGGTGTTGGTAACATTATTACTCACCCTTTACAGATGAGGAATGAGGCTCAGAGAGCTGAAGCAAGGTGACAGGGTTCGTGGGTGTTAGATCTGGGATTCCCGCTCAGTTATATTTCATCCCAAATCCTATGGTGTTAACCGTAAGCCTCCCTGGATGAGTGCTTCCTGGCCCATTGATGTCCATTATCAAGCGCTGATATATGCAGATCCTGGGTAGGCAGTGAGCTCCTGGCTCCTGAGTTCAGGACAGTGTACGTAGTGTGTGCTAAGTTATTCTAGCACCAAAGAGTTGGGAAATCCAGAGGATCAGGGCTGGCAAAAACAGAATTCCAGACTGGTTTTGCTACAATCCAGGCTGTATAAACAAGTCACTGAACTCAATTATCTTCAGTGTCATCACTATATACAGGGCTGTGGTGAGAATCGAATGGAATAATAACTGTGAGAGTGGTAAGGTGCCTGAGAATTGCTTTTGAATTTGTATTTTAAAAATCTCTTTGGGCCCTGGCCAGTTTGGCTCAGTGATTAGAGCGTCGGCCCGCGGACTGAAGGGTATCAGGTTTAATTCCAGTCAAGGGCACATACCTGGGTTGCAGGTTCAATCCTCAACCCTGGTTAGGGTTGTGTGGGGGGCAACCAATCGATGTGTGTGTCTCACATCAATGTTTCTCTCTCTCCGCCTCACCCCCTCCCTTCTACTCTATCTAAAAAATCAATTAAGTCAATGGAAAAATATCCTCTGGTGAGGACAAAATATATATATCTTTGGTTATAGTGTAGTTGACGAGCCCCCCAAGGTCATGGCTGGCTGATGTCATGCCATGTTGGATGTGCAGATGCTACTCTAACAGTGTTTCAGAGGCTAGAAGTAGTTCATCAGGCCAGCCTGTTAGAGTCCTCAGGGAGCATCCTTGGAAAGGACTTGAACTTTCTCTAGGTCACCCCCTTGCCTAACATGGAGGAGAGATGGGAATCTAGAACGGGGCAAAATTATGCCAAGGTCTCACAGTGGCTGGTGACAAATGTGGTCCCAAACCCTGGTCACCTGGCTTGCCATTGTGCTCTTTCTACCACATACTGATGCTTATTGTTTGCTTAACAAAGAACAAAGGATATTGAGCATCTGCCACACCTGGCTCAGGACAGAGTGATGGTTGAGATGGACACATTTCCCGCCCTCAAGGAACTTACACTCCAACAGACCAGCTACGTGCTCTGTGTTACTGTGCTACCTGCCCTAGGTGTGACAGATTCCCCGGGTCCTAGCTTTTCTCTCATGCCCTAGTGTCGTGAAGATTGCCCCGGGGAAAAGGAACAATGCCACTCTTCTTCCGGAAGCGGAAACCCAGTGAGGAGGCTCGGAAACGCCTGGAATACCAGATGTGTCTGGTGAGCAGAAATGGATTTCCTGTGAATTCTTGTACAACTCTGCCTCTGCCCCATAAAACAGAGCTTTGCCCTGCCCCCCAACGAGCCGTGCTCTCTCCGGTCAGCCTCCCCCACGCCCGGTGGAAATCTCTGACGTAGAGCAGAAAGATGAGGCTGCCTGTCAGGCGCTCAGGAGTGCCCTGTGCTTCCCTCCGTAGACTGGTTATACCTGTCATTACCTGTTCATTTGCTCTTCCCTGCTGGCCCGCAAGCCCCTGTAAAGCAGGGATCGCTGGTCCACCTACAAAATGGACTCGTTGAACCAGATGGTGACCATGGTCCCTTGCAGATCTTTAATCCTTTTTCTTTGCCTGGTTTGTTCACTCTCCAAGGATGTTTTGTTTGAAACATAAAAATAATTTTTATCCTTAGGCAAAAGAAGCTGGGGCAGATGACATTCTTGACATCTCTAAATGTGAGCTCTCAGAGGTAAACTGGGGTGGTGTTCTGGTTGTGAATTCGATCTGTCCTTTGTTTCTTGAAGCACGTGTCCCTGGGAAGACAGGTGTGGACTGGGGCTTTCAAAGGCCCAGAAGCACTAATCAAGAGATCTTTCCTTAGATTTTGTTCTTGTCCCAAAGAATTGAGATGCTCTTTGCCTCAGCATAGTCTTCAAAAGTCAAAGAGGCTGCTTAGAAAATGTACCCACAGATTCCTAGGAGAATCTGGGTTTCTCCAGGCTCTGCACAGCACCAGAGATCTTTCTTCTGCCCCTGATAGAGTTGATGATGGGGATGGGTGGGTGGGCTAGGGCCAGGCAAGGCAGTCTCCTGCCAGCTGATTGGGAGGGCTCCTCACCAGCCTTTCCCTGGGCTGAGCCTTTCACATCAGCATTTTGCATTGTCCGCCTCCTGCTTCATCTCTTCCTCACATGTGTACCGTTTAGAAAACAAACTGAAAACTGGTGGGAGGGGAGGCGCTGACCCTTCTTTATTTTATCTTAGATTCCATTTGGGGCTTTCGCAACATGCAAAGTTCTGCAGAAGAAGGTGAGATGAGTCCTTTTCAGAGAATTGTTTATTGCTTGTTTGCAATCGGGTGGGACTTTTAGGAGTTCTCTCCCTGGCATCTCTCTTCTCTGGGATTCTCGCCCTTTCGGCCTGCAGCAGGTCTTTTCCCAGTTAGGAGAGCTGGCTTTGGCATTGGACAGCCCTGGGTCACATCCTGGCCTGGCCCCTCATGACTTGGGCAACTTCCTTAAACTCTTACCTCTCTGTTTCCTCATCTATGAAGTGGACATTTTCGTGGCTTACTCTCGCACAGCTGTAGTGAGAATCGAGTGCGTTGACAGGCAGAGAGGTGGAGACAGAGATACATGCACAGAGTGTATTGCCTGCCACAGGGCAAACCCTGAGCAACCTCATTGTTACCAGTAATGAGAACCACACGCACTTCACTCTGGTCACCTGGGGAGATCAAGAATGTGATGAATGATTGTTCGGAAAATCTCTGCAGCTTTGAATGTGGCTAAATACGAGTCAGCTAAATAAGTTATTTAGATGAAGGTAGATGAGAGGTGCTCCCTATCAACAGAGTAGTGAGGTCCTTGACACTGGAAGTATCCATGCAGGAGTTGATGCCTAACAAAGGTGACACAGATTGAGCACCGGACCATGTGGCAGCCCTGGGCCGAATGCTTTTGTCCTTTAGCTTGTTAGTCATCATGACACCCCTCGGAGATCAGGACAACAGCGTGGATACCACTTCTGAGAATGGAAAGTAGAATTAGCCCTCTAAGGTCCCTTTTACCCTAGAAATTCCAGGCCTTCTGATTCCACTTTGGAGATCCCATCCCCACCCCCTGTGGTGTTTGGGAGAGCAGAGAGGGCTGGGCAGGGCAGGGTGGGGCTGATGTGCCTGCCCACAGCCTTCCCCACCTGCTGCTCCTCAACCTGACGTGCCATGGCGACCATCTTTCCCACAGGTGTTGATTGTCCACACGAATCACCTCACTTCCCTGATTCCGAAATCCTGCAGCCTCCTGAGTCTCATAACCATCAAGGTACTGCGGCCCTTCTCCCAGGCTCGGGGGTTCTGCCTGGCTTCCAGCTGGCAGCCAAGCATCCCTCAGTCCAAGCTTATGCCAGACCGGACTGATGTAATAGTCAATCTGGGGTTTGATCAGGAGATTTTATTGGACACCTTCTATGTGCTGGGGATGGGGTTCCCAGGAGAACCAGCCACAGCCCTGCCCCTGGGGAGCTTGCCGCTAGGTGGAGGGACAAACCGTAGACTCATAGCAAGCGAACTAGCGGAGAGCAGGCAGACCCAGACAAACCAGAACAGGACAACAGGACGGATGCCAGGCATCGTGTGGTCAGTGTGTGAAAGCCCAGTGACCTGGGACAACTCCCTCCTGACTGTCAGGACAGGACTGGGTGTTGTAGTCACACAATACGTGAGGTGTGCCGAAGGATTGTGTCACATGATCATGCACTGTGACCATGGGTATATTCACTAGGAGAAAAGACCGGCAGTACAGTCATCCAGGTGCTTTTATGGTTAAGTCTGGCAGGCAGGGACTGGGGTAGTTTTTGCTTCTCTTCATTGTCCAACATGGTTATTTTTGATGTCAGAAAGAGAGAACATTAAATGTTCTTATACTTATGTACATTTATATTTCATATAAAAATTTCATATAAATATGTATATACATCCTGTGCCTTTTCTGCTCATTTTCCTTGTCCAAAAAATTAACAATTATAGGTAAGCAGAAAATGAGGAAAAACACATGATTTCATATTCCAGAGAAGCACTATCAATATTTTATTGTATATTTAGTAGTCATTTTCTATGAAAACATGTTTATACTATTAAGATTTTTTTTTCTTTTTAACATATAAATATCTTTGCACACTTTTCTCACTCAATGGTCAAAGTAAATATTTGGTAAATGAAAGGTTGAAATGGGATCATCCTTTGGAGGGGAAGTGGGGTGGATGGTCGTGGGAGAGGAGAGGCTGGGCTCTCTGTTCCTACAGCAGAAGCCGGAGGAGCCAGCGAGCTCTGGCCTCAGGACCTGAGCTGAGAAGGGCAGTCTCAGTTGGTCACTGTTGGGTACAGAGCTTTTCTTCCTTCCGCAGGTTCTGGATCTTCATGATAATCAGCTGGCAGCCCTCCCTGAGGACATAGGGCAGCTGGCAGCCCTCCAGGTAAAGCTTCAAGAAGCAACACCCACGTCTGATCGCCTAAGTGAGAAATCGCAGCCACAGGGGCCTGGAATGTTCTGGCTGTGCTGTGGCGCCAGCTCCCCCGCCCCTTTGCTGTTAAGACACCCAGCAATGCCCTCACCGTAGCAGTCTGGGCTGTGGGTGTCCCCCTACCATGTGTTTGGCTTGTTCTTTTTGGGATTTCATCATGAGCTTCCAGAACTTTATAGAAAAAGAGCTCCCAGCGGGTCCACCTTTTAATTTTTTTTTATTTTTTATCCTCACCCGAGGACATTTTTCCATTTTTTGTTCAGATAGAGCGGGAGGGAGAGAGAGGAAGAGAGAGAGAGAGAAACATCGATGCGAAGGGACACATCGAGTGGCTGCCACCCACACGACCATCACCTTTTAAAATGCTGAGTCCAGCACTCTGATTCATTGGCTCCCCTCTGGTCCCTGCCAGGAGCCCTCCACTGGTTGAATGCTAACTGCGTGCCAGCCCAGCTAAGCATTTCCCTTGCATATCTGTTGACACAGCTTCCCAGTGAGGCAGGTGTTGACTGTCCCCATTTTATTTATTTATTTATTTTATTTTATTTTTTTATCCTCACCCGAGGACATTTTTCCACTTTTTGTTCAGATAGAGCGGGAGGGTGAGAGAGGAAGAGAGAGAGAGAAACATCGATGTGAAGGGACACATCGAGTGGCTGCCACCCGCACGACCAACCAGGGCCGGGGACAAACTGCAACCGAGGTACGTGTCCTTAGCGGGAACCGAACCCGGGTCTCTCTGTACCGCAGGCCGATGCTCCAACCGCTGAGCCAAACCGGCCAGGGCGACTGTCCCCATTTTAAAGAGGAAGAAGCGGTCTTCCTTCACACTTAAGTTAGCATCCCTTGTCTTCACCCTTTGTGATGGGTCCCCCTGTCTCTCCAGCCTCCTCCCTGCTTTCTCCCCTTCGTTCCCTGCAGTCAGCTCCTAACACCCTGTGGCCTTCTGTGCCCACCTCTCCACCAGGCTTTTCCTTCTGCCTGAGTGCCTTATCATCACAGCCCAAATATCCCTGAGGATCCTTCCTGACCTCCCTGAGTAGATCTCCCTTACTCACCTCTGTGTCCACTCCAGATTAGTTCCCTGAGAGCACTATTGCAGTATATGTGTCTGTTGGCTTGACTGTCCCCCTACTGAAATGTAACCCTGGGGGGGGCTGCACCCTCACCTAGCACACTGCCATACACATGGAGGAGACTAGTACTTGGATGAACAACCCTACGATGTGGGCGATGCTGCTGCATCTTACCGAAGAGAAAACTGTCCAGAGAAATGACTATAACTTGCCCAAAGTCACATAAAGAACTTGTGGCAGAAGAGAAGTACTTGCCACCAGTTAGAGAGAGCCACATTGAATACCTTGGGGTAGCATCTTTGGGGACATTTTTAATGTGTATATTTTTATAGAATTGCTGCATTCACTATTTTGTAATGTGTATACCTGACAATAACTTATAACCATCCCTTGGTTCATCAAATATTCATATTATTTTCAATGGCTGCTTAGCTTTCCATTGTATCTATATTTAATGGCTACTTAGTGCGTCATCCTATTGACCTTGTTCACCTCACAGCACCGCGTCCTGTGGGGAACACGACTTTCGGAATCCAACAAACCCAGGGTCCCCCTGGCACGCGCAGCTGCAGCCTTGGGGCTTGGGTGGATCCCACCGCCTGCATGCACTCAGTTTCCTGCCCTAACAGCGGGCTAACTGGAGCCTTACCGAGCTGCCTCACCTGGATCCCTGAACCTCAGTCCTCTTCTCCCTCCTGATCGTGGGCTCTGGCTGTGATGTTATGGTCTGTGTAAATGATGGGTCCTCAGCCAGGACCGGTTCAAGGTCTGGCTTTGCTCTCCTGGGCACATGGTCTCGTTGGTCTGAGCCTCAGCTTCCCCATCTCTCAGCTTTCCCATCTCACAGAGCTGTCCGGAGCAGGTAAAGGTGTGTGTAGTGCCCAGATGATTCCTGGCCTGAGCAGGGGTAGCACTTTGTCCGTATGTGGTATCTCATCATTTTTTCACAATTTTTTTTTACTTTTTTTTTTTTTTCGTTTGGAGTGGAAGGGAAGGAGAGAGAGAGAAAAAAAAACATCAATGTGAGAGACACATCAATTGGTTGCCTCCCTCAGGAATCTAACTGGGGGTGGGAATTGAACCTACAACCCAGGTACATGCCCTTGACCAGGAATCGAACCCATGACCCTTCAGTCCAAGGGCCGATGCTCTAACCACTGAGAAAACTGGAAGGGGCTTTTTAAAAAAAATTTTATTGATTGACTGTTAGAGAAAGAGAGAAATATCAATTTTTTGTTTTTCTTGTCCATGCTTTGGTTGATTCTTGTATGTGCCCTGACCAGGGATTGAACCTACAATCTTGGTGGATCGGGATGATGCTCCAACCATCTAAGCTACCTGGCCAGGATGGGCCTCATCATTTTTCCCTCTTTTGTAGGTATTGAACGTGGAAAGGAATCAACTGACGTATCTCCCATGTTCCATTGGGAACCTGACTCAGCTCCAGACCCTCAATGTGAAAGGTAGGAGCCAAAAAGCCCTGTCCGTGTGACCCTTAGCTCCATCCCAGCCAGCAACCTCCTGGGAGCCATTGAGCACGAGGGCAGCCAGTCCTGAGGTGTCACTGTAACTGGACTGACCACCTGTTAGGTTGGTCTATCTCCATGGTAACCATAGATAGGCCGGTGTCGGGAGGAGGGCAGACAGCATTGACAGCCAGGCCTCTGAGGCACCATCACTTGTATTTGTAACAATGAGTGTGGTGATGAGAGTAGTGGACTGACTGGGTGAGAGCAATTTGGGAGCCATGGGAACGGTCCTGGTGCTTCACACTCAGTGAACAGCGCTTCCACGCTCAGCAATTCAGGGAGCCTCATGACAAGTCGTGAGGTCCGGAGAGGGAGGAAGCATCATCCCCAAGTCACAGGGTGAAGACAATGAGGCTCAGAGCAGTGACTTGCTCAAGACCACCCAGTGTGATCAGGACAGAACCAAGATTCCAGTGTATCAGGAGAGGCCTGCCTCACCGCTCCCCAGCCCTTTCATTTCTTCTGGCTGTTTTAAGCACCTTCTGCACAGAACGGCTCCATCTGCCTGTATGTAACATGAATAATGATAAACATAACGGCGCCCCATTTATTGATCCCTTACTATGTGATAGGCACTGTGCTCTGGATCTCATTTGCATAATCTTATTGAATCCCTCTGTATTCCTCTGAGGCCAAATGCTATTATTATCCCATTTCACAAACAAGAAGTCTGTGCCCCAGGGAGGTGAAGTTGATTTTCTAAAGTCACCCGGCTAGTAAGCTGTGGAGTGGGCACTCGAGCCCAGGTTGCTGACACCCCATCATGTGTTCTTCCTTACGGATTCTCAGTCAGGGTCAGAGTGAGGCACCCACTTCCCCCCGAGTCCCGGTGTGTGTCAGACAGGAAGCTAGTGAAGAGGTTTTGGGGTGTTGAGCTGTGCCACCGGGATCTCTCCAGACAACAGGCTGAAGGAGCTTCCAGACACGTTGGGGGAACTTCGAAGCTTGCGTACTCTCGACATCTGTGAAAATGAGATTCAGAGGTTGCCGCAGATGCTGGCACACGTCCGAACTCTGGAGGTGAGGAGAGCTATTCTCGCCTGGGTTCTCTCCGCTGTCTCCCCCTGCCTCGGTGCTGAGTCCTGGCCTGGTCACAGGGTGCAGGGCTTGCAGAGATCTCAGCACATGGTCTTGGGAGCTTGCAGAGTGACTGATGGATGTGTGAACGGTTGTACTTACGTGGCTTTGTGGTCCTTATGGTGGCACAGAAACATTTCTGGAGTGAAGAGATAATGCCAAGTCCTGGCAGGGTAAACACTGTATGAGAGTGGTATTTGAGCCAGACCTTAAAGGAGAAATAAGCTGTGGGGATGTAGACAAGGGTAAAAGGAGCATTCCGGATACTTACTAAGGCTAAACTTGACTTGCATTAGCTCTCTGAATCCTCACAAAAACCCTGTGAGGCAGATACTGTTGTGCTCCTTTGCAGATGAAGAAGCTGAGACATGGACCATTTAAGGGGCTTGCCCAAGGTCCACACAACTAGTAACAGCAAAGATGGTATCAAAAACCAGGCCGTCTGAATCCAGGGCCTGTGCTCTTCTCCTCTGTGCAACTCGGCCTCTGGAATGGGGACTTACCCATTCAAATGGCATACATCTGCCCAAGCCTTCCAGACTCTTCTGAGGAGCTATCAGTGAATCAGCTCTCAAGCCACACTGCTGCCCCCAGTGGCTGGTCCCTGCTGCCATGGCGGACAGCCTGAGGAAGGTCAGGCTGCTCTCCCTGGGCAGGCTGGGAATCAGGCCAGCACGTGGATATTCTCTGTGCTGTCCAGTAGAACTGCCAGCGATAATGGAAATGTTCAGTGGCTGCTGTCCAAACCAGTAGCCACTAGCCACATGTGGCTCTGGCGCACTATGTGTGGCTAGTATGACCAAGGAACAACATGTTTCATTTTATTGAATTTTAATTTATTTATATTTAAATGGCTACCTGTGCTCAGTTGGTACCTTATTGGACAGCGCAGCTCAGAGCAGTGTTCCTAACTTTGAAGCCATTCTAAGATAGCTAGTAAGAGCTCTGTGATTCGCTTTATATTGATTCTTTAAACAAAAACCTTTTGAGCGTCTTGTGGTGGCGCCTTGGACAAACCTGTTTTCGGAATGAGACAGTAACAGCAGCCATTCTTAGTTGAGGCCACAGTCTTTTTCACATTATCTCCTATTACCCATCAGACAGCCTGCCAGGTCGGTGATACTGTGCCTGTTGAAGTCAAGTGGCCCGTTCAGGGATACACAGCTGGCCCACGGCGAGCTGGAGTCTGAAACCAGGACTGTATGACTCAGTGCAGTGCTGTCCAATAGCTGCTCCTCCTGCCGATGACAAAAGTGTCCCTGAGTCTGTGCCATCCAATACGATAGCTGCTGGCCACCTCTGGCTTTTGTGCACTTGACATGTGGCTGGTGCAACTGAGGAACTGAGCTCAAAATTCTCTTTAATTTTAATCAGTTAAAATTTAAACTTAAGCCTGGCCGGTGGGTTCAGTGGTTAGAGCGTTGGCCTGTGGCACTCGGTGGCATCCGAAGGGTGGTGGGAAGCGAGAGGATGGCAGGAGGAGAGCTTAGTTAAAAAGAAGTCATGCAGTGGCCATGGGCAGCTTAGTGGGCGTTTGTGTGGACCTGCGTCCCTCTTTCCTGGGCTTCACTTCATGTGAGCATGTGTGTGTGCTGGTATAAGTTTTTTTTTTTTAACTTCAAATGTCGTAGTGCATTAAAGCTTCCAATATTAAAACATTTTTTTTTTCATTTAGAGGAAACCCCAGAATCCACCCATAGAGGAAACCACTTTGAGTCTGATACACATTGCTCCAAATTGTTTTCTATAAATATACTAATCTGAGACTATATGAGTTGTTTTTTTTTTTTACAAAATGGAATCTAATTTTTTATGTTGTCCTATAACTTCTTTTTTTTTTTGCACATAATTATATTTATTCCAAAACATTAATTGAGTGCTTGCTGCATGCTAGGCACTGTTCTAGGAGCTGGGAACACTGACAGAATGAGACAGGTAAGCTTTCCCTACCAGGCAGAGAAGATAGCAATACGTATTCACAACTGCACTGGTGGTTTCGATTGTGTTGAGCAGTGAAGTGAATGATGTGTATATATATGTGTGTGTGTGTATATATATAGATAGATAGATCTATATCTATCTATCTATCTATATCTATCTATGCGTATCTAGATAGATAGATAGACAGACAGACAGACAGAGATATATAGAGAGAGAGAGACAGAGAGAGAAGCGTCTCTTGCCCGATCAGTGTGGCTCCGTGGTTGAGCATAGACCCATGTACCAAGAGGTCACTGGTTTGATTTCCAGTCAGAGCACATGCCCAGGTTGTGGGCCTGATCCCCAGTGGGGGACATGCAGGAGGTGGCCAAACAATGTCCTCTGTCATCGATGTTTCTATCTCTCTCCCTCTCACTTCCTCTCTCTCTAAATCAATAAAGAAAAAATTTTAAAAACAAATGAAGACGGGTCCCCTTGTGTCTGCAGACTCTGAGCCTGGATGCCTCCTCCATGGTCTTCCCACCGCCAGAGGTGTGTGGCGCTGGCACCGAGGCCATTCAGCAGTTCCTCTGCAAAGGTAAGGCCAGGCAGCTGCCGCCTCCGCTCCGTGAGCACTCGGGGACCCAGTGGCTGCCCTGTGCCAGTCCAGGCTGGGAGGCAGCAGAGACCGAGGAGGCCAGAGTCTAGCTGGAGAAACAGCCAAACATTATCACAAGGAAATATAACTGTGTATTGTGGTTATGAGAGGACAATGGAGCATCAGATTTAGGGGCCTTGGGGAAGGTCTCTCTGAGAAAGTGGCTCCATTGAAACCTGAGGGATGATTAGGACTTAGACCAGAGAGAAGGATGTTCCCGGCAGACAGAGGGCCATGGAGGGAAGGCCGAGTGGCTGGGCGTGGCCTGGGAAGAAGGACAGGGATGAAGTGAGAAGGTGTCTAGGCCCCTCATGCAGGAGAGGAATTTGATCACATTTGCTTTTTACAAAGGTTGCCCCACCTACAGGGAGAAGGGATTGGAGGAAGCAAGAGTGGAGGATGGGGGGCCAGTTAGGAGGTCACCGAGGTCATCTAGAAGAGACACCATGGTGGATTGGACTTAGAGAAGTGGCATTGCAGCAGGAGGAGCTAAACCCCTTGTGGGTGGCAGCAGGGGAAAGCGGTATACAGGCAAACCTTGGAGATGTCGTGGGCTCATTTCCAGATCACTGCCATCAAGTGGGGCATGATATTTTTGTTGGTGTGAGTGTGTTTGTGTGTCGGGGGGGCAGGTGGGTGGTGTATCTTGCCTTCAATTTAAAAACAAAACAGCCCTGGCCGATTTGGCTCAGCGCTTAGAGTGTCGGCCTGCGGTCCAGAGAGACCCGGGTTCAGTTCCTGCTAAGGGCACGTACTTTGATTACAGTTTGTCCCCGGCCCTGGTTGGGTCGTGTGGGTGGCGACCACTCAATGTGTTCCTTTCACGTCGATGTTTCTCTCTCTCTTCCCCTCTCTCCTTCCCGCTCTATCTGAACAAAAAATGAAAAAAAATGTCCTCAGGTGAGGATAAAAATAAATACATACATACATACATAAAATAAAAACAAAAACAATAACATCTGTGAAGCACAATAAAGCAACGTATGCCTGTACCAAGGTACCTCCTATCAGGCAAGAGGGGCACCTGTCACCTGCTGAACTTCTGGAACACAGCCAAAACTCAACGTAATGAGAAAGCAAAGGGAAGTTCTTTTCAATAAATGATTCTGGATCAATTAGATTTCATGTAGGAAAAAAAAGAACCTTAACCTCTTCCTTAAATAGGAGACAGGCTATAATATATAAAGAGCACCTACAAATCAGCAAGAATAAAGCAAATCCCAATAAAAAATGGGTAAAGTATTCAGGAGGAAACTGCAGTGTCAGCGAAGGCAAGTATCTTGCCCAAGATTTCACACACAAGAAATCATGGGTAAAGCTGGATCTTGAACCCAGACTCCAACTCCTAATCTCGGGCTCTTTTTTTTCTACCTTATTTTCACTTGGATGTAGAGAGACAGGTGTTGGGCTTATTTTTTCACTCAGCTGATGCTTATTGAGCACTGGCCACATTCCGGCCCAGGCATTGGGACTGTTGAGCCACATAAGGGCCCAGTCTAGGGCAGGGGAGCAGTGGCCCGAGGTGGGGATGGGACAGGATGCTGAAGAGGAAGGAGGAAGGCAAGGGAGGCAGCAGCTGGCAGCTCCAGGTACCTGGGCTTTCTCCTCCCCCCGGTCAGCTTGTGTCGTCTCTTGCAGAGTCAGGACTGGAATACTACCCGCCTTCTCAGTATCTGCTGCCAGTCCTGGAGCGAGATGGAGCCGAGACCTCCCAGGACAGCCCTGATGGGCCCACAGCCAGGTTCTCCAGGGAGGAGGTAGAGTGGCAGGTAAGATGCACCCGTTCGCTGGCCCTGGGCATCGAGGGGATGTTCAGAGCTGCGGCCTGTAGATTCCTCTGTCAAACTGAATTCACCTCCGTTTAGACCCGTGTGCTTAGTTAGACTGCTTTCACGGGCCAACTACAGCTGCTCACCTCTAGCTCACCAAGCATTAGCTGCACCGTGCTCCCCTCTGCCGTTCCCTCCGTCTGGAGCTCTCCCCGCTCACCTTTTCCCACCAACTCGTTCTCATCCGTCAGCTCTCTGTTTAAACATCACATCCTCTGAGAAGCCTTCCATCACCAGCCCAGGTCAGGTCCCCTGTCATATGTCCTCAGAGTGCCCCATCCGTACGTTTCCTTGGGAACACTGACCATAGCTCTAAGTTAAATGAAGAATTATATGGGAGATGATTTGTTGAATGTCTGTCTGCCCTGCTCAATGGACATTGTGAGAGTGGGGCTCATGTCTGCATTGTTTATTGTTCTCTCTCAGCAAATACTTCTTGCCTCAATGCCACTCGCTGTACAGGACACCTGTCATGCTCTCGGTTCTGTGAAGAAGTCAGGCAGGCACACGTCAGCACCAGCAGCACGCTGGCTCTCCCAGATCCCTGCTACATCACACACACACACATTCAGGCACACCTTGGAGAGATTGTGGGTTCCGTTCCAACTGCAATAAAATGAGTATTTCAATAAAGCAAGTCAAATGAATGTTTTGATTTCCCAGAGCATATAAAAGTTACATTTACACTGTACAGTAGCTACATTTATACTGTACTGTAGTCTATTAAGTATGCAATAGTATTATGTCTAAAAAATTTTACATACCATAATTTAGAAATATTTTATTGCTAAAAATGCTAATCATCATCTAGTCTTCAGCAAGTCTCAATCTTCTTGCTGGCTGAGTGTCTTACCTCGATATTGAAAAAAACACAGTATTGGTCAAGTGCAGTAAAGTGAAGTGTAATAAAACAATGTATGTCTGCATATATCTTTTTCCAAAGACACAAATTATATGTAAATAGATGTGTAGACTTGGATCTGAGAATGATACATGGGGGAGTGAGGGTGGAGTCAGGATTGGGACTTCGAGTGTTCAGTGGGTGCTTTAACTTTTTTAAACGAGAATATGTTCAGATGTTATCTTTTTTTTTCTTTCTTTTTTTTATCCTCACCCAAGGACATTTTTTTCCATTTTTTGTTCAGATAGAGTGGGAGGGAGAGAGAGAGAGAGAAACATCAACGTGAAAAGTACATGTCGAGTGATTGCCACCCACAGGACCCAACCAGGGCCGGGGACAAACTGCAGCCGAGGTACATGCCCTTAGCAGGAACCGAACCCAGGTCTCTCAGGACCGCAGGTCAATGCTCTAACCGCTGAGCCAAACCGGCCAGGGCCAGATGTTATCTTTATAATTAAAGATTAAGTTTTAAAACTTTTCTCCTACATCAGGATAGGAAAGATTTTATGTCCTTAGAGGATTCTACATCTACAGCTCAGACAGAGACTGGTCCTGGTCTCAGAGCCCAAGAACTAAATAGAAGGGCCACTGGAAAAGTATGTGTGGCCTGGCCAGTGTGGCTCAGTGGCTGAACATCAACCCATGCACCAAAAGGTCGCCGATTCGATTCCCAGTCAGGGCACATGCCCATGTTCTGGGTCCAATCCCCAGTGCGGGGCATGCAGGAGGTGGCCAATCGATGTTCTCTCTCATCGATGTTTCTCTCTCTCTCTCCCTCTCCCTTCTTCTCTCTCTAAAAATCAATAAAGAAAAAAAAGCTTTTTTAAAAATTATATACTTTTTTAAAAGTGTGTGCGTGTGCGTGTGTGTTGATGTTTAAGTACAGAAGTCATGCATGTTCCTTGTTATAAATCTAAACAGTACAGAAATACACAGTGTAAGTAGATGGCACCCCAAACCTGCAGTCCACCCCCTGGAGTAATCACCATGAACTGATTAGTGAACCTCCTTCCTAACTTTGTCTCAACAACTACAAATCTCAGAGTAGATTTTCATTGCTGTGGTTTTTACAAGAGTGAACTCATGCTGCACACAGAGTGAAAGATAGCAGGCATCTTTCTCTGTGGCCACACCCACAATCGCCCCATTATTTGAGAGTTGTATAATATTCCACTGTATAGATGCACCTGACTCACTGGAGCAATCACCTGTTAATGGACATTTGAGTTACTGCCAGTGCTTTCGCTCTTTTGAACAACCCTGCAGGAATTTGTGCAAGCACCCTGTGCACTTGGGAGTGTTTCTGTGGGCTAGAGCTGGGTGCTGCAGGTGTGTTGTGTAGACATTCAAGGGACTCAGGTGTCCCATTTCTTGGTCTCCTTTTCTGAGTACCAGGCCTTCTCAGTGCCGCATCCCCAGAACTGTCTTGAAGACATTTCCATGGTGGGCCAAGCCCCATGGTTCTCAACCCTGGTGTCCACTAGAACCACCCACCCCGCCATTCTAATGCCGTGCCCTGGGGTGGGCCTGGGAGTCTGAATGGTGTCAGGCTGCTCACCTTCTCTGACCACTGTCTTTTCCCCCCAGAACAGGTTCTCAGACTACGAGAAGAGAAAGGTAAGAAAGCACCTTTTGTCCTCGTCACTTTTCTTCTCATTAAAGATTTCAACAGTTATAAAAGACTTGAGGAAACAAGTCCTTCCTGCCTCTCAATTAGAGGTAAAGCAATGCTTTCCTCTTACATCCATCGCCTCAGCATGTGCTCACAGCCTCGGTAGGTGGTAGAGTATCTCCACTTGACAGATGAGAAGACTGAGGCTCAGAGCGTATGAGCCCAACCCCAGGCTCTAAACCACTGGCCTCTGCCAGCAAACAGCCTGTTTTATTACAGTGGGGTTCTGGGGGTTGCTCAGCGCTAAGACCTGCAGCCTGCACTATCCAGAGTTTCGGGGTGGGTTCACCCTGCTGTCATGTCCTAATGCCCACAGAGCTGTGCCAACAGTCACCAGCATCTACATTCTTGCAGGAACAGAAGATGCTGGAAAAACTCGAGTTTGAACGGCGCCTGGAACTCGGGCAGCGAGAGCACGCCCAGCTCCTTCAGCAGAGCCACAGTCAGAAGGACGAGATCCTTCAGTCGGTCAGGGAGGTTCGTGAGCAGCCAGGTGGGATCAGGCCTGTCTGTGCACCCTGCCAGGTCCTCCTGACTGCAGCCGGGGTCCCTCTGATGTGGGAAGGCAGTGGGAGGAAGCTCTCTCACTTCCGTACTCCAGAGCCTGGGCCTTTACATCACCTAGTCCAGCCTCCTCGTGAGCAGTGGACCCCCTGAGTCCCAGCAAGGGGAGGGCCTGGTCCAAGGTCACATGGAAAGGGCTGGCAGGATGGGGACAGGAAACCCATTCTTCTAACCAAGGTCCAGGGTCCTTCACTTCCCTATGGTGTCTGAAGGGGTCCCCAACGCTCAGGACCTCTGTCTGTCCTGCCGCAGGAGCAGTCCCGGCTGGAGCAGGGCCTCAGTGAGCACCAGCGCTACATTGACACAGAGCGTCAGCGGCTGCAGGAGCAGCTGAAGCAGACGGAGCAGAACATCTCCAACCGGATCCAGAAGCTCCTGCAAGACAATCAGAGGTCGGGCTCCCGTCTTCCCAGCCCCCAGACCCAGCAACCTTCTCCCACACAGTACCCCTGAAGGAGACCAAAATGGTGGTCTTCCCCATCACAGGCTCTACCCTGCCCAAGGTTTCCATCGTTAGGGTCCAATCTTGGTTCTGCAGTTTGCACCAGCTTAAAGAGGAAAGACTGATCTGGGCATGGCCAGCTCTGTCTCTTGTCGTGGGGCAGCCACTGATTGGACCTGTGCCTCCCCAGTTTCCCATCTGCAAATAAGTGGATTTAACAAGATAGCTGAGATCACATCTGTTCCAATACTTTCGGTTCCAAGTAACCTCTAGCACTGAGGTCAACCATTCACCCTACAGGGAGATTTGCTTTAAACCATCCTGTCCAAATAGGAGCTGCTGAGAGCAGGTCTTGATGGGGCTCGCGAGAAAGGGGGCCAGATAGAGATCTCAGGAAGCCTAAGAACGTCTAGTTAGGGTCCCTACTGGAAAGAGTCCAGAAACAGCTTCGCCACACCTGTCACTTCCGGGCTTCCATTTGCTTTTCACTGACTCCTCTGCCATCCGGGTCAGCCAGCCCTGGTGCTGCTCCACACGCCCTCACCACCGAGGGCATCCGGGGAAGCTACCATCTGCTGTGCTAAGTGCCACGCACTTTGTGTATATTTTTTCACTCACTCTTTACAGATACTCCACGAAGTTGTTTTGTTTTTTAGTGTTGTTCCCATGTCACAGACGAGGAACTGGGGCTTGGAGTGATTGAGTAACTGCCTGAGCCCACAGAGCCCTCCCTCAGTGGTGGGGCTAAGAGGCCCCAGCCCAGTCACTAGGCCCCCTCCGCACCGCCAGTGAGGGGCGGTTCTGTGGGAGGCAGGCCTGCTGGAGACGGCCGCAGGGACCTCTCCTGCATTTCTCCACAGGCAAAAGAAAAGTTCCGAGATTTTGAAGTCGCTGGAAAATGAAAGGTAAGTGTTCTGCTTTATCGCTTTCTCAGGATGGCCTTCCTGGGTGGGGGCTTTGGGATTCGAATGTCTTATAATTCTCAAGGATTGTGCCAGAAAGTTTTCCTAAAGCTATAAGGAGAGTCACCTCATTAGAGAATATTATTAAAAAGAATCACTATCTGCAAGTTTGTTAAAATACATTCCTGCCCTGGCTGGTTTGGCTCAGCAGTTAGAGCATCGGCCTGCGGTCCGGAGAGACCCAGGTTCGGTTCCCGCTAAGGGCATGTACCTCGGTTGCAGTTTGTCCCCGGCCCTGGTTGGTCGTGCGGGTGGCAGCCACTCGATGTGTCCCTTTCACGTCGATGTTTCTCTCTCTCTCTCTCTTCCTCTTTCTCCCTCCCACTCTATCTGTACAAAAAAATGGAAAAATGTCCTCGGGTGAGGATTAAAAAAAAAAAAACATTCCTGACAAAAATTTTGACGTGAATGAGTTGTATAATGTTCAACTATATTCCTAGTATAAAAAAATTACACACAAAAAAAAATCTACATTTCTGGGGGAAAAAAGAATTTGGTTACGTGAATTATGTACAAAAGAATAATCTGTAGCTGTTCAAAATCTTGTAGAAGAGTATTCCTTATTAAAGGAAACACAATGTGTTGCTAAGTGGAAAAGGGGGCTCTGCAGTCTATCTTTTTTTTTTTTTTTATCCTCACCCGAGGACATTTTTCCATTTTTTGTTCAGGTAGAGTGGGAGGGAGAGAGAGGAACAGAGAGAGAGAGAAACATCGATGTGAAGGGACACATCGAGTGGCTGCCACCCGCACAACCGACCAGGGCCGGGGACAAACTACAACCGAGGTACGCGCCCTTAGCGGGAACCAAACCTGGGTCTCTCAGGACCGCAGGCCGACGCTCTAACCGCTGAGCCAAACCGGCCAGGGCCATTTTTTTATTTCTCAGTTACAATTGACATACATTATGTTAGTTTCATATGTACACTTCAGTGATTAGACATTATGTAACTTAACCAAGTGGTCATCCAGGTAAGTCTTGCACCCATCTGACACCATACATAGTTATTAGAATATTATTGACTATATTCCCTAGTCTGTACTTTATGTCCCCATGACTATTCTATAACAACCAATTTGAACTTCTAGCCCTTCACCTTTTTCTCCCAACCCCCAACCTCCCTCCTATCTGGCAACCATCTATGAGTCTGTTTCTGGTCTGCTTGTTTATTTATTTTGTTTTTTAGATTCAATTGTTGATAGGTATGTATTTATTGCCATTTTATTGTTAATATTTTTTTCTATCATTTCCTGAAGACACTCTGTATGTTTCTGTGCTCAGAAAGCGAAAAGCCCCACCTCCAGTGGTTTACACTGAACATTTTTGAGAAGTGGGGATTAGAGTTGGTGATATAATTTTTCCTTTGTGTTTTCAGTATTTTCCAAGTGTGCTGCATTGAGGTGCACCACTCTCTGTAGTAATAAGAAAAGGTGACAGCCGGGAGGGACAACCTCCCTCCCTTCCCTGGGTATTAATGGGATCTCTCCTGGTTCTCCAAATCCCAAAATAGGAGCATGGACTTTGCTGCTATCCTTACGCCCAGCCTTGGGAAGACCTCCTAGGGTGCTCCCACCAGGCTGCAGCCCCGTCACCCCACCCACTGAAGCTGCGGTGCTTGCAGTAGTCAGGGGTGGTCAAGGACAAGCTGAGTTGTGGCCAGTGGCATCGTTTATTCAGCACACACTGACCAAGTCCCCTGTCTGTGCTGGGCCTGGGGTCCAGCCACGTACCAGTACAGCCTTCCCTTGAGCAGCCCGTGGTCTGTGCTTCTTCCAGTGAAGCCAGACCCTGCAGAAACATTAAAGGGTTATCCCTCCAAGCCACTTACCTGTTTAGTGTGGGGGGAAATGCACACACGTGCAGCATGCACATGCATCCATGTAATTACCTTTTATATTTTCACTTTATTTTTTTTATTACATTTTGCATTTGACACATTTTTATTTTCATTTATTATATCATGGATGTATTTCTGTGCCAAAAACATTATTTGTAATAACTGTAGGGTATTCTATTATGTGATTATATCATAATTTATTTGATTATTCTTCGGTTTATGAACATTTGTTTCTAGTTTTTCACAATTACAAGTACTGTTACAGTGAATATCTTCTAAGTATACCTATATGCATTTATGTGAATATTTTTGAAGAAACTTCAAAGGACATTTGATAGGTATTGCCAAATTGCCTTCTAAAAAACATTTTGTCAGTTTTACACTCTTCTCACCTATATATGAAAGTGCCCATTTCTCCACCTTCATTGCTATCACCAGTTGTTATCAGTTTTCTTCATCTCAACCCATCTGCTAGGTGAAAAGATTTTACTTTTTTTAGTTACCAGTGATGTTAAGCATCTTTCCATATGTTTATTGGTCACTTGTATTTAAGCATCACTGAGATGACTATTTGTGCCCTTTGTCCATTTTTCTAAGGGAATGTTTGTCTTTTTGTATAAGAGACTGTTAACTACAAGGCTGAAGGTAAACAGGGCCCCGGTGGAGAGGGGTATGATGCAGCAAGAGCACATCTAGGGCGGCACATCAAGGAGGACTTCCTGAAGGAGGTGCTGTTCTGATGGGATTCCCTCTTGGAAAGGAAACGTTTGCTAAATAAATGGATGGATTGTCTCTTTAGAATAAGAATGGAACAGCTGATGTCCATAACCCAGGAAGAGACAGAGAACCTGCGGAGACGTGAGATTGCCTGTGAGTCTCCGTGGGGAGAGGGCGCGGTCATGGGAACAGAGCTTGGCTGTCTGGGGGTGGGGGCAGGGGTAGACAGCCCTGTCTTTGTTGGCCACCTATATAGGGTGCTGAGTGTTAATCCCTTGAGAGGGAAAGTATTCATGAAAAGTAAGAAGTGGTATACTGTATTTAGTGCGATAACATTTAAAAGTTTTTATTGTGGTAAAATATATACAACATAAAATTTACCATTTTAACCACTTTTAATTGTATAGTTTTGTGGTGTTTAAGTACATTATTGTGCAGCCATTACCACCCCCATCTCCAGAATTGCTTGCATCTTGCAAAACTGAAACTATACCCGTTCAATAACAAGTCATCATTCCCCCTCCCCCAGCCCCTGACAACCCCCATTCTACTTTCTGTCTCTGACTCTGATTACTCTAAGGACCCCATATAAGTGGAATCATATGGTATTTGTCTTGTTGTTGACTGGTTTCTTTCACTTAGCACGTCCTCAAGGTTCATTCATGTAGCTTCTCTGAATTTCCTTCCATTTTAAGGCTGAATGCTATTCCATGATATAGATATACCACATTTTGTTAATCTGTTCATCCATCAGTGGGCACTAGGGTTGTTTCCATCTGTTGGCTATTGTGAATAATGCTACTATGAACATGGGTGTGCATGTATCTGTTCAAGTCTCTGCTTTCAATTTCTCAGTGTTAATTTTTTTTTTTAATCCTCACCCGAGGACATTTTTTGCATTTATCTTCAGATAGAGTGGGAAGGAGAGAGGGGGAAAGAGAGAAAGAGAAATATCGACTCGAGAGAGACAGATCGACTGGTTGCCACCCGCACGACCCAACCAGGGCCGGGGACAAACTGCAACCGAGGTACGTGCCCTTAGCAGGAACCAAACCTGGGTCTCTCTAACTACTGAGCCAAACCGGCCAGGGCTAGTGTTAATTTTTTTAACCCAAAAATATGCATTGACATTTGACTGGAAGAATATATATCAAGCCCTGGCTGGTTTGGCTCAGCGGTTAGAGCGTCAGCCTGCGGTCCAGAGAGACCCGGGTTCGGTTCCCACTAAGGGCACGTACCTCGGTTGCAGTTTGTCCCCGGCCCTGGTTGGTCGTGCAGGTGGCAGCCACTCGATGTGTCCCTTTCACATCGATGTTTCTCTCTCTCTCTCTCTCTCTCTCTCTCTCTCTCTCTCTCTTCCAGTCTACCTGAACAAAAAATGGAAAAATGTCCTCAGGTGAGGATAAAAAAAAAAAAAAGAATATATCAAAATATAATATCTTTGGGTGACAGATTATAGGAGATTCTGTGTGTGCTGTTCAGTGTTTTACAATTAGTCAATCTTTCAAGCTTGTGACTTCTATAGTTTTAAAAAAAGATTTCTTTTAAGGGTGACAGGTAGGTGACTAGGTGATCCCCACGAGGCCACCCCAGGAGCGCTGCCCTTCTTCAGCCCCATTCATGTCTCCTCAGCCGCCATGCAGCAGATGCTGGCCGAGAGCTGCAGGAGCCGCTTCGTCCAGATGGCCTACGAGTCCCAGAGGCACCACTTGGTCCAGCAGGCCTGTTCCAGGTGAGGTGAGGAGAGGCTTCCTGAGCGAGGGAGTTGGGGAGCCGGCTCTGGGCCCAGGGGGTCCCCTGCGCCTGGCCACCCCAGCCTCCGCCATGCTATCAGAGGCCAGTGCTGACCTCATGATTCTGTGTTGGGCAATACCTTGTTTTATTGCACTTCACGGATAAAGAGTTGTTTACAGATGAAGGGTTTGTGGCAACCATGCCTCAAGCAAGTCTATTGACACCATTTTTCCTACAGGCTCAGTTAGTTAGCATGTTTTAGTAATAAAGAATTTTTTAATTCAAGTGTGTACATTATTTGTTGAGCACTTAATAGATTATAGTATAGTGCAAACATAACTCTTGTATATACACATTGGGAAACTCAAAAATTCCTATGACTCACTTTATTGCGGTATTTCCTTAATTGTGGTGGTCTGGAACCAAACCCACAACATCTCTGAGGTAGGCCTGTTCTCACTACCGCCTCTCATGCACTTCCTGTGTGCAGGCACTCCGCCAGGTGACAGGCGTTAGCTGACTGACTCTCTGAGGGGCTAGATTGTTACTAGCCCCGTTTTATTTTTATTTTTATTTTTTTTTATTTATTTATTTTTTTATCCTCACCCGAGGACAGTTTTCCATTTTTTTGTTCAGATAGTGTGGGAGGGAGAGAGAGAAACATCGACGTGAAAGAAACACATTGAGTGGTTGCCACCCACACGACCCATCCAGGGCTGGGGACAAACTGCAACCGAGGTATGTGCCCTTAGTGGGAACTGAACCCGGGTCTCTCCGGACCGCAGGTCGACACTCTAACCGCTGAGCCAAACTGACCAGGGCACTAGCCCTGTTTTAGAATCACAGCTCAGTTTCACAGGTGCTATGTGACACACCCAAAGAAACACAACTACAACTGACAGCCAGGATTCGAACCCAAGCAGAGTGGGGGTGCTCTGGACTCTGGTGCACTTGTCATTGCCAAGGGTCTGCACAGGTCGGGGACAGGGTTGTCCTCAATGCTGGTGGTGACGAGGTCTGAGTGTCCAAGTTCACCGTGGCACTGTGGGTTTGTTGTTGGAGGAGCCACAGGTGTCTGGCGCAGCCAGGTGAGAAAAGCCCCGCAGATTCTCAGGAGGCCCAGGGGGATGGGCCAGTAGCCCTGGCTGCCCTTGTGTGTCTCCTCCCATCCAGGTGGCACAGCTGCCAGTCTCCCGTGTCCTCGGGCAGGGCTCTCTTCCTCCTTTCCTGGTGTATGATGTGATTAGGAGCACGGGCACTTCTTCTGATAGTAACTATGAAGTCTTGGGCAAGTTCCTGTCCCTTTCTGAGCCCCAGTTTTCATATCAGAAAAATGGGGAGAAATCACAGTACCTTCTCCTCCAATTACTGAAGCCTTTGATGAGCATCAGTTGCATAATGTCTGCCACATAGGGTCCAGTAAATAACAGCTGTTATTATGAAACAAGCAAACTCAAAACCAATATTATACCAAAGTATGGACATATGTGAGGTTGGAGGGTTGGATTTTTGTACCAAAAACTGAACTTGTTCTAGAGACTGAGAGCAGACCCTCTGCCAGGACAAGCAATGCTGGGGCGGGGAATGCAGACAGTGTGCCCAGGAAGGACAACTTCTCAAGGACAGCTTGCATGGCTTACCTAGGAGGCCGTGTTCCGGTGGAGGGGTGGATGAGAGGACCCGGGGTCATGTTTCCCAGCTCCCAAGTCACAGGCTCTGTCACCTTCCTTCCAGAGCCGTGGAATTCAGACTCTGTGTCTACACCCAGCCTGGAACATGGCCCCCAACAGGCGCTCCGTAGTATTGTTGAAGGACTAAATGGTTTATCCTGATCTCCAAGGTTCCTAGCACATAGTAGGTGCTCAGAAAATGTTGAGAGAGTAAATGAATTTGCTGTCTTTCTGGCAGTATGGCTGAAATGGATGAACGGTTCCAACAGATTCTGTCATGGCAGCAGATGGATCAGAACAAAGCCATCAGCCAGATCCTGCAGGAGGTGAGCCCTTGACCAGGACGTGAGGGCGGGGGTGCACGAAAGGCATGCTGGGGCCGAGCATCAGAACTCTACCTGGAGCCCTGTCTTGGATAGGGTGTGAGACCCGACATGCTCAGTGCATTTAGTACAAACTGTCAGGAAGAGAGGAACAAGGAGAGGCCTCTGGATGGTGAGCTCTGGTCACTGAAATCCAGAGAAGCATCCCCTACTTCTCTGTGGGCGCCCACTCTCCATGCTGTGGGGGCTGCATCATAGAAGCACCCCCTTCCCTGGGGGGCACCACACCCGTGCTGTGGGGGCCCCATCATCAGGACTGAAAGGGCAGGGAGTGATGGGATCACAGCACAGAGGAGGAGCCCACAAGGGGGCGCTGCGGGACCTGGACTCCCTGCCAAGCCCGTGCACCTGCCTGCTCCTGCTCTCAGCTGGCCCGTTGGGGAGCCAGGCGTGGCCCCGCTCAGCAGGCCGTGGTCTCTGTTGCAGAGCGCCATGCAGAAGGCTGCATTTGAGGCTCTCCAGGTGAAGAAAGACCTGATGCATCGGCAGATCAGGAATCAAGTGAGTGTGGGGGTCACGGCCCCCCATCTAGACCTGTCTTGTCAGCTTTCAGAGACACGCAGAAGGGACTGGACAGGTGGCGTTAAGGTTGAATCCAGGCTCCTTCACAGGGCAGCTCAGCAGTTCTCCCTTCAGAACCTCCCTTTCCTCCCAGAACCTCGCTCAGGGGCTGTTGGGAGGTGCCCCAAGGCAACACTGTGAGTGCTCCGCAAGTGTGACTTGTTGTCACCGTTTCTCATGCCGCCCAGGGCTGAGGGGAGGGCCGCGCGGCCTTGACTGCTGGGCGGCTCTGCGCTGACCACTCCCCAGGCAGCCGGCTCAAACCCCAGCGTCCCATCAGCTCTGAACTGGGACGAACGGATTTCCCAGCTGAGGGGGCAGGAGGCCCTGGTGTCAGCTGGGCCTGGAGGACAGGGCTGCGCTTCATTAGGGCTCTGCTGCTGACCTTCGGGCAGGCCGTGGGCAGGCCCCACTGTGGCCTGTCGGCCCCTCCGTGGCGTGGGGCTGTCTGTACGCTGGGCTTCCCCGAGGGCGCGGTGCGCTGCGCGGCTGGAGACGAAGTGAGCTTTTAGGCTTAGGAGCGCTCATCGCATCGTATTAACACCTTTTGAATTTCACATTTTGCATGTTTTTTTTCCTTTTTATTCTTTTCTTATTTGGCCAAAACCAGCTTATCTTTTAATTTCCTTCTTTAATTTCAATCCTACATAGCCAGACATGAAGCTCATTCCTCTGACCAGGGTTTGGTGGGGACATAGGAACTTAGGGACAAGGGTCATAGGCACAGGGCAGAGACTGGCTGTGGGGTCTGACCCCCAGGGCTAAAAGTCCCAAGTCACACCCTGAGGGTGTGCAGTGACCCCTAGACATTCTCACTGTGGGTGGTTTGGACCCACCATGCCAGCTGTTCCCCTGTAGACCCCGGGAAGGCATATCCCAGGGAAAGGGCTCACTCACTTACCTGCTCTGTGTCCTTGAGCAAGTTACTTAATGTCTCTGGGCCTCAGTTTTCTTATCTGTAAAGTGGAGGCAATAATACCTCCTAATAGCCAGAGGAAAACTGATGAACTATATATATAAAGTGCCCAGCACAGGGCTAGTACACAGAATTCTCTCAATATCAGCTACTACTCCTGGTATCATTCAGTCACTTCCACGACCCTCTGCTCCCCTCTGTGACAGCTGTTCAGAGGAAGCCAGAGAACTGGACCAGCAGGAGGCTCAGGGAGAGCTCTCTGTCTGCTCTTCCCTCTGGCCTGAACCATGGGGGAAAGCCCCTTCTTTGTTCCACAAGCCTTCATTCATCACCCACTTGGACACAGGCCCCGCGCTCAGATCTTGATCAACAGTATTGACCAGGACAAGCATGTCCACACCCCGCCCAAAGTACTCAGGGCCCCTATTCCAGAGACCCCCAGAAAAGAGTCTTAGACCCCACTTGGCCATCAGAGAGCAGTGGCACAGAACTGAACTATGGTTAATGTGAATAAAAAACACCCTGTCTCATCTTCTGTTTAGATTAAGTTAATAGAAACTGAGTTATTGCAGCTGACACAGCTGGAGTTAAAGAGGAAATCCCTGGACACAGAGGCACTACAGGTATGTAGGGCTCCCTGGCCTGCCCCGTCCCTCCCCTGTCCCCCGATGGACGCTCCCACCTGGTTCCCCCACCGCCTCTCCAGTAGGCAGGGCAGGTCTCCTCTGTGGCTAGGACCTTGGAGGTGCCTTAATCCCAGAAGGCTGATGGGAGCACAGGCCAAGGTTAGGGGTCGGGTCAGCCTGAGTCTAGGCAGGAGGGTCAGAGGAAGGAGGGTTTCATTGCCAAGGCTCACCCAGGTGACATCTTCATCACTGCATTTTCTTTGTTTTGGAGCCGGGTTGCTCCCTGTCTCTTTAAGCCATGCTTCTGGGGTGCTGGTTTGACTCATGGGCTTTCATCCTCTGGGGAAGGAGCTTTCTTGGTGTCCTAAGAATGTCTGGAGGGGAGGGCCCGGCCGTGACTGTGTCACTCCCTGCAGGCAGCTTCTCTGTGAGCTCAGCCTGGTGTCCTGCTCACAGAGTAAGGCAGCAGGGCTAGCAGATGGCATTCTGGGCTGCAAGTCTGGGACCTGGGTTCTGTCCCAGCATAGTCTTGCTGTGTGACCTGGGTGGGCTGGGATGGGGGGGGGGCCCTTTTCCTTCTCTGTGCCTCAGTCTGTCCAGTTGTACACAAAGGGACTGTATCAATGGTGTGTGAAGACCTGTGCCCTATACCTGGCTTTGAGCAGAGCTGTCTGTTCTCAGTGGAAATCTTAAGTTGTCTCATGGGCTTCTCAGTCCAGTGAAAGAACACTGGGGCCTGGTGTCCTGGTCTGACCGCCAGGGATGTGCTGTGTGCCCTTAGGCAGGTCACTTCCCCTCCCTGGGCCTCCGTTTCTTCCCTCCATGACATGGAAGTGATCTTCCAGGCCCAGCCATCGTCAGGGCCGTGACCCAGGTGAACTAGCAAGCAGAAAGTCTAGTGTGAGCCTGGAAACGGCCTTCAGAGAGGAGGGGGTGAGCTGGCAGCGCAGGGGCCCTTGTCTCTTGCCCGTTAGAGCTAGCGGCTCCCGTTGTTTCTGGGGCCTCCGTGGGTTCCAAGGTAAGAGATGAGGGGAACACAGACACAGATGAGGGCTCTGCTCGGTCCACATGTGCACCCATCTGTGTAGAGCCTCCAGACTGGGCAATGGGTGACACCTGCCCTCCCCACCGTGTGCTTCCACCATGTGCTTCCCCCACGTGCTCTGCAGTCAGTGAGAGGAGGTCAGACACCCTGGCTTGTCATTTCCTTTGTTTGCTGTTTCTTGCCACTCCACCAACATCAGTTGCTAGATTCCATGCCTGGCCTTAGCCCCCCGGGGAAGGGAGATGCAGGCTTAGAAGCAGGTGGGGAGGGGGTGCCTGGGCAGAGGGGCTCCTCGGCTCTGCCCCTATTTCTCAGCCTGAGACTGTGGGCAGAGCCTTGAATGGAGTTGGGCCCTCCATGGGCCCCCAGCTGGCAGCTGGGGACTCAGTGAGGGGCATCCTGCCACAGAGCCCTTGGGACTTCTGGCGCCAGGGGTGCTGTGAGCTTCCAGCGGCACTGGATGTGGCCTTGTGTTGCAGGAGATGATCTCAGAGCAGCGCTGGGCCCTCAGCAACCTGCTCCAGCAGCTGCTCAAAGAGAAGGCGCAGCGAGAGGAAGAGCTCCGGACCATCCTGGTGCGTTGGCTTCCACGGGGCTCACTTTCCCCCTGCACACTTGCCGATCCTAGAGTCACTTGTTACTCAAGTCATAGCTGTTCATCAAGGAGAAAAGGAAAGTATAAGGGAAAAGAATCTCACTCCTGAGAGTTACCTGTTGCTAACGTTTTGATGATGTACGTTTTTCAAACATTGTGCCTTTAAACCTAAAATAGTGCGTAGCCCTGGAGGACCTGCTCATTTTTGTCTATTCGCTTCATGTCACTAAATAGGCCTCTTTCCATGGCTGCGTTTAGACAGGTCATCATGTAGCCTGTTGAGCATTTAGACTGTTTCCTGTTCTTCGCTTCTATAAGCCGTGCTCTGTGGTCATCTTTGCAGCTAAGGTTTGAGAACAGCTGAGCCCAGGAGAGGACTTGCTGTCTCAGGGCAGGCCTTTTAATGACCCCTTGGCAGGAGTTGCCCATTTGTCCCCAATTCTCCAATGGGTTTGACTCTGGCACGTCATCAGGGCAGGTGGGGTCAGGTCCTCCAGACCCCAAGAGCACCTGAGTGGTGAGGACGGAGGCCATCCCACTAACTGGGGCTGGGAGGACCCAGTCACTCCCCTGGCACCGTTATTGCTCCTGGCATCCTCTGAGCCCACTGTGGGCAGGCCCTGTGCAGGGCACAGAGAAGACTGAGACCAGCTTCTTTCTAAGCCCTGCTCGGGCCCAAATGCCACGTTTGTGCTGATCAGGAGCTGCCCTGCCCTCACGCTGCCTGACCGCCGTCGTGGACAAGTTGTGGTGATGCGGGCGTTTGGCAGGAGCAGCCATATGCTGTGTCCTGTGCTCCTGCCCTCGGGGGGTCTCGAGGGGCTCACTGTCCAGGGAAGGAAGCACTGCCTCGGCAGAACGTGAATGTCAGGGTCACAGGTTCCAGAAGAGAGGTATATGCACAGCCCAGGCCGGAAGAGGGGGAAGGTCCAGGAGTGACCACCAAAGGGCAGTCAGGCCCCTGAGGGGACTGGGGCAGTGCCTGTGTTGGCATCCTGCTCCCCACATCACATCTGGCCCCCAGTCTGCAGCTGCAGCCCTGGATGGGCCAGCTCAGCTGCTCAGGCCCAGGCTCCAGAGCAAGACCTGGGTCTGAACCGTGGCCCTGACCCTGGGCAGCTCTTTGACCTTGGGCAGGCTGGTTATCCCTCTGAAGCTCCGTTTCTCCACTCGTGAGGCAGAGTCCGCTTCACAGTTGTGAGAATTAAGTGCACAGCATCTCTGCGCAGCCGAGTCTGGCGCACGCGCTCGAAAGCGAGCTGCTGCTGTCAGCACGTCTGCTCACGCTCTGCCCTGGCACCTAGCGCAGCGCCTGGCCCAGAGCAGCGCTCCGGGAGCGCGGATGACAGAGTGAAGAATCCATTTCAGTAGCATGTTCATAAGTCTCTAGCGGGTCAGAATGATGAAGGCCTCTCAAAACGCTGAAGGTGTCCTTGGAATCCTATTTCTTTCCCTGCCTGGCACCCAGGAGACCAGCCCAAGCTTTGGGTGGGGGGCTGCTTAGTGCTTTGCTGTTTCCACAAGCAGATGAGAAAATATCCCTCCCAGACCAGTGCCAAAGCGAGGTACCCAGTGTCAGCAGCCCATGTTCGGGCCCCCACCAGGTGTGGTGTGTGAGATCCTTCTCAGCAGTAAGTCGGAGTGGTGATGCTTCCTGCCTTCCCTGTGTCTAGTTTACGTGATGCAATGATGGGGGCAGGAAAGTGTTTGCAAAATACCAAGTGCCGTCCACATGCAGAGGAGCATAGTTCACAGACATCCCTGCCATTCTCGTTTTTATGTACTGGTTTGTGACTAAAAGTATCGGCTTCGTTCTTGGCAGACGGAGTTAGAAGCCAAAAGCGAAACCAAGCAGGAAAATTACTGGCTGATTCAGTACCAACGGCTTTTGAACCAGAAGCCCTTGTCCTTGAAGCTGCAGGTAAGGACGGGCGGCGCCCACCCCCACCAGAAGCCAGGAGGGCTCCAATCCCAGGGCCCTCGCGCCTCAGGGATTCCCTGCTTCTTGATCCTTCTAGTTTAATTCCCTTCCTATTTCTGGTGGCTGGTGTGCCAGGTCCTGTGCTAGACCCCAGGAGGACGGAAATGAAAGGGAGGGAGGGTTCATTCTGGTGAGGACAGACAGCCTGCCATGTGCGACAGAGACCTGTGAGCCCACAGTGGGGCCGGGCCTGCTGTACACGCCGGCACAGGCGACCAAGCCAGATGTGTTCCCCTCTCTCTCTCTCTATCTCCCTCTCTCCCCGCACACTTAAAAAAAAAAAAAAAATGGATTCTTTCTATGCCTGCTATTTGACAGCTTTCACCCTTAGCAGTGGTGATGGGCAGTTGTCCAGGCCTGCACACATAGATGTCCTCATTGTCTCCAGACAGCTGCATGGTGTGTAGCACATGGGTGAACCCTCATTTATTTAAACAGTCCCCTCCTGACAGGTCAAGTTGCTTGTATATATTCAGACCCTTTGTTTGCTGTGGTAAATAATGGCTTCTGGTTTTTCTTCCCTTGGTTTGCTTGTGCAGGAAGAAGGCATGGAGCAGCAGCTGGCGGCCCTGCTGGTGGAGCTGTCGGCCGAGCACTACCTGCCCATCTTCGCCCATCACCGCATCTCGCTGGACATGCTGAGCCGGATGAGCCCCGGGGACCTGGCCAAGGTGGGCAGCACCAGCCTCTCGGGGGTGCTCAGGGAGGCGAGCTGGGCCACTGGCCCAACCTGGCCAGTGGTCAGCTGGCTCTTCTTGCAGTTCTTGGTGAGGTGCCTCAGCAAATGTCCCAGGGCCCCTTGCTTCCAGATGGCTAGAACACCTGCCCCAACTGCCCCCAACCAGCTAGACGTGCCCTACATGCCTGAAGGCTGAGAAAATCTAGGGACGTGGTCCTGCTGACCCAGAGCACCCACCTGCTCAGACTGGGTCTTTACGTTGGAGGGTCAAGACAATTCCTTGGAGGTCATCTGGTCCAGCCCCGACCCACCCCACAGTCGTAGAGATCTTGTCACAGCAGCACGGCCGGAGCCAGTATATCGCACTAATCCATTTACTCCTCACAGGAGACGGATAGCAGTGGGGCTCACATCTCGGTAGCACTTCCCAGCGCCAGGCCCTGTTCTGAGCACTTTCACAAGCTCACTCACTGAGTCCTCCCAACCTGGGCAGGCAGGCGACGTTTCATCATTTTTCAGATGAGGAAACAGACACACACTAAGGCGGTCATTTGCCTGAGGTCACACAGCAGAGCCAGGACTTGAGCTGGGTGCTTTGGTGCCGGAATCCATGCTGCTGACCACTCTGCTGTACTGCCTGTGCCCAAGGGCTGTCCCCACACCCAAGGGCTGCATGGGAGCCATGTTGCCCAAGCTCAGGTGCTTGCGCCCTGGAGGCTGAGGGTGATTCTGCTGCTGCTGCTGCTCAGCAGCTCTGTCTGTTCCTCGTGAACTGTGACAGAGGGTCCTGGCTTACTGGTCACAAGTGGCGTGAGGTCATGCCGGTGAAACTGTCAGCACAGTCCCTGGCACAGAGAAGCCCCTGCTAAGCCGTGGTGTTGGCTTCCTTTGGGCCTCAGTTTCTCTCTCTGCCACACTGATGGTTGAGTCCAGGCTTACTGGGCCCCAGTACGCAGCTAGGAATGAGGCGGTCCCCGTGGCTCTGTACTGTGCAGCCGGCTCCCACCCAACCCAGGCCACAGTCTGCTCTTGGACTCTGCAGGTGGGTGTCTCGGAAGCCGGCCTGCAACACGAGATCCTGCGGAGAGTCCAGGAGCTGCTGGACGCGGCCAGGATGCAGCCAGGTACCAGCACCAGCCTTATGTGTGGACTGTGGTTGAGGGTGGTCATCTGTTGACTTTTCAGGTCGAGCCCTAAAGGCTGGTTCTTGTCCCTGTAAGTTCTTAAAGTCCCCTCCTGAAGGAACAGGATTTACAAAGGAGAACAACAAGCCACAGAATGGAGGTTTCTTTCAGCAGTTCAGGGCCCTCCTGGCTCCCTGTTCCATGACCTTCCCTGAACCCACCCTGCAGACCTTGGCAACCATACACCCAGGATCCTTGGAGTTGGAGAAGCCAGCTGTACCCAGTGCCCAGCACTGTGCCTGGGGCAGCCTGGGGTTTGTCTGCAGAAGGACGTTTGTGACAGGCTGTGAAGGGGTAGGTGCAGGTCATAAAGGCACTCTGCCCCGTGGAGGTGAGGAGTGGCAGGCCCTGTGGCCGCCGTCGGGGCAGGCTTGGGAGCCGGGTCTCCTGTGTGCCAGTCATGATCCAGGTGCCAGGTGCTCGCTGGCCATTTCACGTGCACTATGTCGTGTCACCTCTGTTTCAAGTCCATCCGGTGGGCACTGTTGTTATCCTCATTGGAGGGGTGGGGAAACAGGCTCAGAGAGGTTAATTCGTCTCCGTGACATCACACAGCTGGCATGTGGCTGGGCCACTGGGCTTTGCTGCTCCCTCAAGAAGAGACCGACAGGCCGCGACAAGCGGAAGGAAGCCTGGGGCCTAGGACAAGAGTGAAGGAGAGGGCAGGCTGCCAGGCTGGGCAGGTCTGTCTGAGGCAGAGGCTGAAGGTGGGGTTGCCGGACCAGACCGCAGGGGTGAGGCAGGAGCTTGGGCTGCCTGGCTGGAGGAGGCCCTGGGCCCTGGTGTCAGGGCTGACGGCACCTGGAGGAGGCCCTGGGCCCTGGCCCCTGGCATCAGGGCTGACGGCAGCACCTGGAGGAGGCCCTGGGCCCTGGCGTCGGGGCTGACGGCAGCACCTGGAGGAGGCCCTGGGCCCTGGTGCCAGGGCTGATGGCAGCACCATGCCGTCTGCAGATACCAGCCTTCCGGCAATTTTACTCCAGGGACTGACTCTACCTAAGAAAAAGTCATTAACCTTCCGTCCTTCGATACCAAGTATTGTGCAGAACAGGCCCCTTCCAATGTTTGTTCCCCAGCCCACCCCCTCTTGCGCTCAGGGTGGAGGTCAGGAACAGTTTGACATCCGGACTTGGGGTCGCCCTAACCCTAAGAGACTAATCTCCATGGAGCAGGAATTGCCAGCACCCTTTCACTCCGAGCCCCTCCAGCATTCAGAACGGCTGCCTCACGTCTCCCCCAGCCCTAGAGCTAGCAGGAGCCGCTCCCTGCTCGGAGCTGATCCCTGTCGCAGACTGTCCCTGCTGCCGCGTGTGACGCCTCGGCTGCTTAGGGTGGCTTCCTGGCTGCACCCCCCCCCTTCCCAGCAGGAAGGGGGCTGTGGCAGGAGGTTTCTTCTGAGCTCCAGAAGGGACAGGAAATCCTCAGGCACTTTCCTACCAATTCTCGTATTGCTCCCAGGACTCGCTGTGTTACAGTAAATATAGGAGGGCCTCTTTACCGAGGCTTTGGGGCACCCTGATACCCTCAGAGTGTCTAGTATAATAACCTTTGAAAATACTTCAGGTTTTTTTCTAATTATATAAAAAAAAAAATACTATTTGCAATAAGACACAGAACAAATAGAACATATGAACTGTGATCAGGATGGGGGTCAGGGCTGAAAGACTCAGTGTCGGTGGTGCGCACTGCGTGGTAATGAGGGAGACGCGTTCTGTAAGGGCCCTTCTGAAGTCCTGCCTGGGGCTGGATGCGGCTCCAGGCCAGAGCAGTGGGCACACTGGGGGCTCTGCCCGAGGCCTGGGGGAGCAGCCATGGGGCTTTCTCACTCCTGTCCCTGCTCCTCTGAGTCCTGATGGGCAGTGGGCAGACCATCTCCTGGGCCACGGGGTGGAGAAGATGAGAGGGAGGCTCAGTGCACCCCAGGGCCCCAGCCAGAAGTTCCTGTGCCGCGACTCCACCACCAGAGGGCCCTGCGGCTTTGGGCAAGTGGCTTCCCTGAGTTCCAGTCTCTCATCTGAGTGACAGCGCCCTACTTGGCAGGGTGGCTGTTAAGGATCCAGGGGACGTTAGGGGTAAGAGACCCAGTTAACCAGAGCTGCGCCCCCCTGCCAGCGCCCCAGCACTCCTGTCTTACAGATGGGGAATGAGAAATAAGGGGGGGGTGGTGAGGCGGCCCTTCCACCCCCACTCTGAGATCACAGCACCCTTCCAGCTCACTGTCCACTGGGGGCAGGCTGGGCTGGGGCACCCCTAGGGGTTGGGATCACGGGGAGTGGCCCTGGCTCAGCCTCTTTGTCTGGACCCGCAGAGCTGCTGAAACCCCCCCAGAGAGAGGTCCTTGGGGCCCTGGAGCCCAGCGCCCCTGAGGAGTGTCCTGATCCCGTGAGGCCGTCGGCTCCCTCCGGGGAGCTGGAGGTGCAGACCTCGGAGTGTGTCGTGTGCCTGGAGCGGGAGGTGAGTCTCCAGAGTCCCCACCCTGCCAGCTGCCGTGCCGCGGTCTCCTGTCCGTCCCTCCCGGCCAGTCTTCCTACTCACTCTGCTCTAGTCATGTAAGGAGGTGTTTGTTAGAAATTGTGGAAAATTCAGGACATAAAGACGACCCGTGATCCCGTGGCCTAAACATGAGCAATACTAACATCATTTTTGGGCCCTTTTTTTTCAGAGAGGGTTTTTTCCCTACTTAACAAATACATCAGGGAAAATTTCCCAAATTGTTAAATATCAACAACACAATTTCCTCTGAAGAGGCTATTTAAAACCATCTTTTAAAAAAAACCAACTATAACAACATTCACCCTGATCGTAAAAATGAAACAGCGCAGCACATAAAATTAAATTCCACCCTTCCCTCTGCCGTGCGATCCTACGTAGAAGCGGCATCCGTGCCGAACGTCCTGTGCCCCGGTCTCCACCAGACCTGGGCTGGCCGAGGTGTGGAAGGACTTGGTTATAACTGGAACCGAAATCCTGCTTTGGGGCCCATAGGTTGGCATCAGTTTCGGTTATTACAAACTGCTGTTCTGAACAACCTTGAACCAAGTAGGGAGCGCGGCCTTGATCACTGTCCTACGATAAATCCCTGAAGAGAGGCGACCTGAAGCGGCCCGAGGGGGCTTCTGGGCCATCATGTCCGAATGGCCTGGGGCTGGGGCTGGGCCAGGGCGGGTTGGGAAGGTCCGCAAGGTCCAGCGGCAGGGCTGGTTCCGTGCTGTCACCTCAGCGGAGGCTGTGGGGGCTGTCGGCAAGTAGTGAAACATGGGGGAATGTAACCCAGTTTTATTTTAGAAAGAAAGGGGTGGGGCTTATGGGTATTTATAGATTTGAAACAAAATATGAAGAAATAGAGTCAAACTGCTACCAGAAGGAAGGGCTAGATTCTGCCTTGCTGCACGTGGTGCACGTTCCTGGGCGGGTGTGGTCCAGGGCGCCCGCGGTGCCAGTGGCAGCCCAGACCCTCCTGCTCTCTCCTCAGGCCCAGATGATCTTCCTCAACTGCGGCCACGTCTGCTGCTGCCCCCAGTGCTGCCAGCCTCTGCGCACGTGCCCGCTGTGCCGCCAGGAGATCACCCAGCGCCTCCGCATCTACCGCAGCCGCTGAGCAGGCTGCCCTGGCCCCGCTGCCCACCGCCCCACCTGCAGGCCCAGGGCTCCAGCTCACCCCTGCTCCACCCAGACGTAAGGCCACGTGCTGGGCCCTGCCCACAGCTCAGGAGGGTGTCCCCACCCCTGACCTCCATGCCCGGGAGAGCCGGCCGGGGCAGAGAGCGAGTGTTCCTGATGACCTGAGTACTGTGGAAGACGGTCCCTCGGGCACTAGAGAGGGGTGGGGGTGGAGAGGCTGCTGTGCCTGCCACCATCTGCGCCCAGGACTAAGGGAACTGGCCCGTGTGGCTCTGCCACTTCCCAGCTGACTGTGGCAGGCGCCTCGGTGTCCTTGTAAGGGGAACACTGACAGTGCTTCCCGTTCAGCAGGTGGTGGGAGTGCAGAGGACCCTGGTCCGGGGAGGGGAGGCCACACGTGGAGCCAGTGTGCAGTGTGGCCACAGGCCACCACGGGCTCTCTGGTCGGCTGGAAGGAGCTTAGTGCAGGCCTTGTGCCACAGGCGACATCAGCCCCTCCTTACCCCCCTCCCTGTTGCCCCCGACGCTCTGGGCCCCTCTGCTCCCCAGATCTACACCACCTCACCCCGTGCCGCTCAAGGGCAGGCAACGAGCTTTGCAGGCCCAAAGCAAGAACGTCAATAAACCCACTTCCTGCCTGCTTCTTCAGAGTCATCACTGGGTCCTGATGGAGCCTGGGGAGGGGAAGGGTCGAGGCCCGGGGTGGGGTCAGGAGAGGGCTGCACCTCAGCCGGAAGGAGAGGGAGGAGGCAGCCGGTCCTGACTAAGGTGATGCGAACCCCCTGTCCAGTGGAGAGCCGGGCTGAGGGCAGCGGCTCTGCGAGCAGGCTGGGCTGCGGGGCCCGCACCGTGCACCCCTTGTCCTCCCGGACCAGGGAGCCCCAGCTGAGGGCTGAAGGCCGACCGTGCCCCTGGGACACTGCGGTGCTGGGCTGAACCCGTGCGGTTGCGCGGCTGTTCACTGCGTTCCAGTGGCCACGCGCTTTGTTCTTGCTGTGGAGCTGCCCGTTTGTGGTGCTTTTCTGGCCAGTGGTGTTGAACCCAGGGCAGCTTTTTCTCGGGGCTAGAGGCAGGCCTGCCCAGGGCGCGTGGGCTCTGCCACTAGCTATCTCTGAGTGACCCTGGCCAGCCTTCCAGACTCGATTTCCCCATTGATTCAATACGGGATGTGATGGGCCCTGATGTGGACCGGTGGCCACCAGGGGACACCAAGTGCTCACCGCAGGTGCAGTGCCGAGCCAGCTGATGCAGGGGACAGGCGCTGGGGTGGAAGAAGAGTCCTGGGCCTCAGTTTCCCTACCTCATTGGGACTGCCCTGCGGCTAAAATGGACAAAGGCCGCTTGTGGTGTGAGCTGTTTTCCAGGCAGGAGCTGGGGCCTCTTCCCGAGATGTCTCCTCCCCCCTGGGACCTTTGACAGTTCCTCCTGGGCTCCCCTTGGTCCAGTGGGGAGACTGAGGCCCAAGGTGGGCAGGGCCACTTTGCAGAGCACAGCGTGTGCCTTGGAAGGAAGGGCACTGGTAATTCCTTCTATAGGTGAGAGTCTGAGGCGGAGTTAGTGGCACAGAGGACAACAGCAGGACTGCAGGTGACCTCCCAGCCTGGCCCCGTCACCCCTGCTGCTCCACACCCAGCCCTGGCCACGTGGACAGGCTGGGACCAAGGAAACCGACCCCCCTACGGTGACTGCCTGCCTCCCATCCAGAAGCACCTTTTTATGGGTGAAGCAACCAATCCCACCAGTTGTGTGTGTGTGGGGGGGTCCCTGTGTCCCATAACCTCACCAAGGTTCCCCACCGTCCTGGGCCTCTGTTTACACGTTGGGGTGTGGTGATGACGGCACCACCTCCTGGAGCTGCTGCAAGGCTCTCGGTCCTGCGTGTGAGGGGCACGGCCCACGGCAAGTACCGGCTGTGTGCTCCGGAGTCTTGAAAACGGCGTTGCTGTTTGATCCAGCATGAGCTGGGCCACCCCCACTGCGGGTGCCCTATGGCCAAGCAGCCCTAAAGCTGCTGCAGTCTCTCTTGTCCCCCGAGGCTCCTTGAAGAGGACCTGCCCAGGCCTAGCTGGGAAGCCGCCTCAGCCGCTGGCGGGCCGTCACCGCATGTCCTATGGCTTGTCTCGGAGCCTGTTTCCTCCTCCGTACATGGGGTGATAGCCGAAGTCTGACCTAGAGGCACTCGGTCTAGCAAGCCCAGAAGCCAGGTGCGCGGACAGGCCTAGACGCAGTCTCCAGCCCAGGTCTCGGCCAGCACCACACACAGGCCACTGGCTTTAAATAAAGCATTTATTGATTAGTACAGGCTTAAACACTTCGCTTAATATTTTCAATACAGTGTCTGGGAAGGATGACTGGATACCCCAGAAGAAGGCGCCAGAGGAGAACATCTGAGGATGGTCTGTCGGTGAAAGAGGCTCGTGAAGCGCTTGACATTAGGGCTGGTGGGGAAGCGGGGCCCCGAGCGCCAACCACTGCTGCCGGTCCTGGGGGTGCAAGGCCCGGACCCCACCCTAGGGCCCTGAAGGAGTCAGGGTCTGCCCTGCCAGGCTGAGGTTGCCTTGGCTTGACCCTCACCCCCGGAACAAGCAGCTGAAGGATAGTTGGCCCCACATGACTCACATTTGAAAAAGGGTCTGGAATGTTCAGGGTGAGGTGACCTGGTGACTCAGGAAGTAAGGGCCAAGCCACAGCCTGACCCCAAGTCCTCAGAGCAACCACCAGCGGTGCCTTGGGGAGCCATGGCCCCTCAGGACCCCTACCAGCTCCCTCAGTGGACAGCACGTACCTTGGAGGTGGCCCCCACCTCCCCTCAGCCCAGCCCAGCAGGTGGGCACAGAACTCCGGACCTGGCAGGCAGGTGGGAGACTGCAGGGGCTGGAAGTGGGGGAGACAAAGGCCTGACGGGCTGCCGGCCTCCGCAAGGCTCCCTCTGCCCGCTGCTCACACACTCGCCCCTCCTGCCTCAGACACTTCCTCCCCAGACCAGCACATCTGGGCCTTTCTCGTTCACCCCAGGCCTGTGGCCCCATCTCCCTTCACGGAGCACCCTCCCCAGCCAGCTCTAGCCTGAAGACTCCTTCCTTGCACCTCCCCTCACCGGGCGGGGAAAGCGAGGCCACTGTCCCCTCCAGAGCTGGCCTCTGGGCCCAGCCCTCCATGTTCCTGATGAGCCCTCGGTGAGGGGGATTCACAGGCTGTGAGTCAGCAGACCATGCCTTCACCTCCCTCTCTGCAAAGATGACAGAACCCACGGGGGAAACAGGCCACAGAGGGAAGGCAGGAAGGGAGGACCCAGAGAACTGGGGTGCTCCTCAGCCCCTCAGTTATGCTCAGCCCCCAGCACAAGCAGGAAAGCCAGGATCACCCCACAGAAGAGAAAACAGAGCAACAAAGTATGGCTGAACCCAATAAAGTGACTTCAGGTGAGCCCGTCCCTGTCCAGCCCAGAGATGCCGCACCAGCCTTGCCCACCTCCACCCAGAGGCACAGACCCTCGCTCCTGCCCAGAGCCGAGCTTGCCAGCGCCTCGGAGGGAGGGGCCTGTGCGCCTTGTCCAACAGAAGCTCGGGGTGGCCAGCCTAGAACTCAGTCTGCACCCCTGCGCTGTCCTCGGTGGTGGTGTGGATGGGGGGGCGGCCACCAGGGCTGGCCTCCTGTTCCCCGGTCTCCTGGTCATTGGGTTTGGGAGGCTCCAGGTCCACAGCCTTTCCAGGTGGGAGCTGCTGGACGGGCGAGGCAGGTGGTGAGGAGGCCGCAGGTGGTGAGGAGGCCACAGGTGGTGAGGAGGGCAGAGGTGGTGAGGAGGGCACAGAGATGTTCACGGACTGGGGGCTCTTCTGCAAGGGGGCCCCGTTGAGCAAGGGGCAGGCCGGCGGGGGGCTCTCAGCCCGCAGATCCTGCGCCAGCAGGTCACGGACCTCAGTGACACTGTCCAGGGATGCAGGTGACAGTAGCTCAGGGCCAGCCTCGAAGGGCAGCCCTGCTTCCTCATCCTGGACCACGGACACCACCTGCTTGGCACGCCGTCGTTTTTCCGAGGTGGTGGCTGCTTCCGGGACACTGGAGCTGGGGCTGCCACTGTCCCCACTGACACCCCCACTGCCGCCGTACTCCTCACCCCAGTCGATGGGAGAGTCCCCGGCCAGCAGGTGCAGGTTGGGGTCACTGTTGTGCAGGACCACGCTGTCCCGGTACAGGTTGTGCTTCCTCTGCACAGCGGCCTCCTTCACAGCTGCAGAACCAAACGAGTGGCATCAGGACACTTACCACACAGACCACAGCTGCCACCGCACCCTTCACTGTGCCCAAATGTGACCAGGGTCATCCCCCAGAGGCCGCCCCACAGTCGGAGTGAGTGATGTCACTGGGACGTGACTTACTCCAGGCCTCACTGCTAGGAAGGAGGAGCCGTGACCCTCACCCAAGCTGGTAACCACCTTGTCACCCTGTCACTCATCGGACACTCCCGAAATGCTAAGGCCGCACAAAGAAGCAAAGGCACAGAAGCTCGACGCTACCCTCCTGGCACACGGCTAACTGGGCCGACCCTGGGCCGTGGGCATACAGCTCCTGCTTCTCCTGGCAGCTTCACTGACCCCGCCAGACAGACTTCTAGGCCGCCGCCTCAGCACCCTCCTGGAGTAAGAATCCCACCAGCAGCGGCGGCGGCGGGAGCGCCCCGACCCAGCTCCCTGCAGCCCTCCCGTGGGGGCCGGCACATACCCTGCAGGATGTCCTTCATGACCGTCTGCAGCACCACCTCCTCGTACGTGTTCTCTACCAGGATAAACCTGGCAAAGTCCTCGAAGATCAGCTCCTGGAACCGGGGCAGCTCCTGCAAGGGAAGGCGGGCACGGGGCTGAGGGGCAGTCAGGGTCTCGGGGCAGAGGGTCCTCGGGCTCCACCCCACCCAGCGGCCGGTCAGGCTGGCGGCACTCTCGGGACCTGGGGCCGGTGGGCCGGTGGGGCCGGTGGGGCTGGGCTGCTCACCGACTTGCAGGTGGGGGCCAGCTTCTTGAGCAGGAACGGGATCGTGATCTGCAGCAGCGCCTCCCGGAAGAAGCGTTTCCGCACGGAGCTGCTGTCATAGTTGTATTTCTGCCAGGAGAGAGGGGTGGCGGCTCCGAGTCAGTGGGCCCCACCGGCCCCTGGCAGGGGGACGGAAGGCTGGGGGTCTGACCTGAGCCTCAGCGGCCTCATTTGTACCAGAGGGTGGGTGGTGCCTCCCGTAGGGGCTGACATCCTGGTGGCAGCCCGGGGACAGGGCCCAGGGCTCGGCCACCTTGGGAGCTGCTCACCTTCAGCACCCGATCAAGGACCCGCTGGATGGACTTGCACAGCTCCTCCTTGGTGGGCCCCTTGCCCAGCTCCTGGTGCAGGAGGGTCTCGAAGGTGTACACGGTGTTGTCCATTTGCTGTGGGACACACCAGGGGCACATGAGGACCCCGGAGTGACCACAGCCCCTCGCTGCGTGCCTCCGAGGGGCTCCTCAGCCAGGGGTCCCAGGCCAGCCCGGGAGGAGTGGGTGGCGTGTGCTCCTCACTGAGCTCACGCTCCCAGTGACCGAGTGTCTGCTGTGCACTGGCACAGTGCTAGGCACAGGGCAGTCCCTGCAGGAGGGCCTTGGAGAGCAAGGGGGGACCCATGGGGGGAGGGTCTCTAAGCTGAGACCTGAAAGATGAGTTCAAATTAGCAGGTGAACAGGACAGGTGTTCCAGACAGATGGGACAGTGCCCAGACCAGAGCGGGAGAGCACGCCAGGCTGAGCGTGCCTGCAGGCGCCACGCGAGGAGGAAAGGCCAGGCAGTGGGGGCGCCCCCAGCAGGTGGGGACTGTGGAAGGGGAGGGCTGGGGGTGCAGGGCAGTGGGCCCTGGCCCACCTCACGCATGTAGATCTGGGCTCGCTGCTTGAACACGGACGTGCTGGACACGTCGAAACGCTGCTGCAGCCCGTCCAGCCGCAGGGGCTCCATCTTCTCGTAGCAGCTCTGCATCTTGATGGGGTGATACGCCAGCTGGGACAGTTTCTCCATGTACTGCGGGGGAGGGAGCGCGGGGCCTGAGCGGGGACCACCGAGTGGCCAGGCAGCCCCGCACCCACACCTTGGCTGGGCCCTCGGAGTTGAGGCCCTGGGGATGGGGGTACCGACAAGGGCAGCAGCACCACCTGGGTGCTGGGAGGCGGGTTCCGCTCTCTCTGGGGAGCTGGGTGACCCTGGGCAGGTCATTCACCCCCTCTGAGCCTCAGGTTCCTCAACCTAAAATCAGGTGGTTTCTCATGATCTCTAAGGTCTTTTCTGGTTCTCAAATCCTGTGATTATATTGTCTGTGGGTATGGAAGGGGAGGCTAAGATTACAGGATCAATGATCTTCACCTGACAGCCATGTGGGGTTCCAGGCAGCGGAGGACCCAATATGGGGACTGTGGAAGGGCGTTAACCCCGAGAACCAGATAGCAGGGGCCAGTAAGAGAGGTGGGCTGTGTCCATCAGTGGGCACACAGAACGGCGGACACGCATATTAATTCCACCTTGACAATTCCGGCCTCACATCGGAAGCTTGTCTCGCCTTCCTCTCTCCTCTCTCCTCTCTTCCCTTCTTCTCCTCCTTCCCCTCCTCCCTTCGCGGTTAAGTTCTTTGGTATTTTAGCCATCCGCGTGGCTTATAAAGGCTGGTGGCAGGGGTTACGCTCCCCTTTCCTCTAGTGCCGGCCGCAACAGGACAGCCCACAGCTTCAGCCTGGTGGACTCAGCCCCTCAGGCCCTGTGTACGGGTTATTCAGGGAGGGGAATGCCCCCCCGCCCCCGTCACAGTGATGGCCTGACCCAAACCCAGGAACTGACAAGCCGGCTCACCTCGCCCAGCTTGTCTATTCCACCCTGGTTGATGACGTTCAGGTTCATGTCGGTGACCTCCTTCAGGAAAATGTCCCACACCTCGTTGAAGCCCTGGCTGGTGGGCACCATGAGGGCCTCCAGGATGGACGAGATGTAGGGCTGGACGTGGTTCCGGACACACACCTCCGCCTTGGGGAGGATGAAGGCTGCACCCAGAGGGAGCTGGTTAGCTGATGTCCCCGCAGAGCAACTCCCGGCCATCCCAGACCCGAGCTAGAGGCAGGCTGTTGGGTAATGTTTTTTCTTTTTTTAAAGAAAACCACTCGTGCCCGGCCGGTGTGGCTCACTGGTTGAATGTCGACCCATACACCAAGAGGTCGCCAGTTCGACTCCCGGTCAGGACACATGCCCAGGTTGTGGGCCAAATTCCCAGTGGGGGGGCATGCAGGAGGCAGCCAATCGATGTTCTCTCTCATGGATGTTTCTATCTCTCTCTCCCTTCCTCTCTCTCTAAAATCAATAAAGGAGCCCTGGCCGGTTTGGCTCAGCAGTTAGAGTGTCGACCTGCAGTCCAGAGAGACCCAGGTTCGGTTCCCGCTAAGGGCTTGTACCTCAGTTGCAGTTTGTCCCTGGCCCTGGTTGGTTGTGTGGGTGGCAGCCACTCAATGTGTCCCTTTCACGTCGATGTTTCTCTCTCTCTCTTCCTCTCTCTCCCTCCCACTCTACCTGAACAAAAAAATGGAAAAATGTCCTCGGGTGAGGATTAAAAAAATAAAATCAATAAAAGAAAAAAATTATTTAAGACTTCATTTAAAAAAAAAAAAACCACTCGTGCCCAGCTGGTGTGGCTCAGTGGGTTGAGCATTGTCCCATGGACTGAGAGGTCACGGTTCGATTCTCAGTCAGGACACGTGCCCAGGTTGCGGGCTCGATCCCCAGCAGGGGGCGTGCAGGAGGCAGCGATCGATGTTTCTATCTCTCTAAAACAAAATCAATAAAAAAATGTATTTAAAGACAACCGCTCGTGACAACAGCTGCAAACAATGACTCTAGAGACAGTAAAGCCGGTAAATCCACGGGTGCTCTGGGAGTGGACCCCGGCATCCTGACCCTGACGCAGGAGGCTGAGAGATCTGCTCGTTGGGAGGTGCTGCAGCTCTTCTGCTCCACTAGAGCCGGAAAAGAACGGCTTTGGGGGTCTCACTCATTTTAGAAGGAAAGGAAAACACCTGAGTAGATTCAGTGAGCCTCTGGGTTTTGTAAACACTGAGGCCGACCCTGCTCTGGAATGGTGTGGCCTGGCTCAGCGTGACATGTGAAAGGTTGTGTCCCTGTGATCAGGGACCATCTCCAGGACCCTCTGACCATGGCGTCTTTACCCTGGGCGTTCTGACCTCCCTCCCTCTCCTCTGCCCAGCTAGTGCTGTTTGCTCCGCAGAATAAATGGCACATCCCGCTGTCCCGTCCGTCCCAGTGACTACAGCCAGTCAAGAATAACTCTCGGGCAACTGACAACTCCGGCCAGTGCGTCATGGTGACAAGGGAGTGAAAGGATCCCAGCTGGCTGGGAACAGAAAGGAGCGTAAATGGACTCGGAAAAGTCAGACTTGGTGACACGGAGTCATCACAAAGTTACGCTGACGTCCGCTAAAACGACACGTGGAGAAAATCTGTGATGGACCAAAGATGAGCAAAAGGCAGCGGAACCTCCTTCCAGACATTTAGATCTGCCAGATCTGGGTCTATAGAAATAACAGGCACCAAACAACCCTTGGGGTTGGAAAGCAATGGCTCAGATTTGATTTCGGTTTGTTAAAACAACCAATGAATCGAGTCGCTGCTGTGAAACACATGGGCCATGAAATGGACGGGAGGCCCACCCTGGCCCCTGATGGCCAGGGGTCCTGCAGGTCAGCACAACAAAGACCAGCATGGCAGGAGGCCCGCCTACCTCGGATCTTGCTGGCCAGGTGCTCCTTGGAGGTGATGATCTGGTCCATGTCAGTGCGGATGACCGCCTCCATGGCCGGCCGGGCCAGCAGCAGCTTGGACAGCACCGCCTCAAAGTGCGCTTTGGCCTGCTCGTATACCATGCGGTACACGGCGTCTGAGATCTGTTGGGCAGAGACATGGTGTCAGGCTGGGGTGTCAAGCTGCGGGCCCCAGCCCCACCCCCAAGCCCAGACCACCCACCTGGATCCACTGCCGCTGTCGCTCCTGTGGCTTCCCCTTCAGCCGAGGGGCGAGCTCTGCCTTTAGCTCAGGGCCCAGCTCCTCCATCACCAGGTTGCTCAGGATCTAGGACCAGGGGCACAGCCGGGGCAGGGGTTGGAGCATGGCCAGGTATGCTCCTCTCCATGTTCCATCAAGCCCAGCCACTCGGGCCCCTGACTCCTCAGAATTTAGCCCTTTGCTCCAGGTCTCCAGTGCCCTCTCTCCTGAGAATCCTTCCCACAGGTCTCAGCTTATCTGCCTGGGTGTCCTGCAGGATCCTCAGCTCAAGGGTCACACCTCAGGGCCTTTGCACATGCCGCCTTCCCGTCTGGAATACCACACCCCTCCCCACTAGGCTGCACAGGGAAGTGTGTGTGTGTGTGTGTCTATTTCTCCTGCTAGACAGAGAGTTCCATGAGGTCCAGGGCTGAGTCCCTCTTGTTCATAGTGGCGTCTGGGCACCTGGGCCAGGGCAGGTGCTCAGCAAATGACTGAACAAAATAATATCTCCATCTGCATGGCTAACTTCCGCCTCCACCTATCTAAATCTGAGCTTGTTGTCCCGGTCCAAACCTTCAGCACCCCATAGCCACATCTAGGCCTGGGGTAACTTCTGCAGTCTCCCCACCAGCTTCCTGCCTCACCTGCACCTCGTTCCCACACAGCATCTCCCAGGTGCCGTAGAGCTCCTTCGACTGGCGGTACATGCGGATGGCGTCGGTGAACGCAGGGCCCTCCACCTTGGAGTCTTCAGGGATCCCTGCCCAGGAGAGGGAAGGAGAGAGGAGGTCAGCAGGATGGCTGAACACACACCCCCCCCCCACCTGTGACCCCTCTGCCATTGCTGGTGGGCAGGTGCAGCAGCAGGGATTGCCCACCACCGACAGCAGCCAGGCAGCCAGACCTCCACATCCTCCTGTCTCCTCAAGTCCTCCGACCACCCCAAGACACAGGCACTGTCGTTAGCCCCACTTCTCAGGTGGTAGGCCACTGCCGAAGGCCCAAGGGCAGTGATGGCAGAGCCAGGACTTGGTGCCACCCCCCAGGGGAGGCGCCCCAAGACCCCCGCCCCGTCCTGCCCCTCCCCGACGCCCCCAGGGGCCGCACGCTCCCCCGCCAGGGCCCCACAGGAAGTGTTCTCAGCTTTGCGGCAGATGCTCTGCTGCACGGAAGCAGCCGCAGCCGATCTGTGAACGATCGTGATTCACAACAGTGCCCGTGGACGTGGTCGGCCAAGCCTGGTTCCAGATCAGTGAACCCCAAAGGGCCTCAGTTCCCCTCCTGAACACGGGGAACCATGACCTGGTCTGGCCTCACAAGTCAACCCTTGACTAGTACCGTGGCCGGGCCCGTCCTGAGCCCTCGGGCAGGCCCTGGGTCTGCCTCAGTCACTGCTGTGTGTCCAGGCTGACTAGACAACGCCACAAACACTATTTCTCTATTTTTGTTATTGGTGGTGGCCCAGATGAGTTTGCCCACCTCCCAGGGGCTGGCGGTGAACCTGCAGACTGGGTGCTGTTGGGGGGGGGGGGGCAAGCAGCAGGAAGTTGCAAAACCCGACTGGGGAAGGACGCGGTTAAACACCGCAGGGCCAGCAGCGGGCGGCTGCCCTGGCCACGTGCCTCCAACCGCGCGTCCCGGAGCCGAGGGAAGGGAAACAGCTCGTGCCTCCAAACCGGCTCCCACTGCGATGACTGCACGCTGAGTCACCCCACAGAGAAAAAGCCCCTTTCTGCCGTGGAGGACGCCACCCCTCCCACCTGCATCTGACCACAGCCATCACCGAGCTCAGCGGCAGGGAAACTGAGGCCTACCCCTATCCCTGGACTGGCATGGAGCTGGGGGCGGGGGGAGCCTCACCCCTGCGCTCAGGGACCTGAGCTCAGGAGGTGCTTGGAGCAGAGCCAGGGGTGTTCCGGAGCACCGTGCAGAGCCCCTGGGGAGGGGTGCTGCTCATGTGGGCCAGGAGAGAACCCCCCTCAAGCTCAGGAGGGGCACGGACCCCCAGAGACCAGGTTTTGCCTAAAACGTCCGGGCTCTGCATTACTTGCAGCCTCTCCCACATCAGGACTGTTCTACAAGTGAGTCAGGTGTGCGGAGGCGCTTTGCAGGTGGCAGGAAGGTGAGGCAGGGGGCGGGGGCAGTCGGAAGGACGCTGCCCGGCTGGGCCCTGGCTCTGGCCAGCCAGACCCCTAGGATGTCTCTAGTCTGCATGCCAAGCTGCATGCCTTACAAAAGTGAGGGTCACTCCTGAGCGCCCCATGGGCCTGGCTGCTAGGGGCTGAGTCATGTGTGTGTCTCCCCCTGCCCCCCATATGTTGAAGCCCTAACCCCTAGCACTTCAGAACGTGACTGTATTCGGTGATAGGACCTTAAAGAGGTAATGAAGGTAAAATGAGGTCATTCGTCTGGGCCCTAATCCAGTATGACCGGCGTCCTTATAAAAAAGCACACGTGGACTCGGAATGTCCGCACACGGAGGGAGGACCACGTAAAGACTCGGGGAAGGCAGCCCTCTGCGGTCAAGGAGAAAGGCCTCGAAGGAATCAGACCTGCTGGCACCTTGACCTCGGACTCCCAGCCTCCCGAACTGTGAGACAATGCATTTCTGTTGTTCCAGCCACCAGACTGTGCTTAGCTACGCAGCCAGAGCAACTAAGATACTGGCCCTGGGCTGAGACCTGAGACCCCGAACACATCCCTGCCCCCAGTCCTGTGAGGAAGGGCTGTTCTCAGGCCCTCCCCTGGTGCGCAGAGAGGCTCAGAGAGGCAGTTACTGGCTCAAGGACACACAGCACCAGGACTCAGACCCAAGACCCGCTGACTCCAGCGAGACCTGGAGACTTCCTGCCTGGGGGTCGTCAGGGTCAGGCTGAGGAAGGAAACTGCATTCCTCAGTCCTGGGCCGCAGACAGCAAGAGGCCTTGGCCTCTGCGCCCCGGGCCCACCCTGAGGCTCAGCCCAGCGCCTCGGCTGCCTCTTGCCACCCCCAGCCGCTCCAGGAATGCAGGATGTGAGGGGGGCCTGGGATGAGCTGGCGTCCACCCAGCTTGGCCTCCTTCCCCACTCACCCCCCACTTCCTGGCAACCCCCCGAGCAATTCCAGGCTCCACAAATTCCAGGCCCAGCCTCCAAACTGCGAGCTGAAGGAAGCAGAGAACTTTCCCACAGTCTTCAGGGTGAGGAAAGGCTGGTCTGAAACCAGCCTGGTCAGCTCCAGACCCCCTTCCTGCGCAGCCCCCCCCCCCCCGCAGCTGTCCCTGGGGCACAAAGGCCCAAGGGGCTGCCCTCCGCCTTCCCGCCGCACACTCACTAATGTGCCAAGCACGAGGCCAAGCGCTCCACCAGAACCAATTAATTCGCTCCTCCCAGCAACCCCACACTACACACGGAGATCTGAACTGGTCCTGTCCCCACCCCCCACCTGGCCTGGGGTCACCGGACAGATCAGCCATTGGCCTTAGAAACCTGGAGAGGGTGGAAATGGGCCAGGCTGGGGGCAGGGAGAGGAGGGAGGAAGAAGGAAGGAGGAGGGAGGGTGCCCAGCCCAGGCAGCCAGAGCCCAGATGGCCTCCACCCAGTCCTGGCCCCGCAGCCCCCGGGGACGTGGGAACAGGAGGCCCTTTGTGGGCGGCAGGGCCCGGCCCAGGTGGCAGGGGTTGGCCTGACTGAGGACCTGGTTCCTCTGCCTGGCAGAGTCCAGACAGGGCAGGGCGGCTCTGGAGAGGAGAGGACAAGAGGGTGAGCCAGCACCAGGCGTGGGTGCCACACTGTCCACTGCTGTGTCAGTGGGTCCACGCTGGGCCAGGCCGGCAGGGCGGGCAGGGGCAGGCACAGCTGCCTCCCTCTGCTGCCCCAAGGCCAGGTCACTAGGAAGGCCATTCGGGGTCCAGGACAGGGTGCTTCCTCCTCCGGGCTCCATCCTCCCCTCAAGACACAATCACAAGCCTTTTTGATCAAACTCCTTACGGCCCTGTAAGGCTCTACTGACCAGTGTCCCCTGCAATTCAGGGCCTCCTCTAAACTGCCCCCACCTCTGGGCACCCCCTCAGGCAGGGGCCACCTCTGTCTGGAACTCTCTTTCCTCTGCTGAAGGTCAATTCACCCTTCGGGCCTCACCCCGCCCACCCCTCCCCATACCATGGATCAGGACCCCGCCCAGTGCACTCACACCCTCGGGCTCCCGGGTAGCACAGCTGTGACTCATCGCCCCTGCTATCCTCATCTGTTTCACATCTGTCTCCCTTCTCCCTTGCTGCATCCTGGTGCCCAGACACAAAAAATGTTTGTTGAATGAATGAGTGAGCTGGAAGAGACCTCATAACTTCCCAGATGAGGACAGAGGCCTTGAGGGAGGAAGTAAACCTCCGAGAGTACCTGGGGTCGGTGGTAAGGGGGGAAAATGATATAATAAAAACAACGCTTACAAGCACTGAGTGGATTCTCATTGCGAATCCTCACAAAACCCTCAGACGGGGGAGGGGTTCTAGCCCCATTTTCAGAGGTCCCAGAGGTATCAGTCTCCTAAGATCATGTTGCTAGAAGTGGCAGGATCAAGATTGTGATTCTGTAATCCAGGATCCAAGGCCTAACAACCACGCCTGTCTGAGAGCAATCTCCCGAGTTCTTTCTGAGCAACAGGAATTGGTTTTTTGTTTGTTTTGTTTTTTTAATCCTCACCCAAGGATATAAATTTATTGATGGGGGGGAGGGGGGGTAGAAACATCAATGTGAGAAAGAAACATTGATTGGTTGCCTCCCATACGCACCCCGACAGGGGATCGAACCTGCAACCTTTTGGTGTACGGGATGACACTCCAACCAACTGAAACTGAACCACCCAGCCAGGGCAACACAGAATTGTTTTCATCAAGGAAAAAGGTTAAGGGCAGCATCACAGTGGTTTCTTTTTTCTTTTTTCTTTTTTTTTTTACCTCACCCAAGGATATTTTTCCACTGATTTTCAGATAGAGTGGGAGGGAGGGAGAAAGAGAGAGAGAAAAAAACATCGATGTGAGAGGGACACATCAATTGGTTGCCTCCTGCACGACCTCAAGTAGGGCCAGGGACGAACTACAACTGAGGTACGTGCCCTTGACTGAATCAAACCCGTGACTCTGTGGTCCAAGGCTCGCTGAGTCAAACCGGCCAGGGCCACCATGGTTTTTCTTACAAACCCAGAAGGAAAAGAAAACAGGCATAGAGCAGGGTTGCCATACCATACTCAGCCAGTAGGTGTCGCCATTCAGCACCTCACCCAGGTGATGCCCCTCACCCCCACCGCCCAGGGCCTGAAGGCCACTCACCATTGTTACAGTGCCGGACGCAGTCCTGCAGGACAGCCTGCCACTTTTCCTGCTCAGCTTCCGTCATCATGCAGAAGTAGTAGTGCCGTGCAGAAGGGTGCCAGAGGATGAGTGGGAACTGCGTGGGGCACTTAAGGATGGGAGCAGTGCCTGATTTCGAAGTGATCCCTGTGTAGACAGTGCCCTCTGAGCGGCTGCAGTTCCCCTGGGCCTCAGTTTATGGGGCAGGCCCAGGCCCACAGAGGGTCAGCCTGTCCTGGGATTACCAGCAAGTCCGTGAGGGGGCAGCATCCTTTCTGCTGAGTCCTCCACAACCTGACTACAGGGGCCCTGGCATCTGTTTAGACCCATTTCTTAGAGCTGGTAACGCAGTCGCACCCCACCCCCACTTGGGGAAGGTTCTAAACTCCGTGTGGGAGGCACAAATAACACAGGGTCAGAGCCCTCAGGTTCAGGGGCCGAGCATTACCTTCTCGGGTTTCTCTTCAAATTTTAGCTCTGGAGGCCAAAGTGTGGTTTAAATGTCCAAGGTGGGAGGGAGGCATGGGGGTGGGGGACAGAAGAAATAAAAGGGGATTTTTCTCTCTCTATTCTGTCTGCATGGGTATTCGAGATGCCGTGAGATAAGGGGTCCTGGGCTCTGGCCTCGCACTGTTGTTAATGATGAAACAATGAGAGTTCTTCTTTGCACCCTGGCTGTCTTTCCCTGTGCTGGGCCAGGGCACAGACCTCACGGGGTCCACACGATCCCCCCAGGTCAGTCCGCTCAGTGCTGTATTGCCCGCAAAGACACAGCAAAAATAAACCAGAGGGTGGGCTGGAATCCAGGAAAAAGACTCCTGCTGAGCACTCAGCCACTCTGGGCGCTTTAGTCCCAAGTCCCATCTAGGGACACCTGCTGCCCTCCAGTCCAGCATCTCCCCCTTCAGTTCCCTGGGATCATCTGACAGGCCGGTGTGCTCCTCTAAGGCTTCTGGGAGTCTGACAAGGTGGGTGGACAGGGCACTGAGAATAACTCTGCCCAAATGCAGTATTGAGTCAGCAGTTTGCAAAGCAGGGTCACCCCATCATCTTCTCCCAGGAGTCTCTCGAGGACTCGGGGAAGGGAAGGATAAAGAGTGAGGTCCCCAGTGCACAGCTGTGATCATAAGCTTCAGGAAGCAGGGGACTCGGGTGAGGCCCACACAGGTTCAGGCCTCGGGCCTCCTCCGTGCTGGGCCTCGTTTACCTGGTAAGGAGTTGCCAACCAGCTCCAGGTACTGGTCCATGGAGGTGAGGATTTTGTAGCCTGCGCTGTTGATTATAGCTCGGGGTGGGACCTGCCGCTCATAGGCCTGAGGAGAGGGCAAGAGAGATGGTCCCTGGGGGTTAGAGGTAATGACCAAGCCAAATCCCATCTCCAGCTCTGGCTCCAGGACCCTGCTCAGTGTTGCTGACCAGGGCAGGAAGGAGAGGAGGGCAAGGAAGAAAGGGAGGAGGAAGAGAGACACGGGGAGGAAGAAGAGGAGTCAGACCAACATGGTGACTAAAGGCAACATGGTAATTTGACCTGAACCCAGGCTCTGCGCTCAAATTCTGGCTCCACTGCCTGGCCGGTGTGGCTCAGTGGATTGAGCATAGCCCCATGGACTGATAGGTCCCGGTTCGATTCCTGGTCAGGGCACATGCCCTGGTTACAGCCCCAGTAGGGGGTGTACAGGAGGCAGCCCATTAATGTTTCTGTCTCACATCGATGTTTCTATCTCTCTCTCCCTTCCTCTCTCTCTAAAAAAACATCAATAAAAACTTTTTTTTTTTTTAATGCTGGCTCCACTGAGTACCACCTGTGTGATGCTGAGGATAAGGTTCCTCCATCTCCTGTATGCTTCAGTTTCTTCATCTATAAAACCAGGATAATAATGACCCCTACCTCACTGGATAATCCATAAAAAATGACCAGCACAGTGCCTGGCAGGGAAAGCGAGCATGAGGTTATCATCATCATCACTACGGCTACTACTGCCTCTACTATCAGCAAGTACCACTAGCCGATACAAGGCACTGTGCTCGGGCACTGCATGCTTCATTGCACAGAATTCACACAATCTAACATGTGGGTGCCATTAGTAGCCACAAGTTCACACAGCAGTAAGCAGGGACCTATGACATGAACCTGGACTGTCAGCCTCCAGAGCCCAGTTTTTGATGATTACCCTGAACTGTCCACCAACTCCCTACATTAGCAGCCAAGCCCCCTGTGGAGGAGAGTTAGGTCTGGGCGCTTCTTTCTTTCACCTGTGGGGAGAAAGTGGTTCTGCAGCAGTAGCTCATAGAGCAGGGCTGCCGTGCTGCACCGTGCCACTAGGTGTCACTACTCAACACATTTCGTGAGAGCTCAAAACTCTGGGGCACTGATTATTGGCCAAGTGTGGTCCCAGATCATCAACAGCATCAACAGCACCTTGAACTTGTTAGAAATGCAAATTGTTGACACTACTTCAGACCTGGATCAAACAAGCAGGACCAGCAACCTGCCTTTCTAACAAGGTTTCCAGGCCACTGGGATGGAATTCTATCAATTTGAGAACTACTGCCCTGGGGCCAGGTTGCTCCTGACTCTGTTACTCTTAACACTGATTTGTCCTGAAACAGAGGGCTCTAGCCTGTCCTGACAGCTCTGGAGAATCATGGAAGGTTCTGTAGGTGGGGCTTCCTCAAGGGCTCGAGGACACTCAGCAGGACACGTTCCCCCACTGCAGGTCACTGCCACCCAGGGGTAAGCTGTTGAAGAGCAAGGATAGGAGGGGTCGGAGGAGTGAGTGGCAGGAAGCCCAGCCAGCAAGGAGGCGGAGGTGGAGGAGGCCCTGAAAATGGAGAGATTTGGAAGGACTTGAGAGAGATTCGGAGGGATGGGTAGGAGCTAGTGAGTTGGTTATGGGGCATTCAGAGCTGGATGCCTGGATGGATGACACTTAGAGAGGACACCCTGAGCAAGCAAGCAGCTCTGGCGAGGTGGGAAGGGGTGGGGGAAGGTGCTGAGGTTCTGCTTTGGCCCTGGTGATGGGGGAGGGGGATGCTGGAGTCTCAGGCTAGGAGCTGGGGGCTTGCCATTTGCCATGATAATGACCGACCGTGAGAGAGGACAGCTGGGGGAGAGGAGGAGCCACAGAGGAGGGGAAGGCCTGGCTGGGGCCGGAGGGGGGCTGGGGGCTCAGTGAGGAGCACAGGGCCGAATGGGGCAGGGTGGCAGCCTCACCACTTTGTTCTCATAGAGGATCAGCCCGTAGTTGTGGGGCACAAGGCTGAAGCGGTTCCTCCACTTCTTGTTGTCCTCCTGGTACTGGAAGAGGTTCCCCGAGAAGATGATGCGCTCATCCAGCGGCACCTGCGGGAGGGAAGAGGGCGGAGTGAGGCCGGCGAGGCAGGGGGTCCTTCGCAAGGTGACAGCTGGCCCGTGGAGGCAGCGTGCTCACCCACGAAGGCCTCCGAGGCAGGGCTGGGTGTCACCCACTTGGCAACTGAGGAAAGTGAGGCTCAGGGCAGTGAGGGGTCCAGAAAGAGCGGAGGCGATGTCAGGACTTGAACCCAGGCCACGCACCACAATTCAGAACCCAGATAAGACCCCACTCGGCCCTGGCCCTAGCAGGCACGGCTACCTCGGGACGGGTCTGGGACTTTCTTGTAAGACAGTCACTCCAGCTGAGGGGACAGGCCCAAGGACAAGGCCAGTGAAGGCCCCAGTGCCTGGGCAAGTCTCTTCCCAGCTCTGAGCCTCAGTTTCTCCTCAGGGCAGCAAACCCTTGCCCAGGTGGCTCCAGAGAGCCTCCCCAGCTGACAGCTGACGGGACGGGCTCCGTGCATCCCGGTGAGCGTGCAGGGGACCGCAGTCTGGCGGGCTCGATGTTTGACCGGTGTCCTGACAGACTGGTGACCAGTGTGAGCAGCCAGAACGCCCTAGCTTCAACGCTGCCTGTGACTCAGTGCGACAGGCCTGTGGCCTCCCCTCGGAGCCTCAGCTTCCCCTTCTGTAAACTAGGACAGTGACAGCAGTGCCTTCCCGGAGGACTGAGGTGACGTGCACAGAGGTCACAGGCAGCAGGCACCTGGCAGGCAGTGTGCTCACAGCCCGCGGAGCTGCCACGCCCCCGTCAGGACCGCTCCTCTGCGGGCTCCCAGCTCCCACTGGTCGGGGTGGGGAGGGGTGGCCCCCAGAGAGGCCTTCCAGAACAGATGGGCTCCTAGCTTCAGGACAGCAGGCCCAGGCCTCGGGGAGCAGGCGTACTCCCGGGGGGGCGGAGCTCAGGGAGCCTGGGGTTCCTCGATTTCTGGGCAGGTTCTCTGTTCTACAAATATGGTGCCTTCTGCAGAAGAAGCTCGTATCTGTGCACTGAGGGGAGAAAGCAGGGCTTCGATGCTGCTGACCCTCCGACCCTCCGATTCCCTGCGCTGCTTCTGGGCGCGGCTGCGGTCAGGTGCGAGGGCCCCTCCCGAGCTGCCCCAGGCCCTCTCCACAGGCAGCCCCTCTTCCCACAGCCTCCCTACTGCTCCTCAAGGGGAAATGCCAAAACACTCTTGGAAAATGAGGGCCCATTGTACTTAAACAATAGGACCCTGCAGACTGCTTCCTACCCAGGGATAAAAATATTTACAGGAAAAGAAAATGATTCCCCCTACACCCCACCACCCCACCACCCCCACACAGCGGGCTTTGCCCAGGTCACAGAGCTGCCACTCAGCGGTCTATATTTAGACCAGAGCTGCTCTCAACCCACTTCTCAATCCCCACGTCCTCTAGAAAGAGAGCAGAGAGCTCTCCTGACACCCTGCTGAGACCCTCGAGGCCCCAGGCCTCTGCTTGGGGCAGGAGCTGTGACTCAGGGGCAGTGGGAGGCTGTGGCTAAGGGCCGGCCTTCCCAGGCCCAGTTGGGGCTCAGCACCCCACCCCCAAGTCCACCTCCAGATCCTGGGCAGCCCGTAATGGGTGGTTGGTTTCGGGTTTGGGTTTTATTTTTAAGACTTTCCAATGGCAGAACCGTGTTTCCATTGGACGGTCCGCAGGAAATGAAATAGAACCGGCAGCCCAGGGAAAATATTTCGGATTCTGCAAAGCTCTCCAATACCACGGTGGGAATGTGTGGTGGGTGGCGAGTGGGTAGCGCGCAGACGCCGGCTCCAGCAGCCCGGGTTCCAGTCCCAGCTCCACCACCCACACCAGGGGAGCCTGGCCAAGCAGCTGGACCTCTCGAGCCTCAGCGTCCACAGCTGTGCCGGGGACAGCATCGTAACTCCTCAGACCCTGGAGCTGCGCCAGCTGATGAACCATGCTCGCTTAGAACACCTGCAATTTCTTTATTTCTGTCTTTATCATGACTATGACTATTTTTATTATTTTATTATTATTTCTTATAAAAACAATTTATGTGATGATGATGACGATTAATATTATTTCTGTTGTTATGATATTACTATCATGACTTAACATCACGATGGCCAGTTTCCTGAGTGCCAAAGCGGGAGCAAAATCCCTGCCTTTCCGGGACTGTGGATGACTCCTCTTCCTCTTCTTGCTTACGTGTTAATTCTGTCTTCCTACAACGGACAAGCACCCTGAGTGCTAACGGCACTTCTCATGCAGGGTAAAGGCTTCGTGCTATCAGCCAGCTCCGCTTCTATCCAGGTTATTGGGACCTGCACCCCTGTGACATTTCTTTCCAAATAGGGGACACTTCCAGCTCTGCCCACTCGAAGTAGCTCACCTGCCTCCCTTCTGTTACACAGGTGTGCACCTGCCAGACCCAGGCACCTCTGCACCTCTGCCCTCTGTTGTCAGGGGGTCAGGAGGTTGCCATGACACCAGGAGAACCAGTCTTTTCTGGGTCCAAAATCAAAGGGACACGTGATGCTCCGAGAGGCTCTGACACACAGCCCTGACCTCCCCTCTGCCCTCAGTAGGCTGGGCGTCGAGGTAGAAAGAGCCCTTGGCTAGAAATCTGGAACCTGGCTTGAGTCCTGCCTCCACCATCCTGGGCAAGCCATCTAAAGGTTCTGCTCTGGGCCCTTTGCATGTGCCACTGCCTTGGTCTGATGCTCCTCCTCCCATCAGGTCCTCAGCTGAGATGGCCCTTCTTCCAGGAAGCCCTCGGGGTCCACCCAGATGAGGCCAGGCCCCACTGTCTGAGTTCACCTCCTCCATAGTGCCCACTTGATGGTGTGGACAGCTGTTTACTGTCTCCTGGAGTGTCTGCGGGGCCAGCAAGGGCAGCATGGCCCAGCACCTGGCCGGACGCGGTCAGTGTGTCCCCGACAAGGGGCCCGCCTGGCTCTCTCTCAAGGTCATCCTTGGTCTCCTGGCAGCTGCCCCACCCCCTGGGCTGACACCTCCAGCTGCTCTTCCTGCTGAGAAGACACCAAAGGGTAATACACCCTCAAAACCAGGTCAAGTGACTCCAGCTCTGTCCCTTTGGTCGCAACAGGCACATTTTCAGCCACTGGGTTTGGGGGAGGATGGAGAGTGGAATGAACTAAAATAAAAACCCCGGAGTCAGCCTTCTTGGCCTTTGCTGTCTGTTCTGCGGCCTCCCCGTGGCCCCTGCCCGTCTGCCCCCGTGCCTGAACCCATGGCTCCCACCTCCTCGCAGCTGCTCTGACTCCTCTGGCCCGTGATGGTCTGAATGCCACGTCACAGACAGAGAAACCGAGGCACGTGTCTGCTGCCACCCAGCAAGTCAGGACTCATACCCCCTTAGTGATCCCATCTGCCCCCCAACCACATGCCCTTCATCCTCTCACTGAACCCGCCCCACAGCCCTACGCAGGAGGTGCCCATTTATCAGAGGAGGAGACTGAGCCCTGAGGGTCGAATCAACTCCGAGAATTTGAGCCCAGGTCCTCCCGAGTTCTATCCTACCAGACCACGGGGCTCCTCCGTCCCTGCTCTAGGACCTTGGCCCCAGCACCTGGAAGGGGCTGCCAGTCCCTCACTGGATGGTTACTGGGCAAACACAATCGTACTCCTGACAGTGGGATAATGACGAGGCCGGTGACGATGACAGTGTCAGCCGGCACTCACCAGACACCTTCCCTCCTCCCGGCACCCGGCTGACTCGACTCTTCATCCTGACTGCATCCTGTGCAGGTGTGCCAACCCACCGTACGGAGGCACCAACCAAGGCTCCCGGAGGTGAGGTCACCGGCTCACGGCCACACAGCCAGTCGGAGAAGGATGTGGCCAGAACCCAGGCCTGCCAAGGTGACTGCAGAGTCCCAGCTCTGCGCTGGAGGGGCAGAGCCGGGGGGAGTCACCCACCGTGATAAAGGGCCCTGGACACCACCACCACGTCATCTGCCTATTCAGAAGCTGTGTGGGGCTCTTCGAGACCATCATGGCAACCACAGGTGAGCGGAGGCCAGAGCCCGACCAGGATCCGCCCTGTGCCCGGCCTGGGGCGCTCACCTTCCGCGAGAGCAGCTGGGCCTGCGGCGCCCCGGTGCCCTCGATCTCGTGCCGCATGCTGTTGAACAGGGCGACGCCATACTGGTCCTCATAGAATCGAAGGAACTCCGTCAGGATCTTTCCAGTTTTCTCTGAAAAGGCAGGACAAACAGGAACGTGAGGTCACCATGGTTATTTACCTGCAGCGACCCTGCCCTAGGGAGGGGTGTCCACAACGCCCCAAATCCTGCTTATAAAATTGTTTGTTTTCATCGGCGTTGATTGCATTTCTGGGCAGAACTGTGGACATCCTGCAGTGCCCGGGTGAACCTCCACACAGGGAAATGGGCAGTGACCCCAGACAGAGAAGTTATGAGGGACCAAGAGACCAGAAAAAGACACTCAGTTCTGCAGTCATCAAATGCAGCCGAACCAAGAGTCCCCGTCCCCGGGCGACCAGGATGCAGAGTGACAGGATCCTGTTGTGTTTTGTTTTTGTTTTTTTTTATTTTGGTACATGCCCCTAGTGGGAACCAAACCCGGGACTCTGGTCGGCAGGCCGACGCTCCAACCGCTGAGCCAAACCGGCCAGGGCACACAGGATCCTGTTGATTACCATCTCATTTAAAGTCATCCCTGTCTGCCCTGGCCGATTCGGCTCAGTGGTTAGAGCCTCAGCCCGTGGACCAGAGAGGCCCGGGTTTGGTTCTCACTAAGGGCACGTACCTTGGTTGTCCCCGACCCGGTTGGGGTTGTGCGGGTGGCAACCACTCGATGTGTCTCTCTCACATCCATGTTTCTCTCTCTCTTCCTTCCTCTCTCCCTCCCACTTTATCTGAAGATAAATGCAAAAATGTCCCCAGGTGAGGATTAAAAGAAGTAAAAAATAAAGTCATCCCTGTCTGTGCACATAAGTTATTTATTCCCGGAGTCACAGGAGGAGCTGGGAAGGTCCAGGCTGTGCGATGGGACCTCTGGGTGTGGGAATGAGGAGTGCAGAGTCCAGTCCATTTTCTGCTTCATTCACTTTTATAGCATTTAATTATTTTATGAGCATGAGTCTTTTCACAATAAGAAATAAATATTCTAAAAGTGATTCATCCACCAAGTTAACAACCTTTTCGCTCGCACTGGCCGCTTGCTTCTCTCTTTTGCTAGAGCAGGTTCTGAACAGAGAAGGCGAGTACGGTAGCCCCAGCAGGCCCAGCACACGTTAGACGCTCGGTACTTGCACTGCTGGGCATCCCTATGTGCAGATGAAGAAACTGAGGTCCGGAGAGGGTTGTGACCCTGACAAGAGGGCCTGCACCTTTGCATGATCCCAGAGAATCTCCAGGAAAACTTCCTGGTGCTGAGTCCCGACCAAGGGTGTGAGCTGGCCCACTGCCCAGCAACCATTCTGGGCCTCAGTTTCCCCCTGCACACAGAGAGGGCCGGACTCAATTATGGACAGGCCCTACTACCTCCGACAGTCTTGGATTCTAAGTTTCTCAAAGGAAAAGGGGCTGACGTGACACTGTTTCCGCCCATGGCTGGTCTCTGGGGACAGTGAGCACCTGGCTAGGACAGCATTGCATTTAATCCTCCCTGTGAGGTAGGGCTGGGTCACCCATTTTACAGAGGAGGAAACTGAGACCCAGAGAGGTTAAGTCTTCAGTACAAGGTTGTACAGCTAGCAGGCGGTGCAGCTAGGAGGTGGTCCTGGGGCCCAGCCAGGGGGTGGTGGCCACAGAGGATGACTAAAAGCAGGTGTCACCTGCCCCATCTGAGGGCTCAGGCAAGCCACGCCCTCTACTCCCTGTAAAGGAAGTTCATCGTGGGGAACCCTCTCCATGGGCATGGCCATGCTGTGCTCCCCTTTCCTGGAATGAGGTTGTCTGTCCAGATTCTGTTTTGGGGAGGAGGACAGGAGAACAAATGAAGAATTTGCTTACAATGCCCCCCCTTTTCTTTATCCTCACCCGAGGACATTTTTCAATACTTTGTTCAGATAGAGTGGGAGGGGGAGAGAGAGAGAGAAGCATCGATGTGAAAGGGACACATCGAGTGGTTGCCACCCACACGGCCCAACCAGGGCCAGGGACAAAATGCAAGCAAGTTACGTGCCCTTAGCGGGAACCGAACCCAGGTCTCTCCGGACCGCAGGCCAACGCTCCAACCGCTGAGCCAAACCGGCCAGGGCCCAATGCCCCTTTTTTAAAAACAATTAGCAACCAGAACTCTCTCAAAGACCCTGGGAATTGTTTTTAAAACTTATGAGGCAAGCCCTGGCCGGTTTGGCTCAGCAGTTAAAACTTATGAGGCAAGATGGGGGTTGAAGGTGGGTTGGGGGGAGAGGTGGGGTAATGAATTGAAGCCAAGTAGAGAAAATAGGGTCCTGGATGACACTAATGTTGATAAGTCATGTAATCATCACCACAGTTACCACTGAGTGTTCACCCGAGCCCATGGGCGGCAAGTGCTGTGGCATGAACCCAGAGAATCTTCAGGAAAACCCAAGGGGGTCAGTCGGTGCTACTGTTTTCCCGTTTTAGGGAGGAGGAGGCTCATGGTCACAGAACAGAGAGCCCGGATCTCAGCTGTCAGCCCACACAGCCTTGGTCTGGAGTTCTGTCCCAAGCAGCCTGACTCCCAGCGGACGCTCCCCAGCATGCAGGACAGGTAGGCTCGGGCCCTCTGATGGCGAGGGTCCTCCAGCCACGGCTCTGGCAGCTGACCCAGCCCTGGTGCACCCAGCCTCAGACAGCATGATTTCTAGAAGGGCCGCATCTGCCCTGACCCTCAGAGAGCCAGGTCCAGGAGGAGCTGAAGCGGGGCCTAGCTGCCGGGTCAGTGAAGGCAGACATGGTATCCAGGCAGCTTTAGGAGGCGAGACTGGGGGAAAGGCCGGAGGGCCAGCCAGGTGACGGCCCAGGCAGCATCGAGGGACCGGCGTCGTGGAGGCCCGCGCTGGGTGGGGCTGCGGGTTGGAGAGGAAGTCAGCGGAGGCCGAGGAAGTGACAGACAACCAGAACAAGGTGACCCAGACAGAGCCAGAGGCAAAAATGAGACCGACAGGCCTGAAACATCCGGGCTGGGAGGTGAGGAGGACATTCATTCTAGACCTCTCACATGATCCGAGGGCAACGGTGGGACCAGGGCCAGGACTGGGGGGACAAGTCACCAGGCAGAGGGTGGAGAGAGGAGAGAGTACGAGCAGGAACCTGGGGAACTCAGTCCCTGGAGCAGGAAAAGGGGAGGCAGCCCCATGCGCCCTGCACCCCGACAGACTGCAGCAGCCCTGGCCCCCATCCCTCCCAGCTGCGGTGACAGGGGTGCCTTGCCATCCAAACCCAAGAACTGTACAGATCTGACCTGTTTTTAGATAAACCCTTTGCGACCTAAAATTCCAGACCCAAACAGACTGAAAAGTGTGGGGTCTCTCACTACCCAGCTCTGCTCTCCCAGCTCGGGAGCCGAACTGATCGGGACGCTTGTATCTGTCTAAGCATTGACTGCAAACCCCCGGCGGGGGCCCCAGCGCCCTCCTGGTCACCACGAGATCCCCTTTGTTCACTCCTTTTGGCCTGGCACAGGCAGTGCTAGGGGGGGAGGGGTCCGTTTGCCAAATGTATGGGCAAAGGCTGGGTAAGGGGTGGTGGCAATGGCATCCTCTGAGGGGTTACGGACTAGGAGGTGGCATCACTAGGGAGCTGGGCGCTAGCCTAAGTTTGGCAGCAAAGGGAGCACTGGACAGGGAAGACGGGGAACGTGGCTTGTTGGCAGAGGTGGCCCCGAGCACATTCTTGAGAAATGTCCTATGGCGGCTTGGAAGGAACTGCCCTGAGCTTGATACGGAGGAAATGCCACAGGAAGGCAGAGGATGAGGACTTCGAACTTTGGAGAGGCAGGAGGGGGAGGGTCCAGCCCCGTCCAAGGACAAAGATGGCAGGGTACCAGCCATGGACAGGGTCACCCTCTCTGGCCAGATGCTGCTGGAGAGGAAGACCCTGACCGCCCCCTCCCTACAAACCCTACTCCGCACCCCACTTTCCCCTTCCGGCCTCCCTGCAGGGCTTTCTCCCCAGGAGCTGCCGCAGGGACTGTGTAACTTGAATTCCCGCTGTAGCACCCCTGCCTGGGTTTCTGTGGGTGGCTCTCCTGCACCCCCGCCCACACCAGCTCTTCTGACTTTCTCTGGCCATCCGGAGACACCACACACTGCCGACTAGGGGTGGCCAAGACCAAGGCTCACAACCATGAAGGGGACTCAGCCAGAGAGGGTGAGGGGCTCACCTGAGGTCACATAGCCCGACCGAGGCTCTGAGACCCCTGCTGATCCTGGCTCTGACCAGGTTCAAGGGTCCCACAGGGCACGCCCCGCCCCTGGGCCCAGAGGGCAGAAAAGGAGCTGGCTGTGGCCCCACTTCCAGAAGCAGGGCCAACCCCAGGAACTGGGAGACCAAGCTAGTTGTAGGGATCCAGTTGCTGCTGGGAGCTAGATGCTGGGGCAGAGACCTTTGAGGGTGTGTGCCGGCCTCGCCAACCGCCCACAGGTTCCACCAGCCTCCCTCCCACCTGGCACTGACTCAGCCCCAGGTGCTGGTGGAGCAGGTAGTGGGACGGAGAGAGCCTGCCCTCCAGCCCCAGGTGCCCAGGCTCCGGGTGAGGAGCACAGGGTGGGCACTGGAGTCCCAGCTCTGCCAGACCCCAGCCCTGCAGGGCCTCAAGCCCTTCACCTGTGCAATGAGCATGGATCCATTCACAGTGCTCTGCAGCTCGGGGTGGCCGCCAAGTGCTCACTTCTGACTGCCGTAAACGCCACTATTAATCATCAGTGTTCAGCCTACAACAATGTAAGAGGCTAACATTTTTATTAGCAAGGATAACTTTTATAGTTTGAAAAAAATCCAATAAAAACTTTAAAAAAAAAAAGAACCAGGAAAATAATTACTAAATAATAATGGTAAGGGTGGATAAATCTTCAAAAGACAAAGAGTAGACAAAGGGAAAGCCCAAGAGGAGGAAGGAACTGCACAGGCAAAGGTGGGGGCGGGGGGAGGCAGGCCAGGTGTGTGCAAGGAACACCTCGGAACCCAGGTTCCTACCTGGCCTTGGCAGGGTCCCCTGGCATAATCTTCTGCCTCTGCTAGTGCCCAGAGCCAATCGCTGC